GTCTCTGAACCCGATTGGCTTACACCAGAGACAGCCTCCTTTGTGGAGTTGTCTCGCCGCCGGTGTTCGGCCAGAGAACAACGCCAGCAAGCGAACAGCCCAAAGGGCAACACGAATACCAAAGCCTCCGTAGCTCGAGGCGAGCAGTTCTTATAGCTATGGCACCCTTTTTGCCGGTATCAAGACGATGGCAATAACAGCCTTGACCCTCTGCGGCAATAACACTGCAGGAAGATGTGACGGTGTTGAAACACCAAATAGACACCGATTGTAAGGCATCGTGAAGTCTGCGTTAACCACACATCATGCGTGGAACCCAGGCCGTGGCGAGCACAGCTATTGTTTGTGATGTTGTTGTTGTGATGATGATGGCTTTAGCGGAATAACGTCTCCCTCTGTCTCTGCAGTGAGTGGCTGCTCTGGAGTGTGTGTATGGAGAGGGAGAGGAGAGGAGAGAGAAAGGCGTGTGTCACGCAGACCTCCTGGCCTTACCTCGACAACTTTATTTCGCACAATCCCCCACTTTAATTATGTTATAGTTGGTTTCATAATGACTCTTTTCTTTGTTTTCATTTAGATTTTGAGTTCCTTTGTTCCTCGAAATATTTTTCAGTTTTGTGTGGTTCCACGTGAACACACACGTGTTAGCATTGTACCACACACGTGTTAGCACTGTACCACACGAGTCGGTGTGAGTGCAGTGAATCACCTTTAGACCCCCCCCCCCCTTGTTTTGTCCTGTGAGCCTGTTCACGTTATTATCGTTTTGTTGGTGTGTTTTTTTTACATTTTCTGTTTTCTTCTCTTTTTGTAAAATACCGAGAACTTAAATAATTTTACCCTCTCTCCAGGGGAGCTTTGAGTGAACAGCAGTAATAGTATTAAGAGATGGTGGTCATAACACAGGATTGACCATCTTTATATAATAATTTTTATTTATTTTTGTTAAATATTTTCCTGGCTTTAGAAAATAGAGAGGTTTGCTTTAGTAGTTGTGTGTCACATCTCACACACGTGAAGATGTCCACCCGACCCGCAACAACGTACGCGAAAGCTACCGCGCCTACACAAGGCCGTCTCTGGGGCTTGCAAGGCGCCCGCAGCAGCAGCCGGCGCCTCCACGCGAGGCTGGGATCCGCTGGCCGACTTCTACCGATGTCCCGCTCGAAGTCTACGTGGAAGCGCTGGGCGCCATCGTGACTGGAGGCTCAATAAAGTACGCCTCCAAGTTGAGCGGAAGGGTGGTTTTGATCGCATCCACCTCGTGGCACCGCTTCTTTTCCCTCACCCCACCCGCATACCTCATAGCAAAACTTCACATAGGAAGCACCGTGTGGCTGCTGGCATCTTGGCCTTGCCACTGCGGGAGGGCGGGCAAGGTCTTGTGTGTGTACGGAGCCAGCTCTCTACGTTTCGTCTACAAGCCGTACAGAGGTTTCTCTACACGGCCCCATCACCCACGTGGTGTTCCACGGCATCTTTTTCCCTAAATAACCTCGGGGGCCTTCAGTGCAGCAAGCAGCTCCTCTTTATGGACATTACGGGCATTCCACTCGCACAGATTCCCCACTTCTATAGGAGTATCCTACATACCTGGAGTTTCCTTGTCACCGCCCGACTGAATACACCTCGGTCAGCATCGGAATTCGCTCACGAGCCGCTGTTACGGAACCCCAACATGGCACTACTCTCTCTTGTGGGCCCTGCCGTGGAGGAACGCATGGTGGATGCACGTCTCACGAGGGTGGGCGATTTGGTGAGACCAGGCACGGAGGGGCAGTGGCTTCTCCCTACCGAGATAGCTGCAATGGCCGGAATGCACTCGGTGAGACTCGCCGCAAAACTTGTGAATTAAGTGTGAAGGTCTTTCTCCGCAGCAGTGGGGAGCAGCGCGCCTGCCGTGAGTGTTGGTGACGAGTCAGCCGGCGGTGGCCCAGTGCCACCAACACTGAATGTCGTCCCAGCAAGGAAACACACTCAACTCTCTTCTTCACAGCAGCACTGGGGGCACACCTCGGGGAATGACCAGGAGGGGTGCTTCTCAGATGTAGACCGGAAAAACCTGTACGCCCAAATGGTCAATTTCCACCATCAACAAATAATAACGTCACGCAAAGGCTACGCTTGGAGGGAGACGATGCCCTGCAGTGATCACGTGAGGCCTCATTGGGAGCTGTTTTACTCAAATCCATCGTACAAGCGCCACGGTGATGTGAGCTGGAGCATTGCCCATGGGACTGTGACCAGGAACACATTTCTGGCACTTTTCACAGACACAAATCCGGAATGTGTATTTTCTGTGGTGAGCTCGAAACAGTGGCGCGTCAATACGTTCACTGCAAAAGCCTAGACTCACTCTATAAGCTGTTACGAAATATTCTACTGAAATTCAATCTTCATTTCTCCCCCACAATTCTTATTTTTGGATATAGAGGGAACGAGGGTACCAAAGATAGAGGGGTTGACGAACTTCATCATGAACGACGCCAAACTGGCCTGTATCTACAGGGCCAGGAAATGCGCAATTGAAGGAAGCGGCTTACCCAGCCACTGTCGCATCTTCAAGACCCTGCCTGCTTTCTGACAGAATTTGGCTGGAATTTCGGTACGCTCAGTTGACGGGGAGTGTCGCATCTTTCTTGACGCTCTTGATTTGAAGCTTTTGTGACTGCAGGAGTCCATACTCTTTGGTTCTTTCGGTAAAGTCACGTAGGTAGAATTATGTATTGACACCTTGGACGACCGAGGGTGCTTTGTGTAATGTGACGAAAGCAGGGGATCAGGTGATGGGTTTTTGAGGGAGAATGTTCTTGTGGTGTCTATGGGATTTATATTACACGCGAAAACCGTTATATCTTTGATTTAAAAAGGGGGGCACAAAAGCAAAAAAATAACTCAACAAAAAACCGACGATGATGAACGAAGAAAAGTGCCGAAAAACCGAACATCTTCCTGTTCTGATCGTGAAAAAAATTAGGGAAGGAGGGGGAGGGACGTGGTTCGTGTGGCCGGGCCCGGGAGCTCTCCCAGTCACGACTCGCAGGATGGAGAAGGCGTTTGTGGAATTTCAATGCGATTACCATCACAGCAACAACAATACAACCAATATTAACCCGTGCACAGTTATCAGAATATATTTTTTTCTGTGAATGTTCACGAATGTCATAGCGCAGAGCGACGTGATGATTACACGTGAACAACTGCACACGCATTCATAATTATAACAAGACTGTCGCCATGATCACAAGAGGTTAAACGGAGGAATCTGACAATTCGTGGGACGTGGCGCGGAGCTGTGCACGCGACTCCGCATAAGCAGAGTCGTCGCTTATCGCCAGCAGAGCGAGACACGACGCGGACACATCGTGACTCGTGCACACCTCCGTGGGCTGGGAGCCTGAGAAGCGTTCGTGCGACGTGAACCAAACACGTGAAGCTGATGCCGCCACGGGTTCGCTGCTGACTTCAAAGGTTACTTTTCACGGCGAGGGGGGGAGGGGCATCTTCAACAAGACTCCCACCTCCTCCGGTAAACACCGCACGAGAACCCGCTCCCGACACCGCTGACGATGATCTGAAACGGTCCTGGGCCTCCCCTAGGTCGACTTCGCCTCAAATGAGTACCTGGTTGTGATGTGTAAACATCGCCACTGGGGAGACAAAGGCGGCCAGGCGTGGTGCTGGCCCACACACCACCACCTCGTCTGCCGTGCCGCCATTCACAGGTGCTACTACTCGCTGACAGCACTTGCCCCAATAATCTGTTCGAGGCTATACGGGGGATATTTGTCTGTGTATACGCACGTGCACTGCGGATGTAATGGGGCAGGCACGGGGGTACACCACATCTGTAGAGTAAACGGTGGACTCTGTGTGTGTGTGTTGTGTGTTTTATTTGATCAGGTAAGGTCAACTGAGCTGCGATGTCGCTCTTTTTCAGAAGCGACCTGGAAGTGGCTTATCATCATCATCACGTGGAAGTTTTCAGCAGCAGCAGCAGCAGCCAAATACTCTAGAGGCATGATATTGATTGTAAATGTGTAGGGGAAAACCGGAGGACCCGGAGAGAAAAATGCACGCAACCACGAGGAGAAAGACATGCATGCAAACTCCAAATACACAGCAGCAGCAGGCGTCAGGGTCGGGATCGAACCCACGACCTCCTGTGTACCTGGCGAGGGAGTTAACATCTCCTAGCCACCGTGATGATGATGAGAGACACGCAAACTCCAAATACACAGCAGCAGCAGGCGTCAGGGTCGGGATCGAACCCACGACCTCCTGTGTACCTGGCGAGGGAGTTAACATCTCCTAGCCACCGCAGCGCCCCTGAATCAACGCTCGCCTCGTTCGTTCCACATCACTTCTCAATGTGCTCGCGAACACGCGAATCACCACGTGATGTCAAACAACCGCGCACACGACTGACAGAATTGACGGATTGTCACGGGCATTGTTGCACGAGCCGTATTACTCCAACTTGCGTAGTATACACACCGTGTGTGTGTGTGAAGGCGAGAAGGTAAGGATGTGTCTGTGCCAACAGCATCGACTGGAGAGTTCTATCCAGCATCGCGTTCATCCGCAAGCGCCGGGATCGTCGCTCCATCCTCCCTGGGATGAGCGCTGCGCTCTGAGAGAGACGCAGCTGCGCCATCTCTCCCTCTCTCTCTCCATCTTCCTCTCTCCACCTCTATCCATCTTCCTCACTCTCCCTCCCTCCCTCCTCGCCCGCCACGCGCGTCACTCGACGACAAAAAAAACGACGACGACGAAAAGAGTCGTGCAGCCTCCCAGCAGCGCCCCCTCCCCCTCCCCCCGAAGGGGCGGTCGCTGTCTGAGCGCCACGCTCCACTCAGCCCGCCGCGGTACATCACCCGCCCCACCACCCAACAACAACCACCACCACCCCCTTCTCCACCCACCCACCCCGCCTCTCGCGACCGCCTCCTCCGGCTATAAAAGGGAGGCGAGTGGCCGCTGGGCACGCAGCGAGATTTCATCGAGACCTCAAGTCACTCTCACAGAGAGACAGAGAGAGAGCCAGTAGCGGTGTGTGCACGCACGCCGACGGGAGGTCCACGCACGAGAGATCGCGCACACGCATTACTCCACTCGCCCCACTCACCAAACCAGCCTCTCTCTCTCCGTGTCTCACTGCGCCACCCCCCACTCACTCGCCCCACTCGCCAACCCACCTCTCTCTCTCTGCGTGTCTCACTGCGCCGCCGCCCCCCACTCCTACGTCCCAGAGTCACCCTGGGGGGGCTTCCCGAGTCGCCAGCGCCGCTCGCAGACGGCAACTCGCGCGTCGTCCCACGCGACTCCCACGCCACGTTGCCCGCGATGGCTCCCAGAGAGCAACAGCAGCAGCAGCAGTACGTCGTCCCGACCAAGAACTGCCACCGCATGGTGGTGCTGGGCTCCTCCAAGGTGGGCAAGACGGCCCTGGTGTCCCGCTTCCTCACGGGTCGCTACGAGGACGCCTACACGCCGACCATCGAGGACTTCCACCGCAAGTTGTACCGCATCCGGGGAGACCTCTACCAGCTGGACGTCCTCGACACGTCGGGGAATCACCCCTTCCCGGCCATGCGGCGCCTCTCCATCCTGACCGGTGAGCGGCCGAGCGCACGGCGGTGTCCTCGTGGGAGCCGCGACACTTTGACATCGTCAGCATTCACAGACTCCTTCCTCCACGACTTCAGTTCGTTGCACCCCCCCCCCCCGCACATCGGATTAGTACGGCGCGAAAGAAGTGCAACATGCATGCAGTGCATAGAGGTGTGAGGAACCTCGCCTGGTACGCAGGAGGTCGTGGGTTCGATCCCGGACCATGGCGATGCCTGCTGTATATTTGGAGTCTGCGTGTTCTCTCTCTCACCGTGGTCCCGTGGACATTTCTCTCCAGGTCCTCTGGGGGTTTTTCTCCACAGTGTTGAGAGTGTTTGGCTGCTGTGAATGTTCACGTGGTAAGCTATCGTTCGTGGCCAGGTCGCTTCTGACTCAAAAGAGCTAGACAGCTCAGTGGGCTTTACCTGGTGAAACTAAAACAGTCTATAGTTTAAACCCGTGGAGTCTGCGCAACGGATGAGTTCACCAATCCGTGAAGCTCTCTCGTCGTAGCGAGCAGACCTCGCTCGACATTGCCAATTATCTCCTGAGCCATCGTGATGCTGCTGTAGCTGCTGTAGCTGCTGTAGCTGCAGCAGCTGTAGCTGCTGTAGCTACAGCAGCTACAGCTACAGCAGCAGCTGTAGCTGCTGCTATCACGCGCAATAGAAGAGCATGATTGGAGGATGCGCGAGATTGCGAATGCTGCAACGTTGCAATCTGCTCCACGTATTCTCGTGTCTGCGGCGCGAAGCAGATTCTATTCACTCGCGAATGTCACTTCTCTGCTCGGAGATGCTGGCAGGCGAGATGCCGCTGCCTCTCGCGTCCGCTCAGAGGCAGCGGCATCTAACGTGGTATTCCGCTTGTGCCGCTGACATGCCTGGTAATGCCACGTGCTGGGTAGCGTGCATATACAGTCGTTTCAAACAACGCTTCACAAATACCGAATCGATGGGCGTCAAGGTCCGACAGGACATCCCGATGGGTCTAGCGCAGTGACAACCACGCGGCACGACCGCTGCAGCCCGCGGCTCGTGGGTCCGCTTCACTCGCACAGCGGCAGCAGTAGCGGCGGCGGTGGCGGTGGTAGCGGTGGTGGCGGTGGTGGTGGCGGTGGCGGTGGTGGTGGTGGCGGTGGTAGCGGTGGCGGCGGTGGCGGCGGTGGTGGTGGTGGCGGTGGTAGCGGTGGTGGCGGTGGTGGTGGCGGTGGCGGCGGTGGTGGTAGCGGCGGTGGTGGTAGCGGTGGTGGCGGTGGTGGCGGCGGTGGTGGTGGTGGCGGTGGTAGCGGTGGTGGCGGTGGTAGTGGCGGTGGTGGTAGCGGTGGTGGTGGCTGCTGCTGCTGCTGCGAGTGAAGCCGCCGCTTGGCTGAGCGCTCCCCGCTACCCCACGACGAATTCCTAAGCGCTGAGCAACGACTCCGTGGGACGTCACTCCCTGCATTGTCGCGGCGTTAACGCAAAGACGATCTGTGTGCACTCTGTGTGCACTGTGTGTACTCTGTGTGTACTCTGTGCGCTCTGTGTGTATTCTGTGTGCACTCTGTGTGTATTCTGTGTGCGCCCTGTGTGTATTCTGTGTGCGCCCTGTGTGTACTCTGTGTGTATTCTGTGTGTACTCTGTGTCTACTCTGTGTGTATTCTGTGTGTACTCTGTGTGTACTCTGTGTGTATTCTGTGTGTACTCTGTGTGTACTCTGTGTGCGCCCTGTGTGTATTCTGTGTGTATTCTGTGTGCGCTCTGTGTGTATTCTGTGTGTACTCTGTGTGTATTCTGTGTGTACTCTGTGTGTATTCTGTGTGTACTCTGTGTGTATTCTGTGTGCGCTCTGTGTGTATTCGGCTGTTTGCACAGAGAGGGGGGGGAGGCGGCTCTGTTTGTATCCAGCGGGCCAGGCTGTGTCTGCGTAGCCACGAGAGACGAAGCAACGCGGGCACCTCGCGCCTCGCGTCTCGCACCTCGCGACGCGAACTGCCCCCCCCCCCGCTCCTCATTGTCCCAGCGGCGTGGCCACGCGGGGTGCTCACACGAGTGGGGGAAGTGCAGCTCAATGGAAGCGTCGTCGTCTTTTCAGTCGTCGGGTTTGCTCTAATAATAATGAGAACCATGACGACGAGAATCATTTGCGAGCTCCTATTAAGTCACCGGTTACTCACCCCGCAGCGACTGACGACCCACACGGGACCCGCGTCCTGTCACGAGTTCCACAAACACGAAGTGTGCGAAGCGTGTTGATGGGGAAACACGCGAAGAGGGTTGACGTCCTTGCTGGCACTACAACGCCAACATAGAAATGTACCTTTTACAAGGCAACACGACTGCATTCACCACACACGCTACTTGTGGGGGAAACGCAAACACCTCCTGTTTTATTGCCACGAAGGTTAAAACCCAATCTTATTTAGTTTTTATAAAACGCGCTCAGCGTGACGACAATACAACTCTTCCAGCAATGCTTGTACTGCATGTGGAACTTCTTTGCCACCGTACGTAGCCAACCGCGCTCTCGCCGGAGGGATGGGGAAAGGACAGCGACACGAAACACAACATGAACACGTTTTTGTTGACGACATATTTGCTATTATTCAGTTTGATTGAATCTGTCATTGTGGAGCGCTTTGATGCTGTCTAGCCGGCTGAGTCGCCCTCGCAAACAAAACACAAAGAGCCACTTCGCTCAGTGGGGGGGGGGGGATAATCCTGGCGACTTCGAACTCCTCACGGCATCTCCACAAACCGCGATTGCTGCGCGACGCCACGTGACCCGCTGCGCGATCAGCCGTACACCCACCACCCAGCCACCACTCAGCCACCACTCAGCCACCCACCCACCACCCACCCACCACCACTCAGCCACCCACCCACCACCCACCACCCAGCCACCACTCAGCCACCCACCACCCACCACCACTCAGCCACCACTCAGCCACCCACCCACCACCCACCACCCACCACCACTCACCCACCCACCCACCACCCACCCACCACCCACCACCACTCAGCCACCACTCAGCCACCCACACCCGATCTCCCCCGTAGGCTGACGCGTGTCTCTCTCTCTGTGTCCGTGTGTGTGCCACAGGCGACATCTTCGTGCTGGTATTCAGCCTGGACAGCCGCGAGTCCCTGCTCGAGGCGTGCCGCCTGCGCGAGCAGATCCTGCAGACCAAGGCGTGCCTGCGCAACCGCCCGACGCACTCGCTGCACGACGTGCCCATCGTCATCTGCGCCAACAAGGCGGAGCCGGCGTCGCAGCAGCAGCAGCAGCAGCTGCCCCCCGGGGCGGCCGCCGCCGCGGTGGGGGGGGGCGGCCCCGAGGGCGCCGATCCCTCGCAGGCCCCGGCGGCGGCGCTGTCCCGGGACGAGGTGGTGGCCGCGCTGGGGGCCGGCGCGCCCTACTTCGAGGTGAGCGCCAAGCGCAACCACGGCGTGGACGAGATGTTCCGCGCGCTCTTCACGCTGGCGGGGCTGCCCCGAGAGATGAGCCCTGCCCTGCACCGACGCGTCTCGGCGCTGTCCTGCCCGGGAAGGGGCGGAGGAGGAGCGGGGGGGGAAGGGGACGGCGACTGCGACGGGCGGCCTGGCGGGCACGGCAGGGGCGGCCTGTGGGGGGGGGGCTCGGGCGCTTCGAAGGCGATGGACGACGCGTGCGGGCTGGTGGCCACGTGCGCGCGCAGGCCCAGCGTGCACAGCGACTTGCTGTACGTGCGCCAGAAGGCGCTGCTGTGTCGCTCGCAGAGCAAAGAGCGCTCGGACAAGTGCTGCATCATGTGATCAAGTGCTGCATCATGTGATCAAGTGCTGCATCATGTGATCAAGTGCTGCATCATGTGATCAAGTGCTGCATCTTGTGGTCAAGTGCTGCATCTTGTGGTCAAGTGCTGCATCGTGATGTGAAGGAGAGCTGCATCACCTGAATTCGTGCTGCATCGTGAGGTGAAAAAGTGCAGAAGAAGAAGAAGGGGAGGGAGGCAAGGAGGTGCTGCAAGGATCGTCGCTGACTTTGAGCATCGGACACTTTGTTCTTTAGATTTGTGATCGACCTGAGATAGGGGACCTTGACTGCGCGTGAACGCACGGCGTGAAGGACGTCATCACCACAGTGCCTGTGTTGGGCTTGCGGTGGTTTACACACCCGCACGCACACACACACATTCACACACACACATTCACATACACACATTCACACACACGCACACACACGCACAAAAGACAAAGATTTCCCCGTATAGCCTTTAACAGGCTGTATGGGCAAATGCTGTTAGCGAGCAGCACCTATGAAGGCCGGCACAGCACACGAGGGGGTGGGTGGCCAGCATCACGCCCGGCCGCCTTTGTCTCCCGAGTGGCGATGTTTACACCCCGTACTAGGTACTCCTTTTTTAAGCTGAGTCGACCTAGGGGAGGCCCAGGATCGGTTCGGATAATCGTCACTGGTGTCGGTGGCCGTAAGCGGGAATCAAACTCGGGTGGCCGGGTTCGGAGAGCAGCGTAGCGCTCACCGCTGCGCCACCGCTCCCCATACACGTGCAGACATGGAGATGCTGAATTGTTCACTACGTATGAACAGTCTAAAATTCAATATAAGATATTAAAACATATCGCTAAATAAAACTAAAGTTACAATGTCTACATTTCAAGTGAAAGGGAACTTTTAACATATACACTGTACAGAAGATATTTAATATTTTGAAGTTGTATAACTCTTTAGACATATCGAGCGTACACACATCGTCAACTTCATTACGGTGCCACGGTTTACATTGATGTGAGCATTTGTATTTAACGAATGTGAAAAGTCAACACTTACCTTGACACATTGAAGCTTTGTGGAGCCGAACAGTTTTCGCTGCGCTTTCTGCACTCACGTGGCTCGTTTGTGTTTAACGACACGGGCCTTGGGCCTGCAGCCAGACGCACGCGCACGCACGAGGGAGAGACACAGAGCAAGGGAACGGGATGTAACTTCCAGCTGAACACCTCCGAGTGCCCGGCAGGAGAGTGATTGAGGCGGGGCACAGACACGCGGCGTTGCATTGCGCCGTTTGGCCCCACTGGGGACCCGACAGGGATTTTAAGCAAAGATCGAGGGAGCTGTGTGCGTGTGCAGTTCGGCCAATAAGCTGTTGGTGCAATTTCTAAATGGCTGCTTGCCTCTTGTTATCCTGTTGTGTTGAGAATCAATTCCAGGCGGCGTTCAGTCGCATTAGTTCTGTGTCGTGATGAGGGTCGCCGTCGTCTTACGGACTTTGATTGAGGACGCCGATAACGCGACACGCCCACCTCTTGTTTCGCGTGCCGACTGCGAGACGTCACCTTGTGAATTGTGCACGCGCGAAAGCCCCGTTACGTTTCGCAGCGGCACTAAGCGCTGCACGGTGCACGTGGCGACATTCTAGCGGTGGAGACCACGAGATTCGCGTCGACGGAATAATCCGAAGGCAGTCTCGGGTATGAGGCGTCGTCTTGTGACGAGCTCGGCGTGGGTGACAATGCGCGTGGGTGAGCTTGGAGCGCGCGCTCGTGACACGCGCGGCAGGGAGAGTTGCGGAGTGGCGCCACGTGGCACGTGTCACGTGGCACGGCCCCTGCCAAGTTGAGAGTCGTCTCCTCGTCGCCTCTTGCACGATCTCTTAAGCGGTTGCTAAACACCACGCGGCAAATGTCTTTCTTTGTAAGTCCGCAACGAGACGTCGACGGCGGTGGGGGAGGGGGGGCGGTTTACGCGGTGCCCCCCTTTCGACTCCACTGCTTTAACCGAGATAGTTTTACGTGGCGCCGTGACGCAGACAGCCGTGGGCGATTCTCGCGATGTCGAGGCCAGGGGCTGTGTCGGCTTGCTGCCGTGTCTGCCTCCCATCTCCAATCCGGGCACCGCGGTGGCCAGGAGATGTGAACTCCCTCGCCCGGTATACAGGAGCGCGTGGGTTCCATCCCGAACCCGAGGCCTGCTGCTGTATATTTGGAGTTTGCGCGTCTCTCTCTCCCCGTCTACCCGTGGATTTTTCTCCGGGTCCCCCGGGTTTTCCATCCACGTTTAACATTAACACGCGTTTACAGCATTTGGCTCCTGCTTTACACATTTCCACGCGATGACGATACGCCGCTCTGTTCAGCTCTCATTTGTGACGGCCAGGTCGCTTATGAAATAAAACAGAGCTCAAAGTGTATTCGTCTAATCGCAGCCCCGCGTGTGCCAACACACTGAGTCAGAATATTTATTTATAATTGGAGGAAGAATCCGATGAGCTTTCAAGCTTTTTTCAACAGGTCATTGCTCGGCAATGTTCTCCTGCACTAAGGAGGCCTGCCAAGTGGAGCAGTTGGCGCGGAGACGCGGGTGATCCATTCACGCGATGGATGTAATTTATTTGCAAGGTGTGTGTGTGTGTAGGGGTGCAGCGGTTGTTACTAGCGTCTGACGCACGCACGTGCGGTTTCTCGAAATGCGCTCTGCCCAGAACCAACGGTGGATTTTAGACGTAAAGCCTCCGCATCACTCCAAATTACTTCACCAAAAACTTCGGTCGATTGGCTTGCCGCGTGTCCTCGAGTAACGAACGCAACGGGGCTGCGTTCACGTGGCCGCAACATCGAGTGGCGTGTTTCTTGTCGCTACCCCCCCCCCCGCACCCCTTCCCCTCTCGAGGTGCCGCTGCACCCTCGGCCAGAAGTGTTCTTATCGATCGCTGGGGAGACTCAAAAGCTCGCGCAGATGTTTGTGTTTTGCACAAACAAATAACAACAGACGCTCGCTCGCTCTTGTACAGCAGTGGCTTTTTTTACTTGAATATTTGATGAACTTGTGACAATTGCACTTGCCTTTCGGTGTGCACGGGTCGTAGGCGACGTTTAGCTGCAAACTAATTTTCGTTGGGAGCTGTGAACCATCGTCGGTCGGACTTGAACCGTTGGTCGGAAGGATTTTGTACAATGTGTAGAGGTGTGCATTCAGTTTTCTACGGTCGACTGCGTCCACGATACAAAATAAACATGAAGTACTCTTTACACACGCCTGCTTGACTTCCTTCTGTGGCATGCACTCACGGGTTATGTATAATTAGACCTTGCTCAATCCGCTGCTGGAGGAATGGCCTCGTCTCGAGAACGCTCTTCCTACAGAGCCCTTCTGAGAGGATTTTAATAATGAATCATGATGTAATGTTGTATTGCGTCATTCATGCTAATTGCATCCCACCACGCTGTACATGAATTAAAATTGAGGGCCAAATCCTATATACAGCTACTGCCAAGCAAAATAATCATTCAAGAAATGTCACCAAAAGAAGCACAAACAACAAACAATGACAGATGAAGTTGTCGTTCGTGACAACAACCCAGAGCCCAGGCCTACTGATGGTATCATAGGCCTTGACCAGGTCAATAAAGCAGAGATGTAGGTCTTGTGGGAATTCCCTACACCTCTGCTGTAGCAGACGGACAGAAAATATGGCATCTGTGCAGGACCGCCCTTTCCTGAAACCGCATTGGGGCTCCGCAAGCCTCTCTTCAGCGTGCCTAGCAAGGCGATGTTGAATAATCCTTGCCAGGACCTGGCACACTGAGGAGTGAGATGCCCCTGTAGTTGTTACAGTCTGTGCGGTCCTCCTTCTTAAAGAGGGGAACCATCAGGGCATCCTTCCAATCCTGCGGAACCCATCCAGTGGTCCAGACTGTTGTTATGATGTCATATAGGGCAGTCTGTGCACAAATGCCACCCTCCCTCAGCATTTCGCTTGGGAGATCATCTCTGCCCGGTGCCTTTCCTGGTCTCAGACTCCGGATCTCCTTCAGTACTTCCTCAACAGATGGCACCTCAGCCAGCCACTCACAGGGGGTGACCTCTTCCAATATTTGAGGCACCGCAGCCTCAGCAGGGTTATCCCCACTTTGTGCCATGATGTTTTCCTGGCTGAGGGATTTCCCCTCCCCCAGGACCTCACAAAAATGCTCAGCAAATCTGCAAACCTGTTCCTGGGGGTCGGAGATTGGATCACCGTTTTTTCCCCTAATGATGGTAATAGGTGTGGCGCTGCAGGTTACTTTTTGATGGAGTTAAATAGTGATTTGTGATCGCGGGCCACTGAGGCAGACTCCATCTCCTCAGCAACCCGCGACCACCACCCATCCTTGCAGCGCCTTACGGCTCTCCGAACCTCCGAGTGAAGGCTGCGGTAAACCTCCTCATTCTCTGACGTGGGATGCTGTAGCCGATGAGAGTGGGCCTGTCGCTTTTTCTCAACTAACCTGAGCACCTCCTCTGTCAACCAGGGTTTCTGGGGAGGTCTGGACTGCGTACCCAAAGCAGCCATTGCAGCTACATGAGTCACAGTCCTAAACCCTCGACATCAGGAGGAGTGGGGGACGATGCCAACCCGAGCTGCAAGCGATGATGAAATTCTCGCTTGCAACTTTCATCAGCTAACTGAGACCAGGCCACTTTTGGTTGGAATGGGGTCCTGGGTGTACACCCACCACCGGAGTGGAAGAATGGCAGGCGCATCTTACAGATGACTAGTCGGTGATCAGAGGGCAGATCAGCTCCACGGTAGGTCCTGGTGTCAAGGACATGGGTTCGCATCCGCTGGTCCGTCACTATGTAGTCCAGCAGATGTTCTTGCTTGGACCCGGCATGCATCCATGATGTTGTGTGGATGCGCCGATGCCGGAAGAGCGTGTTGGTAATTACAAGCCCATGGGCTGCACAAAAATCTAGCAGCCTCCTACCGTTGTTATTGAGCTGATCTGGCCCATGCCTTCCAATCACTCCAGACCAGGTGCCAGCATCATGACCAACTCGGGCATTGAAGTCACCCAATAAGACGACTCTGTCCCGAGTGGCCACTTTAGCCAGCACCTGTGACAGGAGGTCATAGAAGGTATCTGACTCATCGGCTTTGCCTGCATCCCTCCACGGATGTTCGTCTTCGGTGGGGGCATAAGTAACCACGACCACCACTCCTCGCCTCACACCTACATAGACACACCTACACAGACACACCTACAGAGACATTCCTACAGAGACATTCCTACAGAGACACACCCACAGAGACATGCCTACAGAGACACACCTACAGAGACACACCCACACAGACACACCTACACACACACACCTACACAGACACCCACACAGACACACCTACACAGACACACCTACAGAGACATTCCTACAGAGACACACCCACAGAGACATGCCTACAGAGACACACCTACAGAGACACACCCACACAGACACACCTACACAGACACACCTACACAGACACACCCACACAGACACACCTACAGAGATGCCTACACACGTACGGTGCGAAAGAAGTGCAACATACACACATAGCACGGCTGGCTACGTACGGTGCGAAAGAAGTGCAACATACAGTGCATAGAATCCACATCAGGGCCGCGCTGATGAGGCCATAAACCCATCACCGTGGTCCAGCAAGTGTCAACATGTTTCGCTTTTCATTCTCAACAGCGACGCGAATGACACCGCTACGGGATGCTACTGGCATGAATGACGCGATATAAAATGAAAGTGTCATCATTATTATTGATGAGGACTTTGTGTTGTGAATTATAGAATGTTGCCTCGAACCAGAACCCATACTATCAAACAGAAAGTGGACTTGTCTGCACAGTGCACACATCCGGCAGTCCACCAGCATTGATTCAAGCAAGCGTGCCAAGCGTGCTGATGAGGCACTGAATGTTGAAACCGGCCCACAGTTCGCCTGTGGTGAACCAAATGCTTTGTGCACTCGCAGGAGAAGGCCGATGTGGACCAAAACATTCGCTTTGTACAGGTGGAAGAACAGCTGTGGAAAGGTGCATTGCCTCCGGAATTACCTCGCGATTTTTCGTACGATATGAGGGTTATCGTGATATAATATCCAGGTAGACTGTGTTTAAATGAAATTAATTATTAATACCGGTTTTTTTGGGGGGTTAAATCGCGTAAATATTTAAATGTGCACGCTATCTAACCCCAAAAGACGCCTGTATTACGGATGATATTGGTCGCGAAAGCCTACGTGTTAAGCCTAATTAAATTACGTTAACGTCATTGTAACTGTAGTAACCAATTGGCACGTTCTGTTTACGTGACAAACCTTACTTAATTGGCTGTGTTGGGTGGTGGCGGGTTTAACGACACATTTATATGCACGCGATCAAACCCAAAGAAACACACCTTTATTATGGAGAAAACATTGGACGCGAAAGCCTACTGCGTGTTCAACTGTTTTATGCAATATCATAAAAATAATACTATCTTGTGTATTTTAAGGCCACGGGGGTGACTCGACAGGCCGCGAGATCGCGGCGATGCACTGCCACTCAGTGGCCGTAGAACGCAGCGCAGAGGCCGCATGCCGGCCTACGTGGTGACGCTGGTGGCGATGGTGGTGATGATGGTGGTGGTGCCATCTCTCTCTCTCTCTGTGCCTCTCTCGGCCCATGTGATGATGGTGATGATGGTGATGGTGGTGGTGGTGCCATCTCTCTCTCTCTCTGTGCCTCTCTCGGCCCATGTGATGATGGTGATGGTGGTGATGATGGTGCCTCTCTCGGCCCATGTGATGATGGTGATGCCCTCTCTCTCTGTGCCTCTCTCAGCCCATGTGATGGTGGTGATGGTGGTGATGGTGGTGATGGTGGTGATGGTGGTGATGGTGGTGATGGTGGTGATGCCCTCTCTCTCTCTCGGCCTCTCTCGGCCCATGTGATGATGGTGATAATTGTGATGGTGGTGATGCCATCTCTTTGTGCCTCTCTCGGCCCATGTGATGATGGTGGTGATGGTGATGGTGGTGGTAGTGATGCCATCTCTCTGTGCCTCTCTCGGCCCATGTGATGATGGTGGTGATGGTGATGGTGGTGATGGTGATGCCATCTCTCTGTGCCTCTCTCGGCCCATGTGATGATGGTGGTGATGGTGGTGATGCCATCTCTCTGTGCCTCACTCGGCCCATGTGATGATGGTGGTGATGGTGGTGATGCTGCCGCTGCTGCTGTTGCTGCTGCTGCAGCAAGGAGCAGCAGCAGCAGGAGTAACAGCAGTAGGAGCAGCAACAACAAGCGGCAGCAGCAGCCCCAGCAGCAGCAGTAGCAGCAGCAACAGCTGCAGAGCAGCAGCAGCGGCTGTTACTCCTGCTGCTGCTGCAGCTCGCCAGGTCCACAGAGGGCGCTCGGGATCCACGGGACCCCGATGCCGGCCACACACCAAAGACAAAGACCCCCCGTATAGTCTCAACAGACTGTTAGGGCAAGTGCTGTTCGCGAGCAGGACCTTTTGCACGCACGGCGCACGAGGGGGTGGGGTTTCCAGCACCACGCCCGGCCGCCTTTGTATCCCGAGTGGCGATGTTTACACAAAGCAACCAGGTACCAGTTTTGAGGCTGAGTCGACCTAGGGGTGGGCCCAGGACCGGTTCATAAAATCGTCACTGGTGTCGGTGGCCGTGAGCGGGAATCGAACTCGGGTGGCCGGGTTCGTAGCGCGGCGCGCTAACCGCTGCGCCACCGCTCCATCACCGCTGCCCCAGGGGCTCGAGACGGAGTGAGCCCGGGGGGCGGCAGAGACGTCGCCGGCGGCGTCTGGACACCGCCACGCGGCGGGAGAGGGACGCAGTGCCGAGTGCTGAGTGTTGCTGCCCGCCTGCTGTCTGTGTCTGTCTGGTGTGTGTGTGTGTCTGTGTGTGTGTGTGTCTGTGTGTCTGTGTCTGTCTGTGTGCCTGTCTGTGTGTGTGTCTGTCTGTGTGTGTGTCTGTGTGTGTGTGTGTCTGTGTGTGTGTCTGTGTGTGTGTGTGTCTGTGTGTGTGTCTGTGTGTGTGTGTGTCTGTGTGTCTGTGTCTGTCTGTGTGCCTGTCTGTGTGTGTGTCTGTCTGTGTGTGTGTCTGTGTGTGTGTCTGTCTGTGTCTGTCTGGTGGTGTGGCATGTTGCTGCCCACCCCCCCTCCTCGTGTGCCGTGCCGGCCTTCCATCGCTGCTGGCTAACAGCACTTGCCCCTACAGTCTGTTAAAGGCTACACGGGGCATCTTTGTCTCTACGCGTGTGTGTGTGTGTCCGTGTGTGCACTGCAGTGACGCGGCGAGCAGCGGCCACCGGCCTGCCGGCGAGCGCGCCGCGGATCCTCTTACCGCACTCCGCCGGTCCTATTCGGGGCTCTTACGCACTCACTCACTCACACACTCTCTCTCACACACACTCGCTCTCTCGCACACTCACTCACTCACACACTCTCTCTCACACACACTCGCTCGCACACTCTCTCTCTCTCACACTCGCTCGCTCGCACCCAAGTGTCGTCCTCGCCTTTAAGACGCAGCCACAGCGGGAGGCAGACGGGGAGAGAGAGGAGAGAGAGGGGAGAGAGCTGGAGAGCTGTGATGTGATGTGATCTGCTGCTGCTGCTGCCGCAGTGCACGTGGCGTGACGCGCGCCTGTCAAGCCGCTGTCCCCGCTGCGTGACTGCTGCTGCTGCTGCTGTCCCCGTGACTGCTGCTGCTGCTTCTGCTGCACCGTGACTGCTGCTGCTCTGTGACTGCTGCTGCTGCTCCTCGCTGCGGCGATGCCAGGATGAGGGGCTGGAGGCGGGGGTCGTGACTACGGCGGGAGCGTGTGAGCGGCCAGTGACAAACAGCACTATGTCCAAGTTGTGACAATTGAGAGACGGGCAGACGGGTGATGGGGAGTGCAGAGGCACCGTAGCGCGCGTCTGGAACTCGTGCGTGCCACCATCATCATCATCACCACCACCATCACCAAAACCACCACCATCACCATCACCACCACCATCACCACCATCACCACCACCATCACCACCACCACCGCGCCGCTGACGACACAGGCGGGCAGCGTGCTGTGTTCCACACTAGCAGCCGCACCACCACCACCATCTCACTACCACCAGCTCCTCACCACCACCTCACCACCAGCTCCTCACTACCACCGATTCCTCACCATCACCACCTCTTCACTCACCACCACCATCTACTCACCATCTCCTCACCACCACCTCTTCACTCCCTCACCACCACCTCACCCACCATCTCCCGCTGAAGCACTTCTCTCGCGGCTTGCTGCCGCCATGCTCGCGGGCAAGGAGGTCGCCTCGTGCCTCAAGTTCCGAGCGAACATCTTCAACAAGAGCAAGTGCCAGGACTGCTTCCGGGCCCGCGACTCGCACCCGGCCCTGGACGAGGAGCTGACTCAGGTGCGTGGTGGTGGTGGTGATGGTTGTGGTGATGGTGGTGGTGGTCACCTGGGGGAGCTGGTTCAGGTGGTGGTGGTGGTGGTCACATGGGGGAGCTGGTTGAGGTGCGTGGTGGTGGTGGTCACCTGGGGGAGCTGACTCAGGTGCGTGGTGGTGGTGGTGATGGTTGTGGTGATGGTGGTGGTGGTCACCTGGGGGAGCTGGTTCAGGTGCGTGGTGGTGGTCACCTGGGGGAGCTGACTCAGGTGCGTGGTGGTGATGATGGTGGTGGTGGTGGTCACCTGGGGGAGCTGACTCAGGTGCGTGGTGGTGGTGATGGTGGTGGTGGTCACCTGGGGGAGCTGACTCAGGTGCGTGGTGGTGGTGGCGGTGGTGGTGGTGGTGGTCACCTGGGGGAGCTGACTCAGGTGCGTGGTGGTGATGATGGTGGTGGTGGTCACCTGGAGGAGCTGACTCAGGTGCGTGGTGGTGGTGATGGTGGTGGTGGTGGTCACCTGGGGGGAGCTGGTTCAGGTGCGTGGTGGTGGTGATGATGGTGGTGGTGGTCACCTGGGGGAGCTGGTTCAGGTGCGTGGTGGTGGTGGTGACCTGGGGGAGCTGGTTCAGGTGCGTGGTGGTGGTGGTGGTCACCTGGGGGAGCTGGTTCAGGTGCGTGGTGGTGGTGGTGGTGGTCACCTGGGGGAGCTGACTCAGGTGCGTGGTGGTGGTGGTCACCTGGGGGAGCTGGTTCAGGTGCGTGGTGGTGGTGATGGTGGTGGTCACCTGGGGGAAGCTGGTTCAGGTGCGTGGTGGTGGTGGTGGTGGTCACCTGGGGGAGCTGGTTCAGGTGCGTGGTGGTGGTGGTGGTGGTCACCTGGGGGAGCTGGTTCAGGTGCGTGGTGGTGGTGATGGTGGTGGTCACCTGGGGGAAGCTGGTTCAGGTGCGTGGTGGTGGTGGTCACCTGGGGGAGCTGGTTCAGGTGCGTGGTGGTGGTGGTGGTGGTCACCTGGGGGAGCTGGTTCAGGTGCGTGGTGGTGGTGATGGTGGTGGTGGTGGTCACCTGGGGGAAGCTGGTTCAGGTGCGTGGTGGTGGTGGTGGTCACCTGGGGGAGCTGGTTCAGGTGCGTGGTGGTGGTGATGGTGGTGGTGGTCACCTGGGGGAGCTGGTTCAGGTGCGTGGTGGTGGTGGTGGTGGTCACCTGGGGGAGCTGGTTCAGGTGCGTGGTGGTGGTGGTGGTCACCTGGGGGAGCTGACTCAGGTGCGTGGTGGTGGTGGTGGTCACCTGGGGGAGCTGGTTCAGGTGCGTGGTGGTGGTGGTGGTGGTCACCTGGGGGAGCTGGTTCAAGTGCGTGGTGGTGGTGGTGGTCACCTGGGGGAGCTGGTTCAGGTGCGTGGTGGTGGTGGTGGTCACCTGGGGGAGCTGGTTCAGGTGCGTGGTGGTGGTGGTGGTGGTCACCTGGGGGAGCTGGTTCAGGTGTGTGGTGGTGGTGGTGGTGGTCACCTGGGGGAGCTGGTTCAGGTGCGTGGTGGTGGTGGTCACCTGGGGGAGCTGGTTCAGGTGCGTGGTGGTGGTGGTGGTCACCTGGGGGAGCTGGTTCAGGTGCGTGGGTGGTGGTGGTCACCTGGGGGAGCTGGTTCAGGTGCGTGGTGGTGGTGGTCACCTGGGGGAGCTGACTCAGGTGCGTGGTGGTGGTGGTCACCTGGGGGAGCTGGTTCAGGTGCGTGGTGGTCACCTGGGGGAGCTGGTTCAGGTGCGTGGTGGTGGTGGTGGTGATCACCTGGGGGAGCTGGTTCAGGTGCGTGGTGGTAGTGGTGGTGGTGGTGGTCACCTGGGGGAGCTGGTTCAGGTGCGTGGTGGTAGTGGTGGTGGTGGTGGTCACCTGGGGGAGAGACAGCGCAGCAGCGGCAGCGGGGCGTCGACTCTCGTGCCAGCTCGATGAGCTGCTCTCTACAACAGCTCTTGTTGTTGTTGTGTTTATTCTTCTTGTTGTTGTGTTTATTGTTGTGTTTCTTCTTCTTGTTGTGTTTATTGTTGTTGTTGTGTTTATTCTTGTTGTTGTGTTTCTTCTTCTTGTTGTGTTTATTCTTGTTGTTGTGTTTATTCTTGTTGTTGTGTTTCTTGTTGTTGTGTTTATTCTTCTTGTTGTTGTTGTGTTTATTCTTGTTGTTGTTGTGTTTATTCTTCTTCTTGTTGTGTTTCTTCTTCTTCTTCTTCCAAGAAGCGACCTGGCTATCACGAATGGCTGACATCATCACGATCATCCTCGTCGTTTGGGCATTTATAGCAGCGGCCAAATACAATACTCTAAACGCGTGATGCTGATTCTAAATGTGGAGGGGATAACCGGAGGACCCGGAGAGAGACACGCAGACTCCAAATACACAGCAGCAGGCATCGTCAAGAGTCAGGATCGAACCCACGACCTCCTGTACACCAGGCGAGGTAGTCACTGTGATGGTGAGAGAGAGAGGCTTGTAAACCCACGACCTCCTGTACACCAGGCGAGGAAGTCGATTTTTCTGACAGATATTGCGATTTGATTTGCGATAAAAATTAAAGTCCAGCTTCAGTTCAATATTCACTGTGTAATAGATTTAAAACATGTGATGGAGCATTACCACGTGATACCATCAAAATATGAACAGCTCTATATATTCTAATGCAAGGATGAGAACTTAAAAGATATGAATTGCTTCCAACATGTATTTATTAAAATGCTTTAATTGAAATAGAACAATCAAACATAGAACAATTGTTAAGTTAAATAATTAAAGTTATAATAATAATAAAATAAAACAATTCCATTAAGAAAGTAATCGGACTTTTCAAATCGCAAAAATCGCAGCCTTTGCGATTTGCTAAACGCATTGTTTCAAATTGCGATTTCGATTTGAAATCGATTAATCGTTCAGCCCTACGGCAGGGTCGGGATCGAACCCGCGCCCTCCTGTACACCAGGCGAGGTAGTCACTGTGATGATGAGAGAGAGAGGCTTGTAAACCCACGACCTCCTGTACACCAGGCGAGCTAGTGAACATCTCCTCGCCACCGCTCCCCGTGCGTTGAGAACGAACGGCGCCACTTGGCTGGTAATGAAGAGCGCCCACGAGTGGGGGGCTCGGGGCTTGCTTTGTGGACTGAGCAAACACGGGGGGGGGCAGGGGGGGCAGGGGGGGCAACACCGCTAGTCGCTCGCTCGCTCACTCCCTCACTAACTCGCTCGCTTACTAACTCGCTCGCTCACTTACTCACTCACTTACTCACTCGCTTACTTACTCACTTACTCGCTCGCCCACTCACTCGCTCACTTACTCGCTCACTTACTCGCTCACTTGCTCACTCACTTAATCACTCACTCGCTCACTCACTCGCTCACTCACTCACTTACTCGCTCACTTAATCACTCACTCACTTGCTCACTCACTTACTCGCTCGCTCGCCCACTCACTCACTCACTCGCTTACTCGCTCACTTAATCACTTACTCACTCGCTCGCTCACTCGCTCACGTACTCACTCACTCGCTCACTCACTCGCTCGCTTTCTTTTGAGCCTAGTCTCAAATCGGTGTTTGACCAGACGAGGCTCAAAAGAAAGCTGTCTCTGGTGTGGACCAATCCGTTTCAAAGACAATGCATATATTATCAGAGTATGTGTTTTGTTTGCATTCTGACCACAAGTATTGTGGTTAATTCAGACATGATTCCTTGTAAAAGGTTACAGTTTGGTGTTTTAACATCTCAGCACCTGTTTTGTTGCCAGAAAAAAGGGCAAAACCAACTCTCACAACTCCTATTGTATTGCCAGAAAGGATAAAACCTCTTCTTATTATTTCAAACTTTGACTCTGGAAAAAACGGTCTCATGTTGTAGGTGGGGGGGGTTCGAACTCGTTTGTGTGCGTCGTGGTGTGCAAAGGGGGGCGCGATACACACAATATCCGTCGTACACAAAAAGTCTTCACCTCTGTGCGGCCTGATGCCGCTGGCGTGAGCGGCGTGGGTGGTGCGTGCACGGGGGGGGGGGGGGGGGAGCCCGGGTGGTAGCGTCACGAGTAGCGGAGTGGCGAAGTCGTGAGTCTTCAGCGAAAGTTGGATGCACAAGTGAAAGGCGACTGTATTAGCAGTTCTGAGTACTGTGCTGCCAGTTGGAAGCTACTGCTTCACAGCTCTATGCATATCTGAATGAAAGCGATGATACACCCCATGATTATTGTCTGTTGTGCCAACTTCACCGGCCACTCGTGAATCGTCGCTGAGACGACGCTGATGATGAAGCCCCCTTCTCCTCCGTGGTGCCTGTGACCCCGACGCCGAGTCTGTTCCACGTTCCACGGATGGTGGAAGTTCAAGGCGTGTTGAACTTCTTTCGCACCGTACGTAGCCAACCGTGCTACTCGGAGGTGCGGGGGGAAGGACAACAAACTAAAACACAAAGAAGTTCTAAATAAATTAGTTTTCAATCGAGATGATGCAAAGGTGCATATCTCACAGCGACTTCCTCATATCAGACGGAAGAGCGTTCCAGACGGCCGCAGAAGCGCGCGATACAGTGGCCGTCTTTTTTCGATGGCCAGCAGCCAAAAGCCGCCGCTGCTGCTGCTGCTGCTCTGAGGATGACTGGAGTTTGCGTGATGGTGGTTGAGGCTTCTTGACGAGATCGGCAGCAAGGTATTGTGCTTCGTTCTGTGTACAACGCCCAATACCAGCAAACGCCATTCGCCACTAAGTGACGTCGACGTCACCACGGCGCCTGTGGCAGGCCACGTGCACTTTGAGGCCACGTGCACTTTGAGGCCACGTGAAGTGTCGAAGGCTCGTTGACAGGAGGTCGCGGGACAGACCCACGTGTCGTTATTATGCCGACGGACCCACATGGGTTGACTGACAGACGACTGGCAGATACACCAGATGTGCCCCCCTACCGTGCCAACTTGCTCTCATTTTATCCGCCCGGCGCTTCGCTCGTTGTTGTGAGCGTCGCTCCTCTGGCGTCCGTTGTTGTTGTTGTTGTTGGAGGGCGACTGCCTCCAACTGCCCAGGAGCAGCGTCCTTCATGAGTCTCCATCACACACACACACACATGCCGATGGACATAGTGTTGTTGTCCACCGTGAGCTCGTGGTGACTCCCATCTCCGTCTGGAGGGCCGCTGTCGCCTCGTGTGTTCATGACCAGAGAGGGGAGATCCGGTAACGACATTGACAATATAAGAGCCACTTAGATTTGATTCTGTTGTTGGTCAAATTAGGTAGACAAACGAAGGGAAAAAACCCCCACAAATCAATATTTCAAGAGGCCGTGGACGGTGCGATGTGGTGAGTGCGAGCAAGACGGTGGTGCTCGTCAACAAACTCACCAAGTGGTGAGTGCGAGCAAGACGGTGGTGCTCGTCAACAAACTCACCAAGTGGTGAGTGCGAGCAAGACGGTGGTAGTCGTCAACAAACTCACCAAGTGGTGAGTGCGAGCAAGACGGTGGTAGTCGTCAACAAACTCACCAAGTGGTGAGTGCGAGCAAGACGGTGGTGCTCGTCAACAAACTCACCATGTGGTGAGTGCGAGCAAGACGGTGGTAGTCGTCAACAAACTCACCAAGTGGTGAGTGCAAGCAAGACGGTGGTAGTCGTCAACAAACTCACCAAGTGGTGAGTGCGAGCAAGACGGTGGTAGTCGTCAACAAACTCACCAAGTGGTGAGTGCAAGCAAGACGGTGGTAGTCGTCAACAAACTCACCAAGTGGTGAGTGCAAGCAAGACGGTGGTAGTCGTCAACACACTCACCAAGTGGTAAGTGCGAGCAAGACGGTGGTAGTCGTCAACAAACTCACCAAGTGGTGAGTGCGAGCAAGACGGTGGTAGTCGTCAACAAACTCACCAAGTGGTGAGTGCGAGCAAGACGGTGGTAGTCGTCAACAAACTCACCAAGTGGTGAGTGCAAGCAAGACGGTGGTAGTCGTCAACAAACTCACCAAGTGGTGAGTGCAAGCAAGACGGTGGTAGTCGTCAACACACTCACCAAGTGGTAAGTGCGAGCAAGACGGTGGTAGTCGTCAACAAACTCACCAAGTGGTGAGTGCAAGCAAGACGGTGGTAGTCGTCAACAAACTCACCAAGTGGTGAGTGCGAGCAAGACGGTGGTAGTCGTCAACAAACTCACCAAGTGGTGAGTGCGAGCAAGACGGTGGTGCTCGTCAACAAACTCACCATGTGGTGAGTGCAAGCAAGACGGTGGTAGTCGTCAACAAACTCACCATGTGGTGAGTGCGAGCAAGACGGTGGTAGTCGTCAACAAACTCACCAAGTGGTGAGTGCGAGCAAGACGGTGGTAGTCGTCAACAAACTCACCAAGTGGTGAGTGCGAGCAAGACGGTGGTAGTCGTCAACAAACTCACCAACTCCCGCACGTGGCCGTGCCCTGCTCTCGAAGTCGAAGGCCACGTGATGCCCGTCACCACGACCCCTTCTCAATCTCGCTTCGTTTGCTCTGTTCTTCCACGTGTTAATTGTACTTTCGACTTAATTACCCTCGTTCAATGTTCGTCTCAACCTTAATTTAATCTCGTGTTCGAGTCTGTTGTACTTTGTAATGTTTGTATTATTGTCATATTACATTTTGAGTACTTTTAATAGTGTCTCTAATGTGTTATGTTCGTGTGTGAACCTGTTTGACCCAGGTCTCCGTTGAGTAGGAGGAGACTTTGTCTCAATAGGCTCCCTGGTGCCAGTTCACTCTGTAGGGGGGTTGACCATGACTACTGTGTTATCGTTAGAATGCCACTTAGTTACCCAGTGACAGCCTCACTAAGTGTCTCACAACTCTTTTTCAAGAGAGTCCTGCCGAGTTGTAGCAGGAGACGATGCTGCTGCTGCTGTGTGATCCCAATTGAGAAATGTGTGGATAATATCACTCACTCCGTAGTACAGGGGGATATCATACAAACTCCACTCACTCACTCCGTAGAACAGGGGGAGATCATACAAACTCCACTCACTCACTCCGTAGTACAGGGGGAGATCATACAAACTCCACTCACTCACTCCGTAGTACAGGGGGAGATCATACAAACTACACTCACTCACTCCGTAGAACAGGGGGAGATCATACAAACTCCACTCACTCACTCTGTAGGACAGGGGGAGATCATACAAACTCCACTCACTCACTCTGTAGGACAGGGGGAGATCATACAAACTCCACTCACTCACTCTGTAGGACAGGGGGAGATCATACAAACTACACTCACTCACTCACTCCGTAGAACAGGGGGAGATCATACAAACTCCACTCACTCACTCTGTAGGACAGGGGGAGATCATACAAACTCCACTCACTCACTCTGTAGGACAGGGGGAGATCATACAAACTCCACTCACTCACTCACTCTGTAGGACAGGGGGAGATCATACAAACTCCACTCACTCACTCACTCTGTAGGACAGGGGGAGATCATACAAACTCCACTCACTCTTTAGGACAGGGGGAGATCATACAAACTCCACTCACTCTTTAGGACAGGGGGAGATCATACAAACTCCACTCACTCACTCACTCCGTAGGACAGGGGGAGATCATACAAACTCCACTCACTCACTCACTCTGTAGGACAGGGGGAGATCATACAAACTCCACTCACTCACTCTTTGGGACAGGAGGAGATCATACAAACTCCACTCACTCTGTAGGACAGGGGGAGATCATACAAACTCCACTCATTCTTTAGTACAGGGGGAGATCATACAAACTCCACTCACTCTTTAGGACAGGGGGAGATCATACAAACTCCACTCACTCACTCTGTAGGACAGGGGGAGATCATACAAACTCCACTCACTCTTTGGGACAGGGGGAGATCATACAAACTCCACTCACTCATCTGTAGGACAGGGGGAGATCATACAAACTCCACTCGCTCTTTAGGACAGGGGGAAATCATACAAACTCCACTCACTCACTCTGTAGGACAGGGGGAGATCATACAAACTCCACTCACTCTTTAGGACAGGGGGAGATCATACAAACTCCACTCACTCTTTAGGACAGGGGGAGATCATACAAACTCCACTCACTCTTTAGGACAGGGGGAGATCATACAAACTCCACTCACTCACTCTGTAGGACAGGGGGAGATCATACAAACTCCACTCACTCTTTAGGACAGGGGGAGATCATACAAACTCCACTCACTCTTTAGGACAGGGGGAGATCATACAAACTCCACTCACTCACTCTGTAGGACAGGGGGAGATCATGCAAACTCCACTCACTCTTTGGGACAGGGGGAGATCATACAAACTCCACTCACTCACTCTGTAGGACAGGGGGAGATCATGCAAACTCCACTCACTCTTTGGGACAGGGGGAGATCATACAAACTCCACTCTCTCTGAAGAAGAGGAGGGAAGGGGGATTGAGAGAACGCACAAACCCCACACACACACAGAGATGGGCGCCCGAGTCTGGTGTCGAGCTCACGCGGCTCTGCTCGCGAGCGTCACCGCTCTGCCCTGTGACCCCCGCATGACCCCGCGCTCTCGTCCCCTGCCGTGTGCAGGCCAAGCCGCTCTACGGCGGGTGGCTGTGCCTCGCCCCAGAGGGGACCGACTTCGGGAACTCTCTGCAGAGGTCGAGGGTAAGTTCAGCGACAGGTCTCCTGCCCTTTAACATTCATTCGTCGCATCTTATTTATTATTGATATATATAGAGAGAGAAAGTGAGCGCCTTAGCTCAAGGCGCGCTCTCTCTCTCTAACGTTTTAAAAGCGGTAACAAAAATAGTGGTTTAGATGGCAGTGTTGAGTCTATGGGTAGCAATGCTGAGTCTATGGGTAGCAGTGCTGAGTCTATGAGTAGCAGTGCTGAGTCTATGGGTAGCAGTGCTGAGTCTATGGGTAGCAGTGCTGAGTCTATGGGTAGCAGTGCTGAGTCTATGGGTCAGAGGTGGGACAAAGTCATTGTTATGCAAGTCCAAGTCGAGTCTGAAGTCATCAAATTCATGACTCGAGTCTGACTCGAGTCCAAGTCACATGACTCGAGTCCACACCTCTGCTATGGGTAGCAGTGCTGAGTCTATGGGTAGCAGTGCTGAGTCTATGGTGCAGTGCTGAGTCTATGGTTAGCAGTGCTGAGTCTATGGGTAGCAGTGTTGAGTCTATGGGTAGCAGTGTTGAGTCTATGGTGCAGTGTTGAGTCTATGGGCAGTGCTGAGTCTATGGGTAGCAGTGCTGAGTCTATGGGCAGTGTTGAGTCTATGGGCAGTGCTGAGTCTATGGGCAGTGTTGAGTCTATGGGTAGCAGTGTTGAGTCTATGGTGCAGTGTTGAGTCTATGGGCAGTGCTGAGTCTATGGGTAGCAGTGCTGAGTCTATGGGCAGTGCTGAGTCTATGGGTAGCAGTGCTGAGTCTATGGGCAGTGTTGAGTCTATGGGCAGTGCTGAGTCTATGGGTAGCAGTGCTGAGTCTATGGGCAGTGCTGAGTCTATGGGCAGTGCTGAGTCTATGGGCAGTGTTGAGTCTATGGGTAGCAGTGCTGAGTCTATGGGTATTAGTGTTGAGTCTATGGTGCAGTGCTGAGTCTATGGGTAGCAGTGCTGAGTCTATGGGCAGTGCTGAGTCTATGGGTAACAGTGCTGAGTCTATGGGCAGTGCTGAGTCTATGGGTGACAGTGCTGAGTCTATGGTGCAGTGCTGAGTCTATGGGTAGCAGTGCTGAGTCTATGGGTAGCAGTGCTGAGTCTATGGTGCAGTGCTGAGTCTATGGGTAGCAGTGCTGAGTCTATGGGTAGCAGTGTTGAGTCTATGGGTAGCAGTGTTGAGTCTATGGTGCAGTGTTGAGTCTATGGGCAGTGCTGAGTCTATGGGTAGCAGTGCTGAGTCTATGGGCAGTGCTGAGTCTATGGGTAGCAGTGCTGAGTCTATGGGCAGTGTTGAGTCTATGGGCAGTGCTGAGTCTATGGGTAGCAGTGCTGAGTCTATGGGCAGTGCTGAGTCTATGGGTAGCAGTGCTGAGTCTATGGGTAGCAGTGCTGAGTCTATGGTGCAGTGCTGAGTCTATGGGTAGCAGTGCTGAGTCTATGGGTAGCAGTGTTGAGTCTATGGGTAGCAGTGTTGAGTCTATGGTGCAGTGTTGAGTCTATGGGCAGTGCTGAGTCTATGGGTAGCAGTGCTGAGTCTATGGGCAGTGTTGAGTCTATGGGCAGTGCTGAGTCTTTGGGCAGTGTTGAGTCTATGGGTAGCAGTGTTGAGTCTATGGTGCAGTGTTGAGTCTATGGGCAGTGCTGAGTCTATGGGTAGCAGTGCTGAGTCTATGGGCAGTGCTGAGTCTATGGGTAGCAGTGCTGAGTCTATGGGCAGTGTTGAGTCTATGGGCAGTGCTGAGTCTATGGGCAGTGCTGAGTCTATGGGCAGTGCTTAGTCTATGGGCAGTGCTGAGTCTATGGGCAGTGTTGAGTCTATGGGTAGCAGTGCTGAGTCTATGGGTATTAGTGTTGAGTCTATGGTGCAGTGCTGAGTCTATGGGTAGCAGTGCTGAGTCTATGGGCAGTGCTGAGTCTATGGGTAACAGTGCTGAGTCTATGGGCAGTGCTGAGTCTATGGGTGACAGTGCTGAGTCTATGGTGCAGTGCTGAGTCTATGGGTAGCAGTGCTGATTCTATGGGTAGCAGTGCTGAGTCTATGGGTAGCAGTGCTGAGTCTATGGTGCAGTGCTGAGTCTATGGGTAGCAGTGCTGAGTCTATGGGTAGCAGTGCTGAGTCTATGGGTAGCAGTGCTGAGTCTATGGTGCAGTGCTGAGTCTATGGGTAGCAGTGCTGAGTCTATGGGTAGCAGTGCTGAGTCTATGGGTAGCAGTGCTGAGTCTATGGTGCAGTGCTGAGTCTATGGGTAGCAGTGCTGAGTCTATGGGTAGCAGTGCTGAGTCTATGGGTAGCAGTGCTGAGTCTATGGTGCAGTGCTGAGTCTATGGGTAGCAGTGCTGAGTCTATGGGTAGCAGTGCTGAGTCTATGGGTAGCAGTGCTGAGTCTATGGTGCAGTGCTGAGTCTATGGGTAGCAGTGCTGAGTCTATGGGTAGCAGTGCTGAGTCTATGGGTAGCAGTGCTGAGTCTATGGTGCAGTGCTGAGTCTATGGTGCAGTGCTGAGTCTATGGGTAGCAGTGCTGAGTCTATGGGTAGCAGTGCTGAGTCTATGGGTAGCAGTGCTGAGTCTATGGTGCAGTGCTGAGTCTATGGGTAGCAGTGCTGAGTCTATGGGTAGCAGTGCTGAGTCTATGGGTAGCAGTGCTGAGTCTATGGTGCAGTGCTGAGTCTATGGTGCAGTGCTGAGTCTATGGGTAGCAGTGCTGCTCAATGTGCAGGGGAAGTTGATTCCAGTGGAGGGCTGCAAGGAGGGAGAAGGACCGAACAGGGAGGAGGAGGAGGGACGGAGAGAAGATTGGATACGAAGAGGACGAGACACGGAGGAGACACGGAGGGAGATGAGAGAGGCGAGATGAGGTGGGGAGTGGCTGCAGGAGGAGGAGATGTAACTCGTCTGTCCCGTGACTTGCTCTCTCGTCGTCACAGAAATGGCAGAGGCGCTTTTTCCTGCTCTACGAGCACGGGGAGCTGCGCTACGCCCTGGACGCCGTGGTAAGGCCGTGGTGGTGGTAAGGCCGCCGTGGTGGTAAGGCCGCGATGGTAAGGCCGCCGTGGTGGTAAGGCCGCGGTGGTAAGGCCGCCGTGGTGGTAAGGCCGTGGTGGTAAGGCCATAGTGATAAGGCCGCCGTGGTAAGGCCGCCGTGGTAAGGCCGCCGTGGTAAGGCCGCCGTGGTAAGGCCCTCTGTGGCAGCCTCCGTCGTGTGACCCGGCTGCTCCGCAGCGCTACCGCCCTGGGGTTGTGTGCCACGTCGATGTTGCAGAAGACTTGTGGTGGTGGTGGTGATGTTGGTAGTGGTGATGGTGGTGGTGATGGTGGTGGACCTCAGGGCCGTATTGTCCAATAGGCCACAGGAGGCACTGTGCCTACGAAAACTAAAAAGGGCCTAACCAAAAAAATGTTGACCATTTTTGTTGTTGTTTGTATGATACAAAACAATTTAACCAAGATATCTTGCATAGATATATTTACATAGCAAGGATAGTCACAGTGTACATACAAAGAGGCAGAGTCATTCAGTGTCAATGTTTTTTTATGAGGTGAGAGAGAAACTAACACCGGAGGTGAACGTTTTTAAAAAAAATTAATTGCAAACCTCGCAATAACATCTTCAAATGGTGCTTTTCGTACAATCTCATTATCAATAGAGAGCAGCGCAAGGGAAGGACGAGGCGTTATCACTGAAGGCCTATAAACAGAAGTGCCTTGGGTCTACAAGAACCTGAATCCGGCCCTGGTGGTGGTGATGATGACGATAATTAACTTTTGTAAAGTGACGCCTTTTATTCCGTGAATCGCCACCAATGCACCACCACTGCGTATGGAAAGCCGGGGGATAGACAGCACGTGCAGGGTACACGGCCAGAACTACAGGCAGGGGCTGACTGCCAGCTCGCAGGGGAGAGGTGTCGAGACAGACTTGAATATATCTGAAGGATTATCTCATTGTCTTGCTGGCATAGAGCAACAAAAGGTTGATCCAAAGCCTGGGAGTTGCACAGTGGCACAAGCCCGAGACGTGAAGGGACAGGGCCTTGACTTGATGATGTTATTGTTGATGATGTTGATATTGATGTAGACTCCAGCTTGTTCAGAATGCAGCTACTAGGGTGCTTACACCACGTACACACATTACACATCACACCAGTCCTCATGTCCCTTCATTGGCTACCGGTAAAATCCGAGTGGATTTTAAGATGCTGCTCTGTGCTCACCCCACATTACTTACAGGAACTAACACATTTATATATTCCATCAAGGTCCTTAAGATCTTGTGATCTCCAACTGCTCAGCACTCCCAGGTCTACAGGCTGTGCTCTTTTGGCGATCGGGCTTTTGTTAGCGTGGCACCCAAGCTATGGAACGCCTCGCCACTTGAAATCAGGCAATCAGAGTCAGAGATATATTGAAGTCTGCTTTGAAACCCATCTCTTTAAAGTGGCCTCCCTCTTCAGTTTGGTCGGTTGGCCGTGCTGGTTCCCTTTTTGTTTCCTGCTTTCCATGCATTGCGCCGTGGAATCCTAGGGTGGAATGCGCATTAAACATTTTCATTATTATTAATGTAGATGCTATTGATGTTAATGTTATTGTTGATGTAGATGTTGTTGATGTTGTTGATGTCGTTGTTAATGTTGTTGGTGATGTTGTTGATGTCGTTGTCGATGTTGAAGTTGTTGATGATATTATTGATGTCGATGTTCTTGTTGATGTTGTTGATATTGTTGTTGATGATGTTGACGTTGTGGATGTTGTCGATGTTGACGTTGTGGATGTTGTCGAGAAGTTCTTGTCGATGATGTCGTTGTCGTCGAGTGCAGCCGAGCACGTTGCCGCAGGGCGTCGTGAGCATGTCGGAGGTGGTGGAGGTGGTGGAGGCTGAGAGCCGCACAGGCCAGAGGAACTCGCTGTGCATCTCCACGCCACAGCGACACTTCTTCGTCCGCGGAGAAACCCGGGAGGACATTGGCGGGTCGGTCTCCAGCAGCAGCAGCAGAAACCATTTCACTGCCTCCTGTTGTTGTTGTTATTATGATAATGAATACAATAAGGATAGGATTTACCCTTCCTGGCAAGGATACAGGAGGTGTTAAGATGTTCAAACACCAAATAGACACCTTTTACAGGAAAGGTTTTAGCCTGTTAATTTTAATCAGTTTGATATCGGCAAAATGGCTCCCATTGATAACACTGCTCGGCCCGAGGCGCTGACACTTTGATATTTGCACTGCCTCTGTGCTGTTTGCCTGCTGGCGTTGTTCTCTGGCCTCACTGGTGGTGAGACGAGGCCAGACACGAGGCTCCTCTGGTGTAGGCCAATAGGTTTCAGAGACAGAGGCATCATCAAGTCACAATTAACCACCGTATACGCGGCAAAAAATGCCAACACACGTGCCCTGGTAACAATGTACCCATTGTATTTGAGACTGACAGCAGCCTTCGTTATGGCCTTGTCTCAACCACCAGTGTTAGGCCAGAGAACAGTGCCACAAGTCGAACAGTACAAAGGCAACGCAAGTATTGAAGTATTCACAGCTCGGGTTGAGCAGTTAGAGCTATGGGACCTTTTTGGCAGCATCAAAACGATGAAACAATTCTAAATATTACGATGATCTCTGTTGTTAATATCGCCCGAGCCAAACCACCCATCGTCTATCTGGGTCAAGCCTCGGTAGGGAGGTGGCAACACGGGTGTCCACTCGGGTGCAGAATCAGACTGGAGGAGGAATCCGAAGAGCTACAAAGCTCTTTTTCACAGCTGTCCAGTCGGGGCGGGCAGTGCCTGCGAGGTGAGAGGCGTCCCCCTGCACCACCTCGCTCCGTTTGCCGCTCCGGCGTGAAACTCAAAGCGCTGACACGGCCCCCCCCCCGACCCCCCATCCCACACAGCTGGCAGGAGGTGCTGGGCCCCTACGTGCTCGTCAACAAACAGACGCTGAAGAAGCGGAACGCTGGGAAGTCTCTCCAGCAGGTACACGGAGCTCGCCCCAGCCAGACAGCCAGACCCACTCGCCGCCATAGCTGCACTCACGACGCACGCACACAGCCATGACGTCGCTGCAAACAGAGCACGTGGCACACAAAACAATACTTGTAATATAGTAAAACATATTTGAGCCCCCCACCAAAAGTAATGTTCCCGCACTGTCTGCGCTGGTAACACAATCTCTGTCTGACGGCGTCACGGTCGGCCCGCCGTTCATCATCCCACTGCATTGCTTCGACTCCGTGCTGTGTCGGTGGCCAGCCGTGTCGCTGGCCAGCTGTCTCCCGATTTGGGTCGAGGCTTTTCCGACAGCTCATCGCTGTTTTTAACCCTCTCGGTCCGACGCGGCCACAGCCTCACGGCACCAAGCACCCTGGGTTCGATTCCCGACTCGGGGGGCGCCCTCGCTCTGCGGAGTTTGTACATTCTGTGCGTTACGTACATAGGTGTGCCTGTTGAACTTTGTTTCTCACCGTACGTAGCCAAGCGAGTCTCCCCCGGGTTTCTCTGGTTTCCTCTCATCTCTAAAAAAAAAGTCTCACGCAGTGTGACTGGTATCGGCCAAACATCCCGATGTTGAAACCTCATTACTTGCGTTCTAGATTTGAAGCTTTCGTGACTGCAAGGATTCATACTCGTAGGATTTTTTGGTAAAGTCACGTAGGAAAAAATAATAATAAAATAAAATAATAATAAACTGATTAATTTTCATTTATAATTCTTTTATTTTATTATAATTTTTTACCTACGTGACTTTACCGAAAAAAACTAAGAGTATCATTACTTGAAAATAACTCCATTGGGGCTGACACAGCAGCAGCAGCAGCAGGGGTAGAGTCGCAGCTTCCTGTGAACAATTGGCACAACCCTCTTTGAAAATACTCTTGCGACTCTGCGAGGCTTTCGAAGATTGACTGATGGAATTGAAGGAGCGGAAATTCGATCGGCGGTTGGCGTCGAGAAGCCGGTGTATTTCGATTGTTATTTGAACAGGTAAGGCCCACTGAGCTGTATGGCTCTGACATGCCAATCTTCTCACGCCAATCACAATGTGAGACGGCTCCCGCTACATTGACATGCTGATCTCTCATCTCTAGCAATACAATGGCCGCCTCTTCAGGACCATAGTCGTGAAGTTTCTCAGACTCTCCAATCTTACATGTACATGCAAATTACACCTCTAGCCCCCCCCCCCCCACTTACCCTTGGCTTGCACCCATCTCAAACCTCAATAACCTCTTGCTGCTGCAGCAGCTCTCCCGATATCTTTCTCCTGCCTCTGCAGTCCGCCTGCTGTATTTTTTCACCTGAAGACGATTGCTTGTGTTGTGATCTAAACGTCGTGATTTTGTATTATTTGTCTATCTACGTGACTTTACCGAAAGACCCAAAGAGTGTATAAAGCTCTTACCTCAGAAGCGACCTGGCCACAAATGATAGCTCAACAAAGTGGCTTATCACGTGCAAATGTATCGCAGCCAAACAAAGTAATCTAAACGCACGTTGATTCTAATCGTGGAGGGTAAACCCGGAGGACGTGGAAAAATATCCAAGCGACAACGGGGAGAGAGAGAGACACACGCAAACTCCAAATATACAACGGGCATCACCAGCGTCAGGATCGAACCGACGACCTCTTGCATACCAGGCGAGGGAGATGACATCTCCTAGCCACTGAGCGGACAATTTATTGGAGTGATTTTTTTGGCAGGAGCCGAGCCCACCCAAGGCGACCTCGGGTCACGATGCCACGGACGAGCCCGGAGCCACGGACGCCGCCTTCCCGCAGTGTCGGCCTGGAGACCACTCCAGCTGCCCGACGTTCATGCAGCAGATGCACCATCGCTCACGGACACGCGGTACCCCCAAAGACAAAGACACCCCCATATAGCCGTAACAGAGTGTGGGGGCAAGTGCTGTTAGAGTATTTGGCCGCTATAAGTGTCCACATTAGGATGAGCCACTTCGTTGGGCAATCACTTGTGGCCAGGTCACTTCTGAAAAAGAGCCACATGGCTCAGCGGGCCTTACCTGGTAAAATAAAAACTGCTTCGTTTTTACTTTTATGCTCCGACGGCGGAGCGAGCGGCTCGCGTTCAGAAAGGTCGCGAGTTCAAATCCACGGCGGGCGAGTTGACTCGACCCACCGTCCCTGAGCCGCACTTCACGCCCAACTCGACAGTCCAACCCAAGCCCTCTGCGAGGGTTGTGAGGTGCGGGTGGCACCGCTACGCCACCCTCGCCTCACGCTCCTCATCCCAATCTCTGTCCACGCTCCCTGACCGGTTAAAGCCGTGGGGGGGGGGGGGGGGTGATGCGTCGGATGCCGACGCTACCACCCCCTCCCCGCCGCCTTCATCTCCCCAGAGATGACCATTCACACACTTTGCCATTTATTTATTTTCAGCCGAGTTAATTTAGGGCATGTCCGCACTACGTTCCGATTCCAAAATAAGTGGTGCACTTAATGAGGACGCCGCTTGGATTTCTATCACAGCCGTGATCGCAGAGCGCTCGCTAATGACCGCAACCCAACAAAGACAAAGATCCCCCGTGTAGCCTTTAAAAGACTGTAGGGGCAAGTGCTGTTAGCGAGCAGCACCGATGAAGGCCGGCACTGTGGCACACGATGAGGTGGGTGGCCAGCACCTCGCCCGGCCACCTTTGTCTCCCAGTGGCGATGTTTACACCACCGCGCCAGGTACTAGTTTGAGGCCGAGTCGACCTAGGGGAGGCCCAGGACCGGTTCAAATAATTCTCACCGCTGTTGGGGGAATCGAACTCGGTTCGACCGGGTTTGTTGCACAGCGCGCTAACCGCTGCGCCACCGCTCCCTAACACACACACAGAAAAAACCTGCTCTGTAAACAAACATTCTCCAAATAAATAATGAAAGACGACAAATTATTAAACGGTTATATTAATGACGCATATTCCACATTCATGTTTATTTACAACTTGTCATAGTTAGAATGCGTAATAATAGAGCCTGTTGCCACTGCTAGGATCATAACAGGAAGGAAACAGAATTCGATGCCCATATAACTTGATCAACACGCCCGAGAGCCTTGGCCCACATGCGTGGACGTCCACTCACGTAATAAAGAGAGACGTTGCAGTCCTAGTCATTCTGCTGAGACACAAGGAGAGTATCCGGCCGGCCGGTAGAGGGAGTGGCTCACAATCGGAAAGGTTGTGAGTTCACATCCTGGTTGGAGGGGAGGGGGTTGACTCGGCCCATCATCATCATCATGGATCCGGGGGTTGATAAAATCAGTATCACTTTTTGTGGAAGTCACCAGAAATTGTCTGACGTCCACCTCCTGCTCTGGGCTGCGAACGGGAGATAAGCACCAACAGAATCAGGAGCTTTACTTCGACTGGAGGAGGGATCCGATGAGCTATGAAGTTCGCACGGAATCAGACAGTTACAACAACGACGAACAATACAGACACTGATATGAGTGTAAAGTATCGGATAGCTCTAAGCAAGGCACTAAATATTAATTAAAATAAATAAAGGCTATGAGTCCAAATTGCATAAGTACATCAATACCTGCCAATTTATCAACACCAAATGCAATCTTGGGCAAGGCAGCAAAAAACAACAACAACAACAATAGTCTCAGACCACCCCTAGACAACTACAGTCTCAGACCACACCAAGACAACAACAACAACATCATCATCATCACCATCAACGTCACGATCCGTGGGCAGGTAGCCCCGTAGGTGTCCCCTGCAACGTCTCGCCGCGTGTTGCCACTTTCCTCTTCCGTCTTGTGCCAATAAACTCAAGTAGTGCCACCTCCGTCTGGCACCGATCTCTACCCGATGTCGTCGAGTGTCGGCATGAGAGATCGGTGCCAAGACGACACGCAGGCCCCTCAATGTAATTGCCGATGCATTTCAGTCGCAGTGTTTCAGTCGCAGTGTTTCAGTTGCAGTGTTTCAGTCGCAGTGTTTCAGCCGCAGTGTTTCAGCCGCAGACTCTGAGTGTGCACAGTAACCCGCGGCTGGACGGTGATTGGCGGTGACGGCCCGCAGGTGGACTCCCCAGATCTGCCTCGGCCTGCTCGCTAAGCCGGGACGATGTCTGTGAAGGCCGCACGTTGGAGGGGGCGGCCCGCGCAGGCCCCCCCGGAGGCCCGGCCTGCAGGTGAGGAGACGTACACCACAACACTGCCCATTGTCAGACGTGAGAGGTAAACTCTTGTCAAGATAAACCTTTTCACTGTAACAAACAATTCACTTGTTTTTCAGATGTGAGAAGGAGGCAGATTGTCTGCTGGTCTATTCCGTTACTTAGTTTCTCCACAGCGACACTCGCGATTATTTTGTGTTGTGTATTATAGAGTTTTGCGTTGGCTAAAACTATTAACTTGTTAAACTAAATATTCTTGATTCTTTCGGTAAAGTCATGTAGATAGAAAACAAAAAACCCACGACGTTTCGATCGCAACACAAGCGGTCTTCTTCAGGCGGAGAGATGATGAAGACCGCTCGTGTTGCGATCGCAACACGAGCTTTTAAGTCTAAATTGTTAAACTAAACTTGTAGTATTTTACCAGGTAAGTCACCACTGAGCTATGTAGCTCTTTTTGAGAAGTCACCTGGCCACAAATGATTGCTAGACGAAGTGGCTTATCACGTGGAAATCTAAGCAGCCAAATACTCTAAACACGTGAATGTTGCTTCTAAATATGGAGGGAAAAACCGAAGGACCCGAAGAAAAATCCATGCGACCACGGGGAGAGAGACACGCACACTCCAAATATCCAGCAGGCGTCATTGTCGTGATCGTACCCACCACCTCTTTCATACCAGGAGAGGGAGTTAACATTTTGTTACCGTGGCAGTCGCCACCGTGACTTAGGGACCCACATATATATAAAGAGATGGGTCCTACCCAAGAGACATCTGGCAAGTTCACCAGAATTTGGTTGAAAGCAAATCTGACTTTGCTGATGGCTTGCTGAAAGTCTTCTCTCCCAGGAGGTGGTGTTGCCGATGAGCCGCGTAAATAAATGGTTTTAAGTTTTCATGTGGAGCGACACAGCTCTTCCTACTTGTCTGCTGATTCATTTTCCAGAGCCGTCCCAAGGCTATATGGTAAATCGGGGCGACTGCCCCAGGCCCCGTGGAATGTAGCCGGTTAACGTGTTGCGCTACGAACCCGGCGACCCGAGTTCGATTCCTGCTCACGATCACCAACACCGGTGACGATTATCTGAACCGGTCCTGGGCCTCCCCTAGGTCGACTCGGCTACAAATGGGTACCCGGTGCGGTGTGTAAACACCGCCACTGGGGAGACAAAGGCGACCGGGCGCGGTGCTGTCCACCCCACCCTCTCGTGTGCCGTTCCAGCTGACAGCACATGCCCCAACAGTCTGTTAAGGCTATACCGGAGCGGCGGGGGTGGGGGATCTTTGTCTTTGTGTGGCGCGCAGGCTGAGTGTTGGCGATGGGGCGCAGGCGGTGGCCACTGGGAATGGCGACGTGAAAGGGCCCGGCCAGACACAGCAGCGATGTCCACCACAGGGGGAAGCAGCGCCGGTGACGAAGGTGCGGTGGCATCTACCGGGCGGCGCGCCCAAGTCACCTCGGCCTGGCAAATGCCCCGTGCGGCAAAACACGGCAGCCCAGCCAGGCCATGAAAGTCATTTAGATCTTCTTCTCCGTTGGTGCGGCTGCTGCTGATGTCAGTGCAGAGCGACGGCTGCAATGCCACGTGCAGCTGGTCAAGCCCAGGCAGCCGCGTCAGGAGCAGCAGCAGAGTCGTGAATCGTCGCTGTGGTGTCCCCTTCGGATTTGCGGATCGGGGCGTTGCGTCGTTACACGTTGCACGGTCTCTGTTCTGGATGACCACGGTCGCACGCTTCTACTGCTGGAGGGTTTTAATTTCCCATTTGTGCATCATCAGGCAACCCGCATCTACTGCCATGGTTTGTGCAGTGGATGCGGTTTAGGGGTTGACCACGAGCTTCGTGGAAGATCAAACGCAGGAATCTTCTGCGTTGGGTCTTTCACAACAAGGTGGTGTTTGTTTGTGACTTCTTTTGAACTCACCACAGCCCGCCATGACTTCTCTCCTGTGCCAGGTCCTGTCGGCACTCACCTGCTCAGTCTTTCACTATCTGGCTTCAGGCCTTTACTGCCCCTGCCACAGAAAATAAACTAAAAATACTATAAACTATTTTTATTTTGCCAGTTAATGCCCACTGAGATATCCGGCTCTTCTTCAGAGCTCTAGAGCTCAGTATAGTTCGCATGTCTCTCTTTCTCTCTCTCCGTGGTGGCCACTGCGTGAATTTTCCTCCGGGGTCCTCCGGTTTTTCCCTCCACATTTAGAATCGGCGTCACGCGTTTTTGGCTGCCGTTATAAATACCCACGTGACGATGGCAAGCCCACGTCGTCTTTCAGCTTTCTTGTGATAGCCAGGCCACGTCTGTAAAATAGCTCCGTAGCAGCTGAGTGGGGCTTTAAAAATAAACATCTTTATCTTGTCTGTGGACGCTCGAGCGTCCCGCACACATTCGGCTGCTGCTCGAATGCAGGAATTCAGGACGTCGTCCGTGCCAGTAAACAAGTCGTCACTGCCGCACGTCATTTGATCCCCCCGGAAGCTCAGGAACGCTGGGCCGGGTGTTTGGACCCCCTCATTACCTCCCACGGACGCGTCCATTCGTCACCCTCTCTCACACAGCGGAGCGCTTCTTTCAGAGTTAACGTGACTCCGATGCTGATGAAGTAATCCTTTACGACATGGATATACACGTGCATTACGACACGGCCCAGTTTATGACCGCGTGAAGCAACGGCGCTTGTTTTCCAAATATGCCAGTTGCCCACTGCTGCAGCCACACTCACACACGGCCAGCACCATGCCCTCTCATCTCGCCTCTCTCAGCTCCTGCCATGCCCTCTCATCTCGCCTCTCTCAGCTCCTGCCATGCCCTCTCATCTCGCCTCTCTCAGCTCCTGCCATGCCCCCCCATCTCGCCTCTCTCATCTCCTGCCATGCCCCCTCCACTCCTCCTCTTCGTTCCCAATCTTGTCCCCCTGTGCTAACTTCCCTTGTCTCACCTTGTCCCTTTCATTCTAGATTTGAGGATTTCGTGACTGCAAGGATTCATACTCTTAGGTTCTTTCGGTAAAGTCACGTAGGTAAAAAAAATAATAAATGAAAATAACTAAATTAAATCACGACGTTTCGTGTCTTGAATAGCTTTCTTCACACGCTACAGTAATTTTACTGGAGCAGTTACACCTGATGATGGAGGCTTGTGTTGCTTCCGAAACGTCGTGATTTAATTAAGTTATTTTATTATTATTTTACCTACATGACTTTACCGAGAGAACCTAAGGGTATGTCACCTTGTCCCTCTTTGCACCGCTCCGCTGGAGCGTTCTTCCGTCCGATATCACGAAGCCACTGGGAGCTGTGCACTTTTACATCGACATTGAAGACGCATTTCTGTAGAGCGGCTTCTTGTGTTTAGTTTGTTGTTGTCCTTCCCCCACATTTCCGATGAGCTACGTACGGTGCGAAAGAAGTTCAACATAAAAACAAAGATTCCTCCCCAGTATAGCCTTAACAAACTGTTGGGGCAAGTGCTGTTAGTGAGCACCTATGAAGGCCGGCATGACACACGAGGGGGTGGGTGGCCAGCATCACGCCCGGCCGCCTTTGCCTACCCAGTGGCGATATTTACACACCGCACCAGGTACTCATTTGAGGCTGAGTCGACCTAGGGGAAGCCCAGGACCGGTTTAGATAATCGTCACCGGTGTTGGTGGCCGTGAAAGGCAATCGAACTCGGGTTACCGGGTTCGTAGCGCAGCATAATGCTAGCCGCTACACTACCGCCCCCCACAACGCACACACACACATTTACACACACACACACATACACACACACACACAAATACATACACACATACACAGATACATACACACATACGTACACAGATACATACACACATACATACACACACATACACATACATACACACATACATACATACACACACAATGTAATGGACCGGTATGTCGCGGTGTCCCCCAACTCTCTCGCCAGGAGTTGAGCGCCAGGTTCGGCAGCGTCCTTCCCCCTGAGCGGCGAGCCAAGTCGCTCGACCGGCGGACGAGCGAAGCCACAATGACGGTGAGAGGGGTCAGGGGGCACGGGGCAGGGGTCACTCGAGGTGCGATCTGGAAGAGTCGATTGCGCTGGGTGAGTCGCGAGCGCTGGATCGCGGGGGGCCGGTCGCCAAGAAGCGCATTGGCGGCCAACCAAGAAAAAAACCCATAAATCAAATTGGTGGAACATTGGGGGAGCTTTGGTGTTGTGTGACAGCAGCGGTGGTCACACGGTGCGACGTGGCACTGGCTGGAGTGAAGTGTGTGGCGTGCACGGCTTCAGTCGCTACGACCTCATGACCTCAGAATCTATGTCATCGAGATGTTCTGGTACCAGTGATGGTCGCTAGGAGATGTCATCTCCCTCGTCCGGTATGCAAGAGGTCGTGGGTTCGATCCCGACCCTGATGACGCCTTGTTGTATATTTGGAGTTTGCGTCTCTCTCTCTCTCCGTGGTCGCGTGGATTTTTCTCCGGGTCCTCCGGTTTCTTCCCTCCACGTTTAGAATCAACATCACGTGTTTAGAGTAGTTGGCTGCTGCTATAAATTCCCACATGATGATAAGCCACTTCATTGAGCTATCAATTTGTGGCCAGGTCAATTCTGAATAAGAACTATTTTATAATTTTCGATTTAAAGCTTTCGTGACTGCAGGGATTCATCTTCTTGGTTCTTTCGGTAAAGTCACGTAGAATAGAAATAATAAAATGATAAAAATAAAACATAATAAAATAATTCTCACGACGTTTCGGCCACAACTCAAGCAGCCTTCCTCAGGTGAAGAACAGGTCTGTCGATAAGACAGAGTTTGAATGACACGTCCTAGGCTTGGAGCGTCTATTTAGGCACTCTTCCTCCTCCCTCCCAGCTTAAATAGACGCTCCAAGCCTAGGACGTGTCATTCAGACTCTGTCTTATCGACAGACTTGTTCTTCACCTGAGGACGGCTGCTTGCATTGTGGCCGAAACGTCGTGAGAATTATTTTATTATGTTTTATTTTTATCATTTTATTATAACTATTTTATAGTTCAGGGGGCCTTACCTGGTAAAATGAAACTCGTTTACTTCATTTCATTCGACCTGCATATGTGTGTTCTAGCCCGACCTATTGAACTTCAAGCAGGGTTGGCTCATGAGACTGGATGAAGATGATAAGGTACCCATCAATGTCCACCCTCTTACTCCATCGGTGACAAGTTTCGTGGCCACTACATACTGGCGGGCAGAGTGGCGGCATAGTGGTTAACGCTCGTGCTGCCTCAGAGCAAGAAGGCCCTGGGTTTGATTCCCGACCGTCCAGGTTCTATGGCTTCCTTCTGTCGATAAAAAAAGACACGTACAATGGAACTGATTTTGAGCGAATATCTTGATGCTGAAAATTAACTTAAAATTAATTGATTGAAATCACATACACACACACATGGACTTATGCACACCCGCACTTACGAATACCCGCACTTACACACACACCCGCACTGATAAAGACCCGACTTACGAACACCTGTACTTACTAACACCCGCACTTATGCACACCCGCACTGATAAAACCCTACTTACAAACACCTGCACTGAAGAACACCCGACTTACGAACACCCTCACTTCCGAACCAGCTTTCATGATTTTTTTTTTTACATTGACTAAACGCGCAGACTCTCACTTCAAAATCGAACCATGGCACTGTTTTGTTCAGCTGAGCGATCTCCACGAGATATAATGAGTCGGCCTTGTGCTGGGAGTGAGTGTTTGTCTGTGTGTGTGGGAAATTAAAGACAGTTGATTACCGAGTTCTGACTTGCGAACCGTTCGACTTACGAACGGCTCTCGGGAACGAGTTGCGTTCGTAAATCGAGGACTGCCCGAAATACAACAAGGGGAGAACGGAAACCCCACGCAGAACAAGGGGAGAACATACAAACCAACCAACGCAGAAAGGCGCCACGGGTTGGGAATCAAACCCGGGCCCTTGTTTTTGCCGCGAGATAGCACGAGCGTTACCACCGCACCATCATCCACTTGCACGCTTCTTTACCCTTCCCCCACACACGACATCTGCCTGTTTTCCCCGACCGGGATATTTTTCCCGCATTCTCCTCTCCCAGAGAGGCTCACCAGCTCAGAGGACGATTGTGAATTCGCGTCGGGCGTAATGATGAGCGGCGCATCCTGGAGCCTCCCGTTGTGTGATTGCGACGTTGTCTCTCGCCAGTGGCGGAAGCACTGGTTCGTGTTGACTGACGGCAGTCTCAAGTTTTACAAAGACTCCATGGCCGAAGAGGTGAGGTTTCTGAGAGTCGTTTATCTTTTCTGCTTAACGCACTCTCAACTGGGGCGCCGGGGTGGCGAGATGTTAACTACCTCGCCTGGTACACAGGAGGTCGTGGGTACAATCCTCACCCTAACGATGCCTGCTGCTGTATATTTGGAGTCTGCGTGTCTCTATCTCTCTCCCCGTGGTCACTTGGATTTTTCTCCGGGTCCTCCGGGTTTTCCCTCCACGTTTAGAATCAACATCACGTTTAGAGTATTTGGCTCATGCTATAAATATCCACACGATAATAAGCCACGTTGTTGTTGAGCTGTCATTTGTGGCCAGGTCGCTTCTGAAAAATAGCTATATAGTTCAGTGGGCCTTATCTGGTAAAATAAAAATAAAATTGTGAAGTAGATTAGTACTCATCCCCGGCACCCTACTCCCAAGACTATTCCGTGAGACTTCTTGGTGTGGGTCTGGGTCACTCACAAGGCCACTCCCTGAGACCTCTCTCGGTGTGGTCTGGGTCACTCACAAGGGCACTCCCTGAGTCCTCTTGGTGTGGTCTGCGTCACTCACAAGGGCACTCCCTGAGTCCTCTTGGTGTGGTCTGCGTCACTCACAGGCAGCGCTTCCTCTGCCCCCAGGCACTGGACGAGGACGGGGAGATCGATCTGACGACCTGCCACAACGTCGCGCCCCTCGACACGCAGAGGAACTACGGCTTCCAGATCCACGTGAGGGCCGCGACGCTCGTGCCGCGCAGCAAGAAGGGCCCGGGTTCGAACCCCGACCCGGGCACCTCGCTCTGCGTCGAATCGTATTCCTTCTATTTACGGGACTCTTTTGCCGGTATCAAAATGATGAAAAGAGAATAGGCTTCACCCTTTCTGGCAATAACACAGGAGGTGTTCAAACACCAAATAGACGCCTGTTGCTGTAAAGGGTAAAGTCTATTATTTTTTCATCACTTTGATACCGGCACAGATTGGTCCTGTAGATATAACTGCTCGAGCCGAGGCATTAATACTTTTATATTTGTATTGCCCTTTTGCCGTTCGCCTTTTGGTGTTCGCTGGTCTAACACCGGTGGTGAGACAAGGCCATACAGGAGGCTGTCTCTGATGTAGACCAATCAGTTTCAAATACAATGCATACATTTTAATGCAGACTTGACTATGCCTTGTGTCTGTTTGGTGTTCGAACATCTTGACACCTCCTGTATTATTCCCAGAAGTGAAGCCTATTACTTTTCCCATCATGTATGGGATCTGTATGGGTTGCCTCTGGGTTCTCCAGTTTACTCTCATAGCTAATATGAAAACATACAACACAATTGGTATCTATGTATGTTGAACTTCTTACCGCAACGTACATAGCCAACGGTGCTAATCGGAGGTGCGGGGGAAGGACAACAAACCAAACACACAAAGGAAACATCCCAACGCTGGAAAATGACCTCAAATGGAATTCCACAGCAGCAGCAGCAACATCGCGAGTCTGACTGCCGAAGAGACAGTTAAACGTCGAAACCAGCCCAGGGTTTTCCCACGAATCCGTTTCTCGTCGAGAGAAGCGCCACCCCCCCCCCCCCCCCCCCCACCGCAGCAGCTGCCGTTGCTCTTCCACAGACCTCGGACGGAGTGTTCACTCTGTCGGCCATGACGGCCGGCATCCGCAGAAACTGGGTGCAGAGTCTGAGCAGCAGCGTCCGCCCTGCCACGTCGCGCCGTCTCGCCAGGTGAGCGTCCTCGCTGTGCCCCCCCCCCTACCCCCGCGTCACTGTCCGAGGAAGATCGTGTCCACGCGCAAACGTGTGCCGTGCACATGAGATGGGACGCATTCAATCCATTCTGCCCGCTTGTCTGTATGTATGTACGTTGAACTTCTTTCGCACTGTACGTAGCCAACCGTGCTCATCATCTTGTTACTTGTCTTCTCCACAGCGACGCTCATGATTGTTTAGCGTGATGAATCATGACGTAGTTTTGCGTTAAACTAGGGCCAAGAGCGAACAGGGAAGTCCTTGTCTATCAGCATTGCTTCAAGCTAGGCCTGAGCTCTGCTGATGAGACGCTGAACGTCTAAAACCTGTCCAGAGTTTGCTCGTGTCTTGAGCCAGTCCTGCTGAGGTGAAGGCACTCCCACAAGGCCGTGCATTACCGATGGCGGAGGAGGCCTGTCGTCCACTGATGTGCTTTGTGACGCACGGCACAGCATCGTGGCGGAGTGCGGCACAGCCGTGCCAGACACCGCGGCGACGCAGCGCGGAGGGGAACTGCCGCCCCCCGGTCCCTCGTGGCCTCCGATTTCCACCGCCGCCGCCGCCGCCGCCACCGCCACTGCCGCCATTCCCCTCTTCGACCCGACGGGAGGCTGCCGAGGTCACGCTCGGCAGAGACGGAGGGATGGGCGCTCGCGCACGATCGACCTGGCCGACCTGCGGTCCCTACGCGAGGCGCTGCGCATGCAGAGCCGCCGGCAGTGCCGGCCCAGGGCCAAGACGGCGCTCATCCTGCCTCCCGGCATGGCAGCCCTGGCAGGGCCGGGTGAGCGAAGCGGCCTTCCCACCGTATGATCGTAATTGTTGTTTGCGAATGTTATTTTTGTTAAGTTTAAACCTGACCCGTGTATCGTTGGTAGTTCAATTGCAACATGAAATGTGTTTGAGGGACTGCGTGGTGTTGTTGTGGTCTTGGTGCGGTCTGGTTCTTCTTTTATTCTTCGACATCTGCGTCGTATTTACGCGTGGCAGGCGAAAGCGGCCCGCCGGCGGCACCGCCCCCGGGGGTCCGAGCGGCGCCCAACGGGGACCCCGGGAGGGATCCGCTCCCTCGGACCCCGGCGGAGACGCCCGGTGGGAGCGGCCCCCCCCTCCCCCCCGCCAGGCGCGGCGTCGACGACGACGAGGAAGAGGGGTCCGGCGTCGGGGGTCCCCCGGACTACGGAGGGGGGGCCCGGGGGGAGAGGAGGAGGAGCGGTGCGGGGTGGGACGGGGGGCCCTCCGCGCCCGGGCCCGGGCACGGCCACGATGAGATCGAACGGCGCTGGGTGCAGGTGACCGGCACCAGCACCAGCACCAGCACCGTGCTCGTGCACGTGGAGGCATCGGCGTGGCCGGGCCGGGCGGCTTTCGTTTCACAACCGGAGACAGGCGCAGGTCCCCCCCCGCAAAGGCCCAGAAACGTCAACCGACCGGCAACAAACGGCAGCGTTGTGGAAGACGCAATGCACGGAGGCAGCCGAACTCGAGGCTGTCACCTCGCTGAATGAAGTGGCGCCAGTTGTTGGCACTGGCAGACAGTCGAGAAATTGAGAGCAGTGTGTGTGTGTGTGACTGTGTGTGGGGCTGTGTGTGCCTGTATGTGTGGGGCTGTGTGTGTGGGGCTGTGCGGTAGTGTAGTGGTTCGCATGCCGCGCTCCGAACTAGGCGAACCGAATTCAATTCCCATACCAGTGACGATTATCTAAACCAGCCCTGGGCCTACCCGAGGTCGACTGAGCTTCAATTGAATACCTGGTGTGGTGTGTAAACATCGTCACTCGGGAGACGAAGGCGGTCGAGCGTGGTTTGAGCCACCTACCCCCTCGTGTGCTGTGCACTTGTCCCAACAGTCTGTTAAGGCTCCACCTTTGTCTTTGGGGATGTGTCACCGTGCTTGCAGGTGGAGACAACGCCTCTGCGAGACGACAAGCAGGTGCCCATCGCCACGCTGGCTGGCGGGCAAGGACCCATCGCCACGCTGGCTGGCGGGCACGGGCCCATCACGCTAGCTGGTGGGCAAGGGTCCATCGCCACACTGGGTGAAGGGCAAGGGTCCATCGCCACGCTGGGTGAAGGGCAGGGGCCCATCGCCACGCTGGGTGAAGGGCAAGGGCCCATCGCCACGCTGGGTGAAGGGCAGGGGCCCATCGCCACGCTGGGTGAAGGGCAGGGGCCCATCGCCACGCTGGGTGAAGGGCAAGGGCCCATCGCCACGCTGGGTGAAGGGCAGGGGCCCATCGCCACGCTGGGTGAAGGGCAGGGGCCCATCGCCACGCTGGGTGAAGGGCAGGGGCCCATCGCCACGCTGGTTAAAGGGCAGGGGCCCATCGCCACGCTGGGTGAAGGGCAAGGGCCCATCGCCACGCTGGGTGAAGGGCAAGGGCCCATCGCCACGCTGGGTGAAGGGCAGGGGCCCATCGCCACGCTGGGTGAAGGGCAGGGGCCCATCGCCACGCTGGGTGAAGGGCAGGGGCCCATCGCCACGCTGGGTGGTGGGCAAGGGCCCATCGCCACGCTGGCTGGCGGGCAAGGGCCCATCGCCACGCTGGGTGAGGTGGTGCCCGTGGACTCCCCTGGGCTCCCTGCGTCTCCTCCTTCTGGTGCCCCCACAGAAGACTTTGTGCAGCTCCTACAGAACGAGGTGCCGCCCCCCTAGTTGATACTCTCACTCACACGCTCACAGTCTCACACACTCACAGTCTCACACACAGTCTCACAGACTCGCTCACTCACACGCTCACACACAGTCTCACACACTCAGTCTCACACACTCGCTCACTCACACGCTCACACACAGTCTCACATACTCACAATCTCACACACTCAGTCTCACACGCTCAGTCTCACACACTCGCTCACTCACACGCTCACACACAGTCTCACACACTCGCTCACACTCACACGCTCACACACAGTCTCACACACTCGCTCACTCACACACTCACAGTCTCACACACTCAGTCTCACACACTCGCTCACTCACACGCTCACACACTCAGTCTCACACACTCACAGTCTCACACACTCGCTCGCACTCATTCCTACTCTCTCTCACAGTCACTCACTCACACACTCACGCTCGCTCACACGCTCGCTCGCTCACACACTCGCTCACACTCACTCACACACTCACGCTTGCTCACACACTCACTCACACACTCGCTCACACACGCACTCACTCACACTCACTCACACACTCACTCACACACTCTCTCACTCACACTCACTGACACACTCACACTCACTCACACGCTCGCTCACACACTCGTGTCTTCCCCCCTTCCATCCAGGTGGAGAAGCTGAGGGTGAAGCTGGAGCAGGCGGAACGGGAGCTGCGGAACCTGCGGGTGAGGGGGACAGCACCACTGGCGACGGAGGTAGCGCCGTGGGCGGTTGAGCGTGACAGTAACGCTCGGTCTGGTGCGGTGCTGCAGGCCGGCCATGGGGAGGCGGAGGCAGAGGAGGAGGTGGAGGCAGAGGAGGCGGTGGCGTGGAGCGAGCCTCTCTCGACACGACCGTGCGGTGCGAACAGCGGGTCCGAGATCCGTCGCCGAGAGGGCGTCCGCTCGCCGGGGCGGGCGACGCGGCGCCACCGTCGCCCCGCCGAGCGGCGCGGCCCGGAGGACGAAGCGGCGCTCGCAGCGGAACGGCTCCGCTCGGCCACGGCCGAATGGCACGAGCGAGCGGCGCCGCGAGGAGAGAGCGGGGAGGAGAGCGGGGAGGAGGGGAGGTCGGCAGGGAGCGCCGCGCCGACGGGCGCAGAGACGGAAGCCTCCGGGCCGCCCGCGTGTCCCAGCGCGGAGGCACGGCGGGCGCCCAGCGCGGGCGCGGAGGAGGGGGCGGGGGAGGCCGTCGCGGCGGAGTCCAGGCCGCGGCCCGGCGGCGGAGAGGTCCGACGCCGCACCGAGGTGCCGGGCGACGCTCCGAGGGGGCGCGGGGTGCAGAGCGGGGACGCCGAGGGGCGGCCGGGGGACCCCGGGGGCCGAGAGGCCGAGGACGCGGCGGGAGCGGAGCTCGCCCGGCTTGTCCAGGAGCTGCGGCGGCGTCTCGGGGAGGCCCGGACCGAGCTGCGGGGCCGCCCCTCTCCCCACGAGGTGGAGGCGGAGCGCCTCCAGCACCGTGCCGACATCGAGACGCTCAAGGTGACGCGGACTGCGCACGCGCCGCACACGCGTGGCACACACGTGTGCCACGCGCCACGCATGCTTGGCCCCATGCGGGGTGGGGGGGGAGGGGAGGTCCGTCAGGGGAAACTTGCAAGTAAATTAATCTAAAAACGATTAATAAAAATATTTTACCAGGTCAGGCCCACTGAGCTGACCTGGTTATCACAAATGATAGCTCAACGAAGTGGCTTATCAGCACGTGGACATTTACTACAGCCAAATACTGGACATTTGCGTCGATTCTAAATGTGGAGGGAAAAACTGGAGGACCAAGGGCACAGAGAGAGACATGCAAACTCCAGATATACAGGCATCAGGTTCGGGATCGAATACACGACCTCCTGCCTACCAGGCAAGCTGATAACATCTCGGCACCGCGAAAGGCTTTTGAAATATCTAGAAGGCCTACCTATCAGGGGACCTTTTGCCAGTATAACAATATGAACAATAAGAATATGTCTTACCCTTTCTGGTGTAACCGGCCCACCCTGTCCCTCTCTTCCCGTGATCGTTAGGAGGGGACAGACCGGTTAGGAGGTAAAAACATCAACGATAATAGTCGATGAGTTCGGAGGCGATGAGTGGATACTCTGCGTTGTGTTCTGCCCTCCTTCTGATAATCGGATAACTCCACCGCCAAGGGACACCAGAGGGTTGTGTAACTGCAACTCTTTATTTCAGTGTTCTTCTGAGGAGCATTCATGCGTCTGTAATTATGACCAGTTGCACACCAATCAACCTCAATTCACACCACCTCACTGCTCAACCCCTGCCCTGTACAGTGTCCCACCCGAATCTATATCGGTGCCCTGTACCCTGAATTGATTACTCTACTGGTGGGCGTGGCCTACTGTGCACTCACGTGACTATGGGTCCCAACCATGGTCATTATTACTCTCATTCACTGGCTACACTGGCAATACAACAGGTGTTCAAACGCCAAATAGATACCTTTTGCAAGGTATCAAGTCTGCATTAACCACATGTACTTGTGGTGAAGATGCATGTAGCGGTTATCGTGCTACGCTACAAATCTGGCCACCCAAGTTCAATTCCAACTCACGTCCACCAAGACCAGTGACGATCATATGAACCATTCCTGGGCCTCCCCTAGGTCGACTCAGCCTCAAATTAGTACACATGGTGGGGTGTGTAGTAAACATCGCCACCGGGTGTGGCGCTGCCCACCCCACCCGCCTGGTGTGCCGTGCCGGCCTTCACGGGCGCTGCCGCTCGCTAACGGCACTTGCCGCTACAGCCCGCTGAGGCTACACGGGGGACCTTTGCCCTCGTGCGTGCGTGCCCACCCACCCACGCGTGCAGGCCGAGTGCGAGCGGGGCCTGCTGCTCATGGAGGAGTGCCACCGTGGAGCGCTGCGCGAGCTGCAAGAGGCCCAGCGGCGGACGGTGGCGGCGCTGGGCGAGGAGAAGGAGCGGCTGCTGGCGGAGGAGACCGCCGCCACTGTTGCCGGTAGCGACGACGGTGGCGGCGCGGTTGGCACGGCGGGATGTGGGTGGGGGATTAGACACGAGGAGGTTGGCACGAGGCTAAGGGATTGGCAGGAGGTGAGCGGTCGAGATGGGCGTTTGAGGTTATTCAGCGGCGGGACAGATGTTAACGGTGGCTGGGAGATGTTAACTACCTCGCCTGGCATGCAAGTGGTCGCGGGTGAGATCCCGACCCTGACGCCTGTACACCTTGACTATCGATGCGGTGGCGGAGGAGGAGGCGGCGTTGAGAGCGTCGCTTCGCCTTGCCGCCTCTCTTTGCTGCAGCGATCGAGGCGATGAAGACGGCCTACCGAGAGGAGCTGGAGAAGCTCCGCAAGAGCCGCGGAGGTGTCTCCCGGAGCGTCACAGAGGAGCGTGCGCAGTACGAGTGAGTCCTCCCCTACCGGTACCCGTTACATCTCCAGCTGGGATCCAACAGCCCGAGATGATGTCCAACAGCTCAGCCGGTACCCGTTACATCTCCAGCTGGGATCCAACAGCCCGAGATGATGTCCAACAGCTCAGCCGGTACCCGTTACATCTCCAGCTGGGATCCAAAAGCTGCAATTGTAATAGGTGCTCGCTAACAGCACTTGCCCCAACTGGGTCTCATGTGACACAGTTGTTGGTAGTGATAGGGGTTGTAGTAGTGATCGTGATAGTGGTAAGGGTAGTGATAGGGGTTGGAGTAGTGATAGGGGTTGGAGTAGTGATAGGGGTTGGAGTAGTGATAGTGGTAAGGGGAGTGATAGGGGTTGTGCTAGGGGTTTGGGTAGTGATAGGAGTTGGAGTAGTGATAGTGGCAAGGGTAGTGATAGGGATAGTGATAGGGATAGTGACAGGGATAGTGACAGGGGTAGTGGTCGTAATCGCGGTAGGTCCGGCCGTAGCTGGGCTACATGGAGGGGATCTTTGCGTCTGCGTGCAGGCAGGATCTGGCCTCGCTGCAGCGGGAGATCGAGGCCTTGTCTGAGCAGTACTCCCACAAGAGCCTGCAGGCCGCGCACCTCCTGCAGGCGCTGGAGGCCGAGAGGGCCGCGCTGCAGCAGAGCCGGCGCAACAACCGCGAGCTCAACGCGCGCAACCAGGTGACGCGGGGGACGGGGGACGGGAGGTGCAGTGGGGAGGAGACGAGGGGACAGCGGTCTGCCAAGCCGCGTCACGACGATCCATGCGGGAGGCATCTCCGCCGCTGGGCAAATGTCCTCGGAATTTTCGCTGCGGGGCCATTTTCATTGACGAGACGATTTGTCCGTAGATCTGCGCTGTATTTGTCTGACCTGTTGTTGTTACGGTTGGACAATCGTAAAAAATTTGCTACGCCCGTCCGATCGTCTGTTAACAGTCCCCCAGATTTTTCACGCAATTTGGATGGAAAACATGAAAAGTAGCTGCTGCCCCAAAGTGTTTGTAACCACCACACTCTTCTCATCTCTTGTCATCTCCATCCCGCCATCTCTGTCCTCATTTACACTGACGGTTAAAATCGGTAAAGTTTGTGTCAATGTAATTTCACAACATAATTGCTATTAATATTATCATTATTAAAAAAAAGTACCTGTAATAGTGGAATGATTTGATGTTGACTTTTGACTGAGTCGCCCATGATGAAAGAGCTTCTTAGCTCTACGGCTTTACTTGGTGGGAAATAATCTCCTGATTCTGGTAAAATTATCATCCTGAGCGCTCGAATCAAGTGCAGCGGGGACTTGGGAAGCACGATTTCTGTGCAGTATGGATGCTGACACCACTATTAGTCACCATTATTATTATTCAGAATCAGAATATTTCACTGGAGGAGGAATCCAATGAGCTACATTTGTCCAGTAGGGGCACGGGGTCAGAACGTTACAACAGACAATACAAAAACACGATAGGAGTGCAAAGTGTAGGAAAGGTAAACAAACCACTGAAAACATTTACAAATAAAACTACTAAACAATTTTTTTATCTTACCAGGTAAAGCCCACTGAGCTATTAGCTTCTTTTTCAGAGGCGACCTCTCCACACGTGACGATAGCTCAACGAATTCCCTACCCGACAAACCCAACAACAAAAACAACCTTGAGCTGAAGCACTTCAGGAGAGACCTCGCAATTCATTCAACGAACACGGCGTGACCAGACAGCGGCGCGCATTAGAGATGCTGCGAGCAACATTTTGCGTCGATTGAAAGGCGGTTTAATGTGGACGTACGTCGTCGTTATTTGACCGAATGAGGCGCGAGTCGTCCTGGCGAATCAACTCGTTTTTGTTCCAAGGGACACCAACACGAGAATCGCTCAAACGCGAGTGTCCCGTTGGCAGAAGCTCGGCGCTCAGGTGGCGCAGGTGGCACGGGGGGCGCAGGAGGAGCGGGCGCCGGGCGAGGCGGCGGAGGGACGCGGCGCCACGCGCACTAACTTCGAGCTGCAGGTGAGGCCCTCCGTCCTCCTCCCGCACCGGCATCTCTGATTAGCAAGCTTGGCTACGTACGGCGCGAAAGAAGTTCTACGTACGTACGTACGTCTGCTGTGCTCGGCGATCCCTTGACGTCAAATGGCGTCGGTAGGCCATTGTGTGCCGGCGTCATCGTCCAAATGTTAAAACTGCACCGGTGATTGACTAAGTTGGGATTACACTGCATCAAACTATTTTATTGAGCTGTGTAGCGCTTTTCCAGAAGCGACCTGGCCACAAATGATAGCTCAACAAAAGCGGCTTATCATCGTGTGGAAATCTATAGCAGCCAATTGCTCTAAACGCGCGTTGATTCTAAGTGTGGAGGGAAAATCCGGAGGATCAGAAGGAAAAATCCACGCGACCACGGGGAGAGTGTGCAAAATATACAAACAGGCGTCGTCAGGGTCGTGATCGAACCCACGGCCTCCTGCATGCCAGGCGATGGAACTGACACCAGTCGCCACCACGGCGCCCTTACACGTAGCAACGTCGCCCCCTTCTGGCCAGACCACGTCTGTGAAACGCATCGCCTTCTCTACAGCGAGCCTCTTGCACTGACACAATGGCGCAATGTCATAGGCACGACATTTGTAATGCTTGCTAGAATTACAACTTAAAACAAAAGGACAGCGTGAGTAGTCCTATTAGCTGTGCCATTATATTGGATGCCAGCTTCTGCTGGATTTAGGGCCGTCCAGAGGGGGTGGGGGTGCGGGGCCCCCGGGGCAAATCCCACCGTGTGGGTACCCCCCAAACGCAAATGAGTGAATCTGTCGCCGTGACGTCAAGGCACGGGGGGCCCCCAAAGCCCAGGGCAGCCGCCCCGATTCGCCGCAGCCCAGGGAGCGGTTCTCGCGATGTGACCATCGGATCCAGGAATACACCGTTAGCTGTCGCCCTAATCCCTTCGGAACGCATTTAACCCGTCGCATTTAACCCGTCACATTTACCCGTCACATTTAACCCGTCACATTTAACCCGTCACATTCCCTGGTGAAGCGACGTCGCTGCCGTTGCCGCACGCAGGTCGCTCTGCGCGTGAAGGAGTCCGAGATCGAGTTCCTCAAGCAGGAGCTGCGCTCGCTCAGAGAGGAGCTCCACACGGCTCAGAGGGTACGCGACGCTCGCGCCGTGTCACCCACTTCAGCACTCGGTGTTTTACTTCGCGCGCGCAGGGGCCAATATGCATGCGGCGAGTACTCGCTGAAACGCGCGCTCCTTCCATCGCACGCGCGCCGTTGTGACGCAGTCCGTGAGCGGTCGACGACGGACTACTTTCTTGAGCTGCGGCAGCTCAGCGGCACAGTGATACGCTACGGGGGAACGCGAGAGTCACGCGGCAGTGCCGGTGGACCCTGTGGAGGAGAACACCGTGTCTCGCCAAACTTTATCGTCGTTCCATCACTCGTGGGGAAATTGTCTTCGCTTAACGCAGCACTTTCGAGGCCCGCACCTGCCTGTACGTACGTTGAACTTCTTTCGCACCGTCCGTAGCCAACCGTGCTCATCCGAGGTGCGGGACAGGACAACAAACTAATACAAAAAGCAGCTCTTAAGAATTTAGAAGAGCGTTCCAGACGGCTGGAGAAGCGCATCTGAAATCGCCGCGCGATGCGGTGACCGTCTTTGTTTCGATGGCAGATCCACAATCCACTGCGTCTACTACCAGCGTGTTCAAACGCGCGGACTGCGGCAGATCGATGAGCACGGTCGGCTATGTACGCTGCCAAAGAAGTTCAGCGTACAGGGAGGAGAAGTTGCTTTGCCTAACTCCTGGCGACGGTAACGGGCGTCCGGTGGTAGCGACCGGCGCGGCCGCGTAACGGGCCGGGCCGCGTGCCCCCGCAGGACAAGAAGCTGGCCGCCCACCGCTACAAGGACATGTACCGTGAGATGAGCCTGGCGCGCGCGCACGCCCAGCGCGACTCGCGCCTGCTGCAGGAGAAGCTGCGTCGACTCACGCAGCAGCAGCAGCAGCTGGCATCGCCGGGCGTCGACCGCCGTGGACACGCACAGCCGCCCCACGGTGAGGGCCGACGCGACGCTGGCGCCTCGCGGGGCCAGCGAACTGGCACGGCGAGACGTTAGCTGCCTGTAGAAGGGCGGCACGGGGGCGGTGGCGCAGCGGTTAACGCTCGCGGCAAGAAGCACTCCCTGGTTCGATTCCCGGCTCGGGAGTGTTTCTGCGGGGAGTGTGTACGTTCGCTCTCTCCCCTGTCCTGCGTGGCTTCTTTGGTTTCCTTCTGCCATAGCTCTACATGATGTAACCGCTGTTTGGGCAAACATCGCAATGTTGAAAAAGATTGACCAATTATTTTTTATGTTACCCGGTAAGGCCCCCACTGAGCTATGTAGCTCTCTTTCAGAAGAGACCTGGCCACAAATGACAGCCCAACGAAGTGGCTTATCATGTGGAGATTCATAGCGGCCCAATATTCAAAATGCGTGATGTTGATTCTAAATGTGGAGGGAAAAATCAAAGGACCTGGAGAAAAGTCCACGCGACTACGGGGAGGGAGACACGCAAACTCCAAATCTACAGCAGGCGTCAGTGTCGGGATTGAACCCATGGCCTCCTACACACCAGGCTAGGGAGTTAACATCTCGCCACCGTAGTGCCCATTTGGTACACACAGCAGCAACATCACCACCCCTACCGCGAAAACTTCACCGGACCCTCCTGAAAAAGAGTCTTGAGACTCGGTGAGGTTTTCCTCGGTAAACTGGCAATAATACTAAGAAAAAATAATGAAAACAGCTCTTCGTGTTGCTTCTTCAGAATCGTAATCAGAATGTTTATTTCGACTGGAGGAGGAATCCGATGAGCTCTGAAGCTCTTTTTCACAGATGTCCTCCAGGACTTGAACTGAACTTTTCCGCACCAAACGTAGCCAATCGTGCTAACGAGTCGGAGTCGGAGAGTTACAGCGACAAGCGTGGAAGGGGTATTAGTGGGTTTCAAGTTCTGTTGATGACGTCGTAGCCTCTATTGACAGCTGTCGATCCACTGCTGGATGAAGGCCTCCTCCCGCCTCATCAGTCCAGGGGGGGTTGCCTGTCCGCGCTCCACGCCACTTGTTGAAAGGGCGCCCGCAGGACCGATTCGGATCTCGTCCGCTAGCGGCGTTAGCCGTGGCTGCACCTCGCCAGGTTCACGGCACGGTTGCGCTAACCGCTGCGCCGCCGCTCCGTGACGGTGGCCGTGACGCGGGGACGCTGCCGCGCGGATGTGGAAAACTCTGTCTCTTGTCGACCGTCGTTCCAGATGTCCTGAAGTCACGGAGTAACCCGGAGGGTTTGCGCGCTGGACTTGCATCCGTTGGTCAGCGTCTCAAGGTGCTTGCATTCGTTCTGTGTGTGCGTGTGTCTGTCTGTCTGTGCTTGTGCATGAAACTATTTTTTTTTACCAGGTAAGGCCCACTGAGCTATGCAGCTCTTTTTCAGAAGCAACCTGGCTATCACAGATGATAGCTCAACGAAGTGGCTTATCACGTGAAAATTCGTAGCAGCCAAATACTCTGAACACAGCCAAATCCACGTGACCACAGGGAGAAGGTCGGGATGAACCCCACAACCTCCTACTTACTTACCAGGCGAGCTAGTTAGTGTTTCGCCACTGCGGCGCTCGTGGGGAGCGGTAGTGTAGCGGTTAGCGCGCCGCACTACGAGCCTGCCGACCTCGGTTCGATTCCCGCTCACAGCCAACATTGGTGAGGAGTTTCCGAACCGGTCCTGGGTCGACTGGGCCTTAAGTAAGTACTTGCTCCGGTGTGTCAACATCAGCATTGGGGAGATAAAAGGCGGCCGAGCATATCGCTGGCCGCCCACCTCCGTGTGCCGTGCCGGCTTGAGGGGGTCCTGCTCGGTCACGGTGCTTGCTCCGACAGTCTGTGAAGGCTACGCGGGGATCTTTGTCCTTGTTTGTGTTTTGTGTGCGCGCGTGCCTCTGGGTAATGTGCAGGCTGAGTCGGAGGGCTTCCCGCTGGGCGATAAAGCCCAGAAGACGCCCGTGTGACTGCACCGCCAACGTGTGACAAGACCCGGCTGATTTGCGCACTCAAGTTTTCATTTGCACGTCATCATTAAAAAATATTTGCATTTATTTGACCTTTAAATTGACCTGGCAAAACATCTCGCACGGTGTCGCCATCTCACAAATTTGAAGGCACCCCCAGCGGCAGCTGTCCCTGTGCAGCCAGTCGGTGCCTGAGGTCGCTGCTGCTCCACCTGAGTGTCATTTGCGATCTGATTTTTCAAAATGTGGCAAATTATGACCACGACGCCAGCATTCGCACACAAGGGACGCCACGGCATCTTGAGCGCACCGCCGTGAATCGGACGTCGCGCAGCGTTTGTGTGCCTGATGCACCAGAAAGTATTCACCACAGGGCGTCTTGCCGGATTCAAGCCATGGAAACGACGCAATGACGAGCAGCGAACGCGCCACCACTTACTGCCGCTTCGGCCGAACAGTTAAAACTAAAAACTAAACAGATTTAGTATTTTGCCAGGTAAGGCCCCCTGAGCTAAATAGTTGTTTTTCAGAAGTGACCTGGCCACAGAAGGATAGCTCAACAAAGTGGCTTATCGCGTGGAAATTTATAGCAGCAGCCAAATACTCTAAACGCATGATATTGAATCTAAATGTGGAGGGAAAAACCAGAGGAGCCGGAAAAAAATCCGCGAGACCACGGGGGGGAGAGAGACACGCAAACACCGAATATACAACAGGCATCGTCAACACCGGGATTGAACCCACGACCTCCTGCATACCAAGCAAGGGAGTTAACATCTCCTAACCACCGCAGTTAAACTTCCTCCGCGCACGAGTGAGCGCCATGTCGGCGCTCCAGGCCACCGTGCACATCTCTGGAGCCCCTCTATGGGGTCGAGCCCAGGCGGCTCTCCCTCTCTCTCGTCCTCACCGACTACGCAGGGGACACCACCTCCTCCTCTCCGCTGCCGCGTGCGCCTCCTCCTCCTCCGTCGCGTCCCCGACGGACCCCTCCGGCTTGGCGAGCGTATTGAACGTCGCGCTTTCTGAACAAGCGGCAATTTTGTTCTTGTTGTTGTTGCCGCTGTTCATTCGCACCCCTGAGATTTACGATAACGGAACGTGGGAGCTGGCGATGCGAGCGAAGCGGCGAACGTCGGATCTGCACTTTATGCGACGCGCCGCGATGACTGCGAACGTGTCCCAGGAACGCGCCTGTTACCGCGCGTTGGCTCTGCTCTTTAAAGTCCGGCGTGGCCCGTGGCATGTCCGCGTTTGCTGCGCACGTGTCACGCGACACCCTGGATGCCCTTGTCGTCCTTCCCCCCCTCCGCACCTCCCTTTAGCGCGGTTGGCTACGTACGGTGCGAATGAAGTTCAACGCACGTACGTACAAACGAGATACTCCGTCTAGACGGATTTTTCAAGTGGAATGTTTTAATTCGTAAAACGAATGGCAGCGTGACACTGGGCGCCCACTTGTTAATTCTGGGGAGTGTGTGGCTCTTGTCCGGGGGGGAGGGAGGGATTGTTCCAGGCTGAGCGTTGCGATGACGCACGACGGAACGAGGCCGCGTCTTCGTATCCAGGTAGCTTGAAACTCCCGAGGACTGAAGTTTCCGAGATAGTTATTCAGGTCAAACTAATTTATATTTTAGCAAAGCCAACAAGGGGGGAATGTCTTATTTATCTAATGCTGTAATACCTTCCCGTCCTGAAAGGCTGGTGAATAAAGCATGGTATCGGCAGTGCAATATATAAATATGAAGATGAGTCAAGACGAGAGGAGGCATGTTTATTCGTGTGTTTTACATTTCATTGAACATATTTACAGAGAATACATAATAAATATAATCTTACAATGTTGTAAGCGGCTGGAAATCTCTTTTATTTGCAGGGATACGTAGATGTACGTTGAACTTCTTTCGCACCGTACGTAGCCAACCGTGCTAATTGGAGGTGCGGAGGAAGGACAACAAACTAAACACAAAAGCTGTTCTAAACAAATTAGTCTATGAGTCTGTGGGCAGTGTTGAGTCTGTGGGCAGTGTTGAGTCTGTGGGCAGTGTCGAGTCTGTGGGCAGTGTTGAGTCTATGGGCAGCAGTGCTGAGTCTATGGGTAGCAGTGCTGAGTCTATGGGTAGCAGTGCTGAGTCTATGGGTAGCAGTGCTGAGTCTATGGGTAACAGTGCTGAGTCTATGGGTAGCAGTGTTGAGTCTATGGGTAGTGTTGAGTCTATGGGTAGCAGTGCTGAGTCTGGGTAACAGTGCTGAGTCTATGGGTAGCAGTGTTGAGTCTATGGGTAGCAGTGCTGAGTCTATGGGTAACAGTGCTGAGTCTATGGGTAACAGTGTTGAGTCTATGGGTAGCAGTGCTGAGTCTATGGGTAGTGTTGAGTCTATGGGTAGCAGTGCTGAGTATATGGGTAACAACGCTGAGTCTATGGGTAGCAGTGCTGAGTCTATGGGTAACAGTGCTGAGTCTATGGGTGGCAGTGCTGAGTCTATGGGTGGCAGTGCTGAGTCTATGGGTAACAGTGCTGAGTCTATGGGTAGCAGTGCTGAGTCTATGGGTAGCAGTGCTGAGTCTATGGGTAGCAGTGCTGAGTCTATGGGTAGCAGTGCTGAGTCTATGGGTGGCAGTGCTGAGTCTATGGGTAGCAGTGCTGAGTCTATGGGTAGCAGTGCTGAGTCTATGGGTGGCAGTGCTGAGTCTATGGGTATTGTTGAGTCTATGGGTAGCAGTGCTGAGTCTATGGGTAATAGTGCTGAGTCTATGGGTAGCAGTGCTGAGTCTATGGGTAGCAGTGCTGAGTCTATGAGTAGCAGTGCTGAGTCTATGAGTAGCAGTGCTGAGTCTATGGGTAGCAGTGCTGAGTCTATGGGCAGTGCTGAGTCTATGAGTAGCAGTGCTGAGTCTATGGGTAGCAGTGCTGAGTCTATGGGTAGCAGTGCTGAGTCTATGAGTAGCAGTGCTGAGTCTATGGGTAGCAGTGCTGAGTCTATGGGTAGCAGTGCTGAGTCTATGGGTAGCAGTGCTGAGTCTATGAGTAGCAGTGCTGAGTCTATGGGTAGCAGTGCTGAGTCTATGGGTAGCAGTGCTGAGTCTATGGGTAGCAGTGCTGAGTCTATGGGTAGCAGTGCTGAGTCTATGGGTAGCAGTGCTGAGTCTATGGGTAGCAGTGCTGCTCAATGTGCAGGGGAAGTTGATTCCAGTGGAGGGCTGCAAGGAGGGAGAAGGACCGAACAGGGAGGAGGAGGAGGGACGGAGAGAAGATTGGGAACGAAGAGGACGAGACACGGAGGGAGATGAGAGAGGCGAGATGAGGTGGGGGGGGCATGAAGGGGATGTGAAGACTGGCGTCTGGGATGTGAAAAGGCCGCGTTGTACTCAACGTGTATCCAGGGGGAATCGGAGGAGGTCACCACCACCACCACCACCGCTATTGTTGTTGTGCTGCTGCTGTTCGAACTTTGTTGGGGGATACCGCTGGCTGGGAACCACAACAACCCCCCCAGATGTCAGGCGGATCGAGCACTGCGCTTGGGCACCACTCACCTCGTTACCACCTCGTTACCCACCTCGTTACACACATCGTTACCATCTCGTTACTACCTCGTTACTACCTCGTTACACACTTCGTTACCACCTCGTTACCACCTTGTTACTACCTCGTTACCACCTCGTTACACCCCTCGTTGCCACCTTGTTACTACCTCGTTACCACCTCGTTACCACCTCGTTACCACCTCGTTACACACCTCGTTACCACCTCGTGCTGCTGCTGCTGCTCTGCGTGGGGTTCCTCCCTCCGTGTTGATGTTGCTCTGGGGGGGGCGGGAGGGTCGTTGCTCGAAACGTCGCCCGTCCTCTCCTCTTCACCCCCCGCGCCGCGATTGACAGCGCCGACGGCGTCACGTGGGTGCTGCCCCGCTCGAGCCGGCACCCACGTGGGCGGCGCGGGCTCCCGGCATGCCCCGCGGCTCGGGGTCAGATCCTCCCACAATGCAGCGCGGTGCCCGGCATCGCCGCCGTCGCCTCTGAGAGAATCGCGGAGAGAGACGACGACGAAGACGACGAGAGACGCAGAGAGACGCAGGGAAGACGAGGAGAGAGGCGAAGAGAGAGGCGCTCGCTCGCTCCATCTCCCACCGGGGGGTGCCGAGGGGTCGCGCTCATCCCCACGGGGCGCTCCTCTTCCTCCTGCTGCTGCTGCTCCGCGTGATGCCGCCGCTGCCGCTGCTGCCCCCCCATCGTGTCGCGTGTGTCCGGCAGCTCGGGGCTGTGTAGCTCTTCACCCCCCACTCTCTCTCAGTCTCTCTAAAGACATTCTCTCTCCCTGTCTCTCTCTCCCTGTCTCTCTCCCTGTCTCTCTCTCTCCCTGTCTCTCTTGTGTGTGTGTCTCTCTCCCTGTGTCTCTCTCCCTGTGTCTCGTGTGTGTGTCTCTCTCCCTGTCTCCTTATCTCTCTCCCTGTCTCTCTCCCTGTGTCCCTGTCTCTGTCTCCCTGTCTCTGTCTCTACCTGTCTCTCTCTCTCCCTGTGTCTCTGTCTCCCTGTGTCTCTGTCTCCCTGTCTCTCTCCCTGTGTCTCTATCTCTCTCCCTGTCTCTCTCTCCCTGTCTCTGTCTCCCTGTCTCTGTCTCCCTGTCTCTGTCTCCCTGTCTCCCTGTCTCTGTCTCCCTGTCTCTGTCTCCCTGTGTGTGTGATCGCTTCTCCTCGCGAGCGAAGCGACGAGCCGCGCTGCCATCGCGAACCCGGCAGAGGCCACCCGAGTTCGATCCCCCCGGCCACTGACAGCGGTGAACCTCCCCTAGGTCGACTCGGCCTCAAATAAGAACCTGGCGCGGTGTGTAAAAGAATAAAACAAAAATCCCATCGCCGCTGGGGAGACAAAGGCGGTCGGGCGTGGGGCCGGCCACACCGCCCCCCACGTTGTGCTGGAGGCTACCGGGGGGACCTTTGCCTTTGTCCCGTCGTCGTCTCCATCCCCTTCGCGGCGCTCTCCGCCGCCCCGAGCCCCGCGTCTCATCCACGCGAACCCCCCTCCAGCTGCGGCGTCTCGTTCATCCGTCTCCCTCCCTCCCTCCATCTCGCTGCGTCTCCACTCCGTTTCACGGGGCGCCGACAGCCGCAATCGGACGCGGCTACAGGCGGACAGCTACAGAGCCACAGTCGCATCTCGTGGGCAGTGCGGTCATATAGCCGCAGTCGGACGCCTGTCCAGCAGACACAGAAGCTACAGTCGCACAGCTACAGTGGGACAGAGTGGGAGCTAGAGTCACATTCAGGCTACAGCCGGACGCATGTCCAGCAGACACAGAAGCTACAGTCGCACAGCTACAGTCGGACAGAGTTGGAGCTAGAGTCACATATTCAGGCGACAGTCGGACGCATGTCCAGCAGACACAGAAGTAGCTACCTTCTTACCGGGCTACGGGCAGACGCAGCGCCTACAGGCGGACGGCTATAGCCGTACAGTCAGACGCAGCGAGTCGAGTCGGCTACAAACACAAAGGTCCCCCGTGTAGCCTTAACGGATCGTCGGGGCAAGTGCTACTCGAGTGACTCCCACACCCACGCGCTGTATATGCCGCTGCCGGTGCTGAGGCCGAGGTGGAGCTGGGCCGAAGAGGAGGTGGAGAGGAAGAGAAGGTGGTGACGAGGAAGAGGTGGAGAGGAGGTGGAGAGGAAGAGGTGACGAGGAGGAGGAGGAGGGGTGATGAGCGGCCAGGGTGGATGCGCGCACGTGTGCGTCCTCAAGGCGGAGCAGGCGCAATGGAGGCAGCAGCTGCGAGTGATCTACCAGTGGTTCGTGTGGAGCGCCACGGGGGAAGCGCGGCGCAGGAAGGTGAGGAGGTGGTGGTGGTGGTGGTGGAGGTGGTGGTGGTGGTGATGGTGGTGGAGGAGGAGGTGGTGGTGGAGGAGGAGGGTGGTGGTGGTGATGGTGGTGGAGGAGGAGGTGGTGGTGGAGGTGGTGGTGGAGGAGGTGGTGGTGGTGGAGGAGGTGGTGGTGGTGGAGGAGGTGGTGGTGGAGGAGGAGGGTGGTGGTGGTGATGGTGGTGGAGGAGGAGGTGGTGGTGGTGGAGGAGGTGGAGGTGGTGGAGGAGGGTGGTGGTGGTGGTGGTGGAGGAGGAGGAGGATGGTGATGGTGGTGGAGGAGGTGGTGGTGGTGGTAGAAGTGGTGGTGGTAGAGGAAATGGTGGTGGAGGTAGTGGTGGTAGTGATCTTGATTTGAAGCTTTCGTGACTGCAGGAATCCATACTCTTTGGTTCTTTCGGTAAAGTCACGTAGGTAGAAAATAAAATAAATCACGACGTTTCGGGTGCAACACAAGCATCCGTCATCAGGTGGGAAAGCATGGTCTGCTGCTGAGGCAGACTGTTTTAAAAAGGTTTGAAATGGGTGTAGCCCATGAAGAAGTGGCCGGGGCTAGTGATGTTAATGTGAGAAATTAGCATGTAACTGTAAGAACAAAGAGTGGTGCAATCCAGAGACATGAGAGATGACATGTGAGCATGAGAGTGCAATCCAAGAGTCGGAAATAACAGCTGACATAGGCAGGTAGGATGGAAACATCACAGTCAGTTAAGACTTTACCTGGTTAATAACGTCCTTCCAATGATAGCTCAGTTTGTACCCATCCTCTCGGTTGAAGTTGTGTCGGTATTTATATACCTGGATGGCTTCATGAACAAATCTCTGAAGATAGCCAGTAGGTTTGCAGAGCACCTCCGTCTTGGAAAAAACAATTTCGTGTGAGCCTACAGCGTTAAAACAATGATCTGTGAGTGTCTGAATGTAGGTGTGTTTGTCTGTCTGTGAGTTTCTGAATGTAGGTGTGTTTGTCTGTCTGTGGGTGTCTGAATGTGGGTGTGTTTGTCTGTCTGTGGGTGTCTGAATGTGGGTGTGTTTGTCTGTCTGTGGGTGTCTGAATGTGGGTGTGTTTGTCTGTCTGTGAGTGTCTGAATGTAGGTGTGTTTGTCTGTCTGTGAGTGTTTGAATGTGGGTGTGTTTGTCTGTCTGTGGGTGTCTGAATGTGGGTGTGTTTGTCTGTCTGTGGGTGTCTGAATGTAGGTGTGTTTGTCTGTCTGTGGGTGTCTGAATGTGGGTGTGTTTGTCTGTCTGTGGGTGTCTGAATGTGGGTGTGTTTGTCTGTCTGTGGGTGTCTCAATGTGGGTGTGTTTGTCTGTCTGTGGGTGTCTGAATGTGGGTGTGTTTGTCTGTGTGTGAGTGTCTGAATGTAGGTGTGTTTGTCTGTCTGTGAGTGTCTGAATGTAGGTGTGTTTGTCTGTGTCTGAATGTAGGTGTGTTTGTCTGTCTGTGAGTGTCTGAATGTGGGTGTGTTTGTCTGTCTGTGAGTGTCTGAATGTAGGTGTGTTTGTCTGTCTGTGAGTGTCTGAATGTAGGTGTGTTTGTCTGTCTGTGGGTGTCTGAATGTAGATGTGTTTGTCTGTCTGTGAATGTCTGAATGTAGGTGTGTTTGTCTGTCTGTGAGTGTCTGAATGTAGGTGTGTTTGTCTGTCTGTGGGTGTCTGAATGTAGGTGTGTTTGTTTGTCTGTCTGTGAGTGTCTGAATGTAGGTGTGTTTGTCTGTCTGTGAGTGTCTGAATGTAGGTGTGTTTGTCTGTCTGTGAGTGTCTGAATGTAGGTGTGTTTGTCTGTCTGTGGGTGTCTGAATGTAGGTGTGTTTGTCTCTCTGTGAGTGTCTGAATGTAGGTGTGTTTGTCTGTGAGTGTCTGAATGTAGATGTGTTTGTCTGTGAGTGTCTGATTGTAGGTGTGTTTGTCTGTCTGTGGGTGTCTGTATGTAGGTGTGTTTGTCTCTCTGAGTGTCTGAATGTAGGTGTGTTTGTCTGTCTGTGAGTGTCTGAATGTAGGTGTGTTTGTCTGTCTGTGAGTGTCTGAATGTAGGTGTGTTTGTCTGTGTCTGAATGTAGGTGTGTTTGTCTGTCTGTGAGTGTCTGAATGTAGGTGTGTTTGTCTGTGTCTGAATGTAGGTGTGTTTGTCTGTCTGTGAGTGTCTGAATGTAGGTGTGTTTGTCTGTCTGTGAGTGTCTGAATGTAGGTGTGTTTGTCTGTCTGTGAGTGTCTGAATGTAGGTGTGTTTGTCTCTCTGTGAGTGTCTGAATGTAGGTGTGTTTGTCTGTCTGTGAGTGTCTGAATGTAGGTGTGTTTGTCTGTCTGTGGGTGTCTGAATGTAGGTGTGATTGTCTGTCTGTAAGTGTCTGAATGTAGGTGTGGTTGTCTGTCTGTGGGTGTCTGAATGTAGATGTGTTTGTCTGTCTGTGAGTGTCTGAATGTAGGTGTGTTTGTCTGTCTGTGGGTGTCTGAATGTAGGTGTGTTTGTCTGTCTGTGGGTGTCTGAATGTAGGTGTGTTTGTTTGTCTGTGTGTGAGTGTCTGAATGTAGGTGTGTTTGTCTGTCTGTGAGTGTCTGAATGTAGGTGTGTTTGTCTGTGTCTGAATGTAGGTGTGTTTGTCTGTCTGTGAGTGTCTGAATGTGGGTGTGTTTGTCTGTCTGTGAGTGTCTGAATGTAGGTGTGTTTGTCTGTCTGTGATTGTCTGAATGTAGGTGTGTTTGTCTGTCTGTGGGTGTCTGAATGTAGATGTGTTTGTCTGTCTGTGAATGTCTGAATGTAGGTGTGTTTGTCTGTCTGTGAGTGTCTGAATGTAGGTGTGTTTGTCTGTCTGTGGGTGTCTGAATGTAGGTGTGTTTGTTTGTCTGTCTGTGAGTGTCTGAATGTAGGTGTGTTTGTCTGTCTGTGAGTGTCTGAATGTAGGTGTGTTTGTCTGTCTGTGAGTGTCTGAATGTAGGTGTGTTTGTCTGTCTGTGGGTGTCTGAATGTAGGTGTGTTTGTCTCTCTGTGAGTGTCTGAATGTAGGTGTGTTTGTCTGTCTGTGAGTGTCTGAATGTAGATGTGTTTGTCTGTCTGTGAGTGTCTGATTGTAGGTGTGTTTGTCTGTCTGTGGGTGTCTGTATGTAGGTGTGTTTGTCTCTCTGAGTGTCTGAATGTAGGTGTGTTTGTCTGTCTGTGAGTGTCTGAATGTAGATGTGTTTGTCTGTCTGTGAGTGTCTGAATGTAGGTGTGTTTGTCTGTCTGTGAGTGTCTGAATGTAGGTGTGTTTGTCTGTGTCTGAATGTAGGTGTGTTTGTCTGTCTGTGAGTGTCTGAATGTAGGTGTGTTTGTCTGTGTCTGAATGTAGGTGTGTTTGTCTGTCTGTGGGTGTCTGAATGTAAGTGTGTTTGTCTGTCTGTAAGTGTCTGAATGTAGGTGTGGTTGTCTGTCTGTGGGTGTCTGAATGTAGATGTGTTTGTCTGTCTGTGAATGTCTGAATGTAGGTGTGTTTGTCTGTCTGTGAGTGTCTGAATGTAGGTGTGTTTGTCTGTCTGTGTGTGTCTGAATGTAGGTGTGTTTGTCTCTCTGTGAGTGTCTGAATGTAGGTGTGTTTGTCTGTCTGTGAGTGTCTGAATGTAGATGTGTTTGTCTGTCTGTGAGTGTCTGAATGTAGGTGTGTTTGTCTGTCTGTGGGTGTCTGTATGTAGGTGTATTTGTCTGTGAGTGTCTGAATGTAGGTGTGTTTGTCTGTCTGTGAGTGTCTGAATGTAGGTGTGTTTGTCTGTCTGTGAGTGTATCAATGTAGGTGTGTTTGTCTGTCTGTGAGTGTCTGAATGTAGGTGTGTTTGTCTGTCTGTGGGTGTCTGAATGTAGGTGTGTTTGTCTGAGTGTCTGAATGTAGTTGTGTCAGCCTGTAGTGTACGTGCGTTTTGTCTTCCTGTAGCTGGATCAACGTGTCCGCCTGTAATTATATCTGGAGATTCGTCTGCCTGAAGCTCTCTGTAGATGCGTCTGCTTGTAGCTGCAGGTGGGTCTGCCTGTCGCTGTTTGATCATTCGGTGTAGCTGCCAGTAGATGTCTCCCCAGCTGTGTCTGAATGTTGATCTGACTGTAGCTGTGACTGTAGCTGTGTCTGCCTGTTGACTAGATGTGTTTGCCTGCTTGTATCTGACTAGACACGTCTGACTAGCTGGCTGTAGATGTAACGAGCTGTTTGAGTGTCAGTAACTCCAGCTTGGTCTGTGACTATAGCATGAGATGTGTCCCTTGACTGTAGTTGTGTTCTACGTCATTGTGGCTGTGTGAGGGTGTAGTGGCTGTGGCTGTGTGGGGCTGTAGTTGTTGCTATGGATATGCCTATGGCTCTGGCTCTGTGTGTGCCTAGCGGTGTCTGTTGTCGCTGTGTTTGGCGAGCTGTGTGCTCGGCTGCGATTTGTGCTGTACAGCCCGTCTTCTCGCTGTCAATCCGCCATGCGGGGCCCACAACTCATTGCATTGAGCGGGCAAATCACAGGTTTTGACCTCGGTCACAGATCACGGATCTTCCATTTTGCCTATAAACTAAACTATTTTATCTTTATTTTACCACGGAAGTCCTCACTGGTCACAAATGATAGCCCAATGAAGAAGTGGCTCATCATCATCATCACGTGGACATGTATAGCAGCCACAACTCTAAAAGCACGTTGATTGTAAATGTGGAGGGAGAAGCCGGAGGACCCGGAGACAAAATCCACGCGACCAGAGAGAGAGAGAGAAGCAAACTCCAATTCTACAGGCGTCGGGGTCTGACCCACGGTCGACCTCCTGTATTACAGGCGATGTAGTCAACATCTCGGTCATAGATCATTAATCGGCCATAACATGGGCCGCCATCTGCTGCCTCCAGTGTTGCCCCATTCACCCATCTCCCCCACCCCCCATCTCCCCCCCCATCTCCCCCACCCCCTCCATCTCCCCCACCCCCCCCATCTCCCCCACCCCCCCATCTCCCCCACCCCCCATCTCTCCCACCCCCCCATCTCCCCCACCCCCCCCCCCATCTCCCCCTTCTCCCCCACACCCCCCCATCTCCCCCACCCCCCCACATCTCGCCCCCCCCCCATCTCCCCCACCCCCCATCTCCCCCACCCCCCCATCTCCCCCATCTCCCCCATCCCCCCCTTCTCCCCCACACCCCCCCATCTCCCCCACCCCCCCACATCTCGCCCACCCCCCCCCCCCATCTCCCCCACCCCCCATCTCCCCCACCCCCCCATCTCCCCCACCCCCCCCATCTCCCCCTTCTCCCCCACACCCCCCCATTTCCCCCACCCCCCCACATCTCGCCCACCCCCCCCCCATCTCCCCCACCCCCCATCTCCCCCACCCCCCCATCTCCCCCATCTCCCCCTTCTCCCCCACACCCCCCATCTCCCCCTTCTCCCCCACACCCCCCCATTTCCCCCACCCCCCCACATCTCCCCCACCCCCCCCATCTCCCCCACCCCCCCATCTCCCCCACCCCCAGCACCATCCACCACGTGGTCACCTTTTTAGATTTGCTTGATTTCTTCAAAGGTCGCATGTCACGTGGCTGATTTTCTATCGCAGGGAGGGGGGCCCTGAGGGCGCCCCCCCCCCCCCGGGTTGATTCTGTTCCGAATGAGGCTCATGATGCAGTTCAGGGTGCACGTCCAAGTCGGTGCCCCACTGATTTCCGTAGTCACTCAATCACGGTGTCTGTCGAGGCTGTTTGGCTCAATGAGAATGTTAATTTCCCTTTAGTTTAATTGGGGCTCTATAATTCACTTGTTTTGCTGATGTTTTGAATCGTTGCACTTTAACGTCGCACTGGCAAATCTCCTCGCTCGCTTAGCGTGTGCGCGTTCGTTCGTTTGAACTTCTTTCGCACCGCACGTGGCTAACCGTGCTAATCGGAGGTGCGGGAAATCGTACAGATAACGGTGAATGGATACTCTTTGGAGCAAGGTACATAGTAACGTAAAGATGAACCACAGGTCATGATAATTACACTTTAAACTGATTGTTGTTGCGTGGCGTCGCCCCGCGTCAGTCCTCCCCTACTCAGGGTGCCAGCGCAGCGGTTACTGACGCTTGCACCTCACAGCAAAGAGCCCCTAGGTTCGAGTCCCGACTCGGGTGCGTGTCTGTGTGGAGTTTGTACTTCTCTCTCTCCCTGTCGCTCTCTCCCGCTGTGCTCCGTTGGCTTCTCCGGGTTCCTCCATGCGCTCTAGAAGTCGCCTACAACGTGTAGCCGCTTTCAGCTGGGATCACGTAAACAGCTGCAGCAGCAGCTGCAGCAGCAGCTACAGCAGCAGCAGCATCACCCCCTGCCGCACTCAGCCGGGCAGGAGCCTCCTGAGATAAACACTGGGACTCATTGAGGCATTCCTGGATAAACTCGTATAGTACATGCTGTTGTTGTTGTGCCGTTGTTGTTGTGCTGTTGTTGTTGTGCGAGCTACCAGCCTGTTATATACGAGTTGACGATCTGTATGTTGCTGTGTGTGTGTGGTGGTGTGTGGTGGTGTGTGTGGTGTGTGTGTGTGGTGTGTGTGTGTGGTGTGTGCGTGTGGTGTGTGTGTGGTGCGCGTGTGGTGTGCATGTGGTGTGTGTGGTGTGGTGTGTGCGTGTGGTGTGTGTGTGGTGTGTGCGTGTGGTGTGTGTGGTGTGTGTGGTGTGCGCGTGTGGTGTGCGCGTGTGGGTGTGTGTGTTGTGTGTGTGTTTGTGTGTGGTGTGTGTGGTGTGGTGTGCGTGTGGGTGTGTGCGTGGTGTGTGTGGTGTGGTGTGTGTGGTGTGGTGTGTGCGTGTGGTGTGTGTGTGGTGTGTGTGGTGTGTGTGTGGTGTGTGTGGTGTGGTGTGTGTGGTGTGGTGTGTGCGTGTGGTGTGGTGTGTGTGGTGTGTGTGGTGTGTGTGCGTGTGGTGTGGTGTGTGTGTGGTGTGTGTGGTTGTGTGTGGTGCGTGTGGTGTGTGTGTGGTGTGTGTGTGGTGTGTGTGTGGTGTGTGTGTGGTGTGTGGTGTGGTGTGTGTGTGCGTGTGTGTGGTGTGTGGTGGGTGTGTGGTGTGTGTGTGTGGTGTGTGTGTGGTGTGTGTGTGGTGTGTGTGTGGTGTGTGGTGTGTGTGTGGTGTGTGTGGTGTGTGTGTGTGGTGTGTGTGTGGTGTGTGTGGTGTGTGTGTGGGTGTGTGGTGTGGTGTGGTGTGTGCGTGTGGTGTGTGTGGTCTGTGTGTGGTGTGTGTGGTGTGTGTGGTGTGTGTGTGGTGTGTGTGGTGCGTGTGTGGTGTGTGGTGTGGTGTGTGCGTGTGGTGTGTGTGGTCTGTGTGTGGTGTGTGTGTGGTGTGTGTGTGGTGTGTGTGTGGTGTGTGTGGTGTGTGTGGGGTGTGTGTGGTGTGTGTGTGGTGTGTGGTGTGTGTGTGGTGTGTGTGGTGTGTGTGGTGTGTGGTGTGTGTGTGGTGTGTGTGTGGTGTGTGTGTGGTGTGTGGTGTGTGTGTGGTGTGTGTGTGGTGTGTGTGTGGTGTGTGTGGTGTGGTGTGTGTGTGGTGTGTGTGTGGTGTGTGTGTGGTGCGTGTGTGGTGCGTGTGTGGTGTGGTGTGTGCGTGTGGTGTGTGCGTGTGGTGTGTGCGTGGTGGTGTGCGTGTGGTGTGTGTGGTGTGCGCGTGTGGTGTGCGCGTGTGGTGTGCGCGTGTGGTGTGTGTGTTGTGTGTGGTGTGTGTGGTGTGGTGTGTGCGTGGTGTGTGTGTGGTGTGTGTGGTGTGGTGTGTGCGTGTGGTGTGTGTGTGGTGTGTGTGTGGTGTGTGTGGTGTGTGTGTGGTGTGTGTGGTGTGGTGTGTGGTGTGTGTGGTGTGTGTGGTGTGGTGTGTGCGTGTGGTGTGTGTGTGGTGTGTGTGGTGTGTGTGTGGTGTGTGTGGTGTGTGTGTGGTGTGTGTGGTGTGTGTGTGGTGTGGTGTGGTGTGTGTGGTGTGTGTGGTGTGTGTGGTGTGTGTGGTGTGTGTGTGGTGTGTGGTGTGTGTGTGGTGTGTGTGGTGTGTGTGTGGTGTGTGTGTGGTGTGTGTGGTGTGTGTGGTGTGGTGTGTGTGGTTGTGTGTGTGGTGCGTGTGGTTGTGTGTGTGGTGCGTGTGGTTGCGTGTGTGGTGCGTGTGTGTGTGGTGGGTGTGGTGTGTGCGTGTGGTGTGTGTGTGGTGTGTGCGTGTGGTGTGTGTGTGGTGTGTGCGTGTGGTGGTGTGGTGTGTGTGGTGTGCGCGTGTGGTGTGCGCGTGTGGTGTGTGTGTGTGGTGTGTGTGGTTGTGGTGTTGTGTGGTGTGGTGTGTGCGTTGGTGTGTGCGTGGTGGTGTGTTGGTGTGTGTGGTGTGGTGTGTGCGTGTGGTGTGTGTGTGGTGTGTGTGGTGGTGTGTGTGGTGTGGTGTGTGGTGGTGTGTGTGTGGTGTGTGGTGTGTGTGGTGTGTGTGGTGTGGTGTGTGCGTGTGTGTGGTGTGTGTGGTGTGGTGTGTGGTGTGGTGTGTGTGTGTGTGGTGTGTGTGGTGTGTGTGGTGGTGGTGGTGTGGGTGGTGTGTGTGTGTGTGTGTGGTGTGGTGGTGTGCGTGTGGTGGTGTGGTGTGTGTGGTGTGGTGTGTGTGGTGTGTGGTGTGTGTGGTGTGTGTGTGGTGTGTGTGTGGTGTGTGTGTGGTGTGTGTGGTGTGTGTGGTGTGTGTGTGGTGTGTGGTGTGTGTGTGTGGTGTGTGTGTGGTGTGTGTGTGGTGTGTGTGGTGTGTGGTGTGTGCGTGTGGTGTGTGTGGTCTGTGTGTGGTGTGTGTGGTGTGTGTGGTGCGTGTGTGGTGTGTGGTGTGGTGTGTGCGTGTGGTGTGGTGTGTGCGTGTGGTGTGTGTGGTCTGTGTGTGGTGTGTGTGGTGTGTGTGGTGTGTGTGTGGTGTGTGTGTGGTGTGTGGTGTGTGTGTGGTGTGTGTGTGGTGTGTGTGGTGTGTGTGGTGTGTGTGGTGTGTGTGTGGTGTGTGGAGTGTGTGTGGTGTGTGTGTGGTGTGTGTGTGGTGTGTGTGGTGTGTGTGGTGTGGTGTGTGTGTGGTGTGTGTGGTGTGGTGTGTGTGTGGGTGTGGTGCTGTGTGGTGCGTGTGGTGCGTGTGTGGTGCGTGTGGTGCGTTGTGTGCGTGTGTGGTGTGTGTGTGGTGTGTGTGTGGTGTGTGTGTGGTGTGTGGTGTGTGTGTGGTGTGTGTGTGGTGTGTGTGGTGTGTGTGTGGTGTGTGTGTGGTGTGTGTGTGGTGTGTGTGTGGTGTGTGTGTGGTGTGTGTGGTGTGTGTGGTGCGTGTGGTGCGTGTGGTGCGTGTGGTGCGTGTGTGGTGCGTGTGGTGTGTGCGTGTGGTGTGTGGTGTGTGTGTGGTGTGTGTGGTGTGTGTGGTGTGGTGTGTGCGTGTGGTGTGTGGTGTGTGTGTGGTGTGTGTGGTGTGTGTGGTGTGGTGTGTGCGTGTGGTGTGTGGTGTGTGTTTGGTGTGTGGTGTGCGTTTGGTGTGTGTGGTGTGTGTGTGTGGTGTGTGTTTGGTGTGTGTGGTGTGTGCGTGTGGTGTGTGTGGTGTGTGTGGTGTGGTGTGTGTGGTGTGTGTGGTGTGTGTGGTGTGGTGTGTGCGTGTGGTGTGCGTGGCCAGGCCCTGTCGTGCGTGTGCCAGCTGTGCGGTGCCCACTTCAGCCGCCTGCACTCGTGCCTCTACTGCGTCTTCTTCGGCTGCTTCGCTCGGCGCCACATCCACGAGCACGCCAAGGCCAAGCGCCACCCGCTCGGTACGCTCGCTCGAAACCCCGCTCACCCCGCTCCAACCCCGCTCACCGCGCTCACCCACTCACCTCACTCAACACCGGAAGGCCCTAGATGCCACCACGCTCTTCCACCACTACGCTCCACCACCACGCTCTTCCACCACTACGCTCCACCACCACGCTCTTCCACCACTACGCTCCACCACCACCCGCTCTGTGGGTGTCCGCGGGGCACACACGCACGGGGGCAGGGAGGAGTGGCTTCCCAGGGCAGGTGCAGTGCGGGCACTGCACTCTATACACTATGAACTGAACTGTTTCTTGTCTTACCAGGTAAGGCCCAATGAGCAATGAACGACCTGGCTATCACAAATGATAGCTCAACGAAGTGACTTCTTGTTATCACGTGGACATTTATAGCGCCAGCTACATACTCTAAACGTGTGATGTGTTTTATAAATGTGGAGGGAAAAACCCGGTGAGCCGGAGAAAAATCCACGCGACCACGGGGAGAGAGACGCAGGCATCGGGGTCGAACCCACGACCTCCCGCATACCAGGCGAGGGAGATAATATCTCGCCTAGCTCGAGTCTAAATGTGGATGCGCTGTTTAGCATGCGGAGCCCACACTCCACTGTCGTGCATAAATATTAACAGAACACGCAGTGCAGGGCATGACAGAGACAGACCGTGCTGCACAACGTAACCACATGGCTCGCAACACCTTATTAGCAACACGGTACTCTATCAACACGTAACTAGCAACACGTTACTATCAACACGGTACTAGCAACACGTTACTATCAACACGTTACTATCAACACGGTACTATCAACACGGTACTATCAACACCTTACTGGGTCCTAGTCTGGGTCCTAGTCTGGGTTCTAGTCTGGGTTCTATTTAAATCTCGCCCTGCAAACTCACGTCTTTAGAATCGCCCTTTCCTCCATAGTTTTGATCGTTTACGCCGCTGGTTCCGTCTTATTTCCCCGCTTTCCATACACGGTTGGCGCATTGGGATCCTTGGATGAGAAGGCGCTTTACAAATGTAAATGATCATTGTGAAACCCTGATCTTTCTGCCGTTTCTGCCGTCCATGGGGAAACGGGGTTCCGGTTTTACGACGACGACGTTTCCAGCAACGCGTCGTGACGTCGTCAAAAAGCGGGGGGGAGGAGGAGGGGGGGCTGGCCGCCCGCCCACATTCATTTACTTTTCATTCATTCATTTTGGATATCGGCGAATGCCACTTTGGCCACAAGGGGGATGTTGTTCAACTGAGGGTGATGTTGGTTGGCAGGATTGGATACGAGAATGGCTGTTGGTGCCAGACATTCTCTAACAGCACTTGCCCCCCCAAAATAATCTGTTGAGGCTATATGGGGGATCTTTGTCTTTGGTGGAGGAAAGAGGGCGAGGAGTGGTGGGGGGGATGGGTGGGGGGTTCAATCCACAAAGTCTCTTGAGTGAAGTTGAGTGAAGTTGATTCTGTGCGGCCAGGTTATAGAACTCAGGAGAGACCGGGATAAGTCTCATTTGCACGAGTGACCAGGATGACCAAAAACGACGAGAGCAAAGCAAGTAGAGTAGAGCGCGGCTATCGAGCGAAGATGAGTTGACGCAGAAGAAACAACAACTGCGTTGTGACGTGAGAAAAATCGAGAACGCTGCAGCGACCAACATAAATCCGCGTCCAATAATAAATTCCCCCGCAGCATACGTCATCTGGGGCAGGTTATTTTTAGACCGGTCGTAGGGCGGTTGCAATTAAGTTGGAGAAATGTGAAACTAAAACTACAACTTAAACTATTTTTTATTCTACCAGGTAAGGCCCACTGAGCTACCTAGCATTTTTTAAAGAAGCAACCTGGTCACAAATTATAGCTCAACGAAGTGGCTTATCACGTGCAAATTTCTAGCAGCCAAACACTCTAAACACGTGATGTTGATTCTAAATGTGGAAGTAAAAAACCGGAGCACCCGGGAAAATCCACGGGGAGAGAGGCACGCAAACACAGCAAGAGTCGTCAGAGTCGGGATCGAACCCACGACCTCCTTCATCCCAGGCGAGGTTGTTAACATCTCCTAGTCACCGTGGCACCAGATGCTGCTGCTTTTGCCGCGGCGGCGAGATGTTAACTAGCTTGCCTGGTATGCGGGAGGTTGTGGGTTGGATTCCGACCCTGATGCCTGCTGCTTTATATTTGGAGTTTGCGTGTCTCTCTCCCCGTGGTCACGTGAATTTCCACATGACAAGCCACTTAATTGGGTTATCATTTGTGACCAGGTTGCTTCTTAAAAAAATGATGTCAGGCTCGGTGGGCCTTACCTGTCAAGACAAAAACATTGTTGAATAGGTTTACATAGAATGCCACATTGAAATTGTTTGCAATGTACAACCAGTACAGGTGAGGTTTTCCTGGGTTAACAAGCAGAGTAGTACTACAGTACAAATACAATGGTCTGTACTATGACCTCCAGTCAGCAAATTTGGTGTGGGTGCCATGGTGATGTGGTCATACCACTGTGAGTGGCACCATGGCGGTCGGTGCGTCACGTGGGTGGTGAACTGATGTTTGTGCACCGGGATGAATGCAGCCAGCGCTTTGTTTGAGCCTCGAAAGCTCAACCGTCCGGAGAATAATTCGGCAAAACAAATCACAGCAGTCCCTGGTTCGTCGTCATCAGTAATCGGAGACACAACGGGCGCTCGCAAACAGCGTTTTCGTCCAACTGTGTCCATAGCGCGTGACAAAAGGCATGCGGCGTAATGTATTATTGTCACATTGGGGTGACAAGATGTTAACTACCTCGCCTGGTATACAGGAGGTCGTGAGTTCGATCCTGACCCCGATGCCTGCTGCTGTATATTTGGAGTTTGCGTGTCTCTCTCTCCCCGTGGTCGTGCAGATTTCTCCGTGTCCTCCGGTTGTTCCCTCCACATGAATAAATATGCGTTTACTTGACTCCTGTACATTTCCACATGATGGTTGAGCCCCACTTCGTTGAGCTATCAGTTTGTGGCCAGGCCGCTTCTGAATAAGAGCTACACAGCTCGGTGGGCCTTACCCAGTAAAATAAAAATAGTTTATGGTTTTTACTTTATTATATTTTATGGCACCACGTTAACCTGCAGGTGGCACTTGCTGCTACTTGTTGCATCACCTGTAGGCGTAGGTTGATGACGTCACACCGCATACCGGAAGGCCCAGGATCACAGGACATTTTCACAATTCTGTCAATCGCCTGATGAGACCAAGTAGATGGATGCCTTCCTGGAGCTTCGTACCTTGAACAACTTATAACTTGAGTACAACGGGGATGCGTACCCAGCCTTCGTCATTTACCGTCTCGGACTGTAAACACTTCATGACTTACCATGCATCTTGTACATGATAAGCCACTTTGTTGAGGTGTAATTTGTGATAGCTGGGTTACTTCTGAGAACGAAGGTAACGGCTCAGTGGGCCAAACTTGTATATTGGTTTGAAGTGATTTGTCTACCTTGGCATTAATGTTCACTCCTGTCATGTGTTGCTATTCTTTGTTCTAACGCTCTGATCCGCCCCGACTAGACGCCTGTGAATAAGAGGTTTATAGCTCATTGGATTCCTCCAGCATAAATAAATATTCTGATCAAAATAAAAAAACAGACATGAAACAAAGATCGCGATGCGCAATCGTCAATAATCTATAACGTATTATAATTTTTATATAGTACCGTAAATTACTCAAAGGAATGGAAATATATTTTCTTTAAAGTATAAATCCAAAGTTCGTTTTAACGAATCTCCCTTTATGGAATATTCGCATATCGAGGTACCTACTGTACCAGCGAATCGTCGCGGCTAATTGTTCGATGTCAAACAAATTGTGATTCTGATTGTCGGCCGGCGGGTCGGCGTGTCCCCCCGATGTCTGTGCAGCGATCGACCTGTACCACGGCACCATCTACTGCTTCCAGTGCGGAGACTACGTGTACGATCGCGATGCCGAGCAGATCGCCAGGGAGGAGCAGCGCAAGGCCTGGAAACTGCAGGGTGCGTGCACGCGACGCACACGCTCCACAAAGACAAAGATGTCCTGTATAGTATTTGGCTGCTACTATAAATTTCCACGTGATGATAAGCCACTTCGTTTAGCATTCACTTGTGATAGCCAGGTCGCTTAGGAAAAAGAGCAATAGAGTTCAGTGGAGCCTTACCTGGTAAGTAAAAATGGCTTCGTTGTTAGATTTGGGCTCGGACGGCAGAGCGAGCGGCTCTCGTTCGGGAAAGGTCGAGAGTTCAAATCCACGACCAACGGAGTCGACTCCGCTGGCCGATACAATGAGCAGCACTTCACGACGAATTCGACAGCGCTTCTCATACGCATTGACCCTCGGCCATGGCAATGTGGTATCTCCACCGCTGACTCTAGACGGTAAGCAGGAGAGGGAGCACCAGTGCCTCAGCCGGCACGGAGATCACCGGCTGCTGCTCCCGCCTTTGTGTTGCGGTTTTGAGCGCCGCTCCGCCAATGCGGTGCTCTGACATCGCCCGCGCCCCCCCTCGCCCCCCCCCCCCCCCCCCCCCACTTCTCGTTGTGTGTTGTCCGCGTGGTCAGGACTGGGCGACCGCTACACCAGCTGGGAGCCAACGCGGCGGGAGCTCGAGCTGCTGCGGCAGAACCCCAAGCGACGCAAGATTGCGCCCAACTGCACCATCGGTGAGCGTTTCCGGCGCAGGTGCTGCCAACGGCCACAGCGCCGGCCGTCTTGCGACGGGCCGAGCCGCTGAATCTGGCTTGGAGGGGTGGAGGAGGAGAAGGAGGCCATCGGGGAAGCCTCATGTTTCTTTCCCTTAACAAAGCCTCTTTGACGCCCAACAACGACCACGATACCTCCCGGTGTAAGGGCGGCGAATTCAGCCCTGGTGGCAGTCCTGCCGCCGTCGTGTTGGGGAGGTGGAGCAGCAAGTCCGTTCCGTGCCGTGCTCGGGAGAATTCTAGTTGAAAGTGGGGGTTGGGACTGATTCACAATCTTTGTGTCGACTGCAGCAGCAGCAGGAGGAATCTGATGAGCTATGAAGCTCTTTTTCACCGATGTCCAGTGGACTTGTTACCCGGTGGCCCAAGTTCAAATCCCGCTCACGGCAAACAACAACCGTGACAAATATCTTGTCAACCGGTCCTGGCCCTCTGCTAGATCGACTCGGCCTCAAATGAGTACCCGGTGCGATGTGTAAAATATCGGCACTGGGGAGACAAAGGCGGCCGGGCATGATGCTGGCCACCCACCCCCTCGTGTGACGTGCCGGCCTTCACAGGTGCTACTCGCTAATAATAATAGTAATAATTTAGTTTTATTCAGAGTCATTCATGCCAGCTAGCTTCTTTGCCCGTCCTAGGATGGAAGCTGTAATATTTACGAAAAAAATTGTATCTTGTGTAAATTTAATGGCAGTGAATCTTGCACAAAACGAAGTCATAAAACACCTCACTGCAGTTCACTGTAGCACTGTATATAACTGACCTTCAATTTGTTCAAATTCACTGCTCTGATACTTTATTCTCTTCTGCTTTCGGTCACTGGGGTTGAAATAAATCGGAATTCGATACAATATCTGGAAAATCACCGAGAAATGTCTATTTTACCATCATGTAGAAGCATAAATTAGACTTACCTTTTGTCTCAAGAGCTGAAGAAATAAATAAAGACGCAAATCAATTTTGTTGCTGCATAGATTTATTTATTAGATTCACTTTCAATAAAGAAACGTCAAACTGAAAGCGCCCTTCTCCTGCGCGAGTGTAAAAATCCACCCGCTCACAGAACAGACGCAGCAGGCGCCATTGGGTTGGCTGACTGAGATGAGCGGTCGATGCCTACCTGGCACAGTAGAGGGTACAGCTGGTGCATCGAACGGTCATCTCAGTCAGCCAACCCATGGCACCCGCCGGGCCTGTCCCGTGACCTCCTCCTGCACCTAGCCTGGCACAGTAGAGGGTACAGCTGATGCATCGACCGCTCATCTCAGTCAGCCAATCCATGGCACCCGCCGGGCCTGTCCCGTGACCTCCTCCTGCACCTAGCCTGGCACAGTAAGGGATACAGCTGGTGCATTGAACGGTCATCTCAGTCAGCCAACCCATGGCACCCGCCGGGCCTGTCCCATGACCTCCTGCACCTAGCCTGGCACAGTAAGGGGTACAGCTGGTGCATTGAACGGTCATCTCAGTCAGCCAACCCATGGCACCCGCCGGGCCTGTCCCGTGACCTCCTGCACCTAGCCTGGCACAGTAAGGGGTACAGCTGGTGCATCGAACGGTCATCTCAGTCAGCCAATCCATGGCACCTGCTGCGTCTGTCCCGTGACCTCCTGTCGGCGGCGAGAGTCTTCGACGCTTCACGCGATAGCCTCAACGTGCACCTAGCCCGGCACGGGCGCCGTGATGACGTCACCGTCACTTACCGGCAAATGGCGTTTGTTGGTATCGGTCGCGCTTGGCCCCAACAGCCCTTGAAGGCGACACGGGGGATGTTTCCGTGTGTGCAGGCCTGCGCGGCCTGGTGAACCTGGGCAACACGTGCTTCATGAACTGCATCGTGCAGGCCCTGACGCACACGCCGCTGCTGCGCGACTTCTTCTTGTCGGACCGCCACCGCTGTGAGATGGAGAGCCCCGAGTCCTGCCTGGTGTGCGAGATGAGCCGCCTCTTCCAGGAGGTCGGTGTCCCCCCCCCCCACGTGACTCCCCCCCCCCCCCCCCCACGTGCCCCCCCCCACGTGTGTCCCCCCCCACGTCTCTCCCCCCAAGCGTCCCCCCCCCCCACGTGTGTCCCCCCCCCCCCACGTGTCCCCCCCCTCCCCCCACGTGCCCCCCCCACGTGTGTCCCCCCCCCACGTCTCTCCCCCCCAAGCGTCCCCCCCCCCCACGTGTGTCCCCCCCCCCCACGTGTCCCCCCCCTCCCCCCACGTGCCCCCCCCACGTGTGTGTCCCCCCCCCCCAAGTGCCCCCTCCCCGCATGTCCCCCAGCGTGCCCCTTCCATCCCATATCGCGGTCTCCCCCCCCCCCACAGTTCTACTCGGGGTTCCGCTCGCCGCACATCCCCTACCGCCTGCTGCACCTGGTGTGGACGCACGCTCGCCACCTGGCCGGCTACGAGCAGCAGGACGCCCACGAGTTCCTCATCGCGGCGCTCGACGTGCTGCACCGACACTGCAAAGGTGGCCACACGCGTTGACGTGTTGATGTGTTGACGTGATGACGTGATGGCGTGATGACGTGTGGAGCCTCTCCCGTTCCAATCGGTCGCGGTGACCGTGCCGTGACCGTGCCATGCCATGACCGTGCCGTGACCGTGCCGTGACCGTGCCATACCGTGACCGTGCCGTGACCGTGCCGTGACCGTGCGGCGCGCTCACCTCTCTGCAGGGGACGACAACGGCAAGAAAGCCAACAACCCCAACCACTGCAACTGCATCATCGATCAGATCTTCACGGGCGGCCTGCAGTCGGACGTCACCTGCCAAGTCTGCCAGTGAGTGCACACGCGGACACACGTCTATGTGCGTAGGAGGTGCTCGCTGACAGCACTTGCCCCAACAGTCTGTTCAGGCTACACGGGGGGTCTTTGTGCGTGTTTGTGTGGGGAGCAGTAGTGCGGTGGTTGACACTTTGCACATACGCAAACATCACCACTGGGGAGACGAAGGCAGCCGGGCGGGCGGCTGGCCGCCCACCCCCTCGTGTGTCGGCCTTCATAAGTGCTGCTCGCGAAGGGTACTTGCCCCAAACGCCTACCGAGGCTACGCGGGGGGGGATCTTTGTCTTGTGTGTGCGAGTGTAACGGAACCCTGATAGCAACGGATGGGAAAACAGAACGAAGAGCGAACAGCATGGGTAGAATGGAAGAGTGTGAAGGGGACAGGGTACAGAGGAAAAGAAAATCCCAGTGAACGGAGGAGAATGTGGGGGGAGGAGTTTGAATTGAGAACAAAAAGACGGAAGAAGATGGGGAAATGAGGAAATCAAAGTGTGTGTTCATTAACTCGGTGGACCGAGTTGGGTTCCCGCTCACGGCCACCATCCCCGACAAACGTCGCACTCGCGCACGTCGAACTTCTTTGGCACCGTACGTGGGCCGACCGTGCTGAGCGGAGGTGGTGCGGTGGGACGTGTGCGCGTGTCTCCCAGGGGCGTGTCCACCACCATCGACCCCTTCTGGGACATCTCGCTGGACCTGCCGGGCTCCTCGACGCCGTTCTGGCCGCTCAGCCCCGGCTCGGAGGGCAGTCTGCTGCTCGCCAACGGAGGGGAGGCCCACGCGGCGGCGGGCCCCACCTCGCTCACCGACTGCCTGCGCAGGTACCGGCCCGCCGGCTGGTGCACGGTGTGCTGCCCCCCCCCCCCCCGATCGCGACGGCGACAACGTTGGTGGCCGCCGCCCTCCTCCGCTCTCGTTTCGAAGGGTGCACCCCCCCAGTGGCAGCTGCCCCTGTGTGTGTGAGAAGCGCCACAGTGGCTAGGAGATGTTAACTACCTCGCCCGGTACGCAGGAGGTCGTGGGTTCGATCCCGACCCTGACGCCTGCTGCTGTACATTAGGAGTCTGCGTCTCTCTCCCCGTGGTCGAGTGGATTTTTCTCAGGGGTCCTCCGGTTTTTCCCTCCACATTTAGAATCGACATCACCACGCGTTTAGAGTCTTAGGCTACTGCTATACATTTTCACGTGATAAGTAATAGTACATCGTAGCTCTCCAAAAGAGCTACATAGCTCAGTGGAGCTTAGATATGGGTAGAAACCGGAGAACCCAGAGGAGACTCGGGGGAGAGAGAGTGAGAGAGGACGTACAAACTCCACCCGGGAGTCAGGGGATCTGTTTGTTAGTTTAACTTGCGGTCGGCTTTCGCGACCAATATTATGACTATGACGTCACCGCGTGGCTCACGAGCGCCGTCCACGGCTCCTGGGTGTTGATTGGCGCTCGTGGGTTCTGACCGTGGCTCGTGGGTTCTGACCGTGGCTCGTGGGTTCTGACCGTGACTCGTGGGTTCTGACCGTGGCTCGTGGGTTCTGACCGTGGCTCGTGGGTTCTGACCGTGGCTCGTGGGTTCTGACCGTGGCTCGTGGGTTCTGACCGTGGCTCGTGGGTTCTGACCGTGGCTCGTGGGTTCTGACCGTGGCTCGTGGGTTCTGACCGTGGCTCGTGGGTTCTGACCGTGGCTCGTGGGTCCTGACCGTGGCTCGTGGGTCCTGACCGTGGCTCGTGGGTCCTGACCGTGGCTCGTGGGTCCTGACCGTGGCTCGTGGGTCCTGACCGTGGCTCGTGGGTTCTGACCGTGGCTCGTGGGTTCCCGCGGCCGGAGAGCGCAGGTTCACGCGGCCCGAGTACCTGGGCAGCAGCGCGAAGATCAAGTGCAGCGGCTGCCGCAGTTACCAGGAGTCGACCAAGCAGCTGACGATGAAGAAGCTGCCCATCGTGGCCTGCTTCCACCTCAAGGTTCCGCTGCCTCCGCCGCCGCGGCGTGGCTCTCCTTGCAACCCCACTCACCCACGACAGCGCCAGCAGTAGGGGCAGCAGTAGGGGCAGCGCCAGCAGTAGGGGCAGCAGCAGCACGGCACCCACTCGCTGGGTAGCGCTTGTTTAGCGATCGCGGCTTCAAAGCGATCGCCGTGCACTGGCATCAGAACGCACAAGCATTAGACACGTGTCCTTGCCGTGTCTGTCCCGCCACGGAGCAAACAAGCACGTAAATGAATAGATAAATGGTATATCCCGTCAGCCACACGGCCTTCTGCGAGCGCATCATTTTAAATCAAGCAAGCCTGACTGCTGATGAGATACTGAATGTTGAAACTGGTCCAGAGTTGGCTTGATGTTGAACCGACGTGTTAAACTGCTGTGATCCTGAGTCACTCTGTGTGTGTCCGTGTGTTGGTTTGCAGCGATTTGAGCACTCGGCAAAGCTGCGCAAAAAAATCACCACCTACGTCTCCTTTCCTCTGGAGCTCGACATGACGCCGTTCATGGCATCAAGGTGTCTACACGCACGCACACGCACGCAACTGCGTTGCACACACCCAAACCCACCGCACACGTGCAAACATCGCCACTGGGGAGACAAAGACGGCTGGGCGTGGTGTCGGTCACCCACCCCCGCATGTACTATACCGGCCTTCATCGGTGCTACTCGCTCACAGCACTTGCCTCCTCCTCCAGTTGAAGGCTACATGGGGGATGTTTGTGCGGCGAGCCGTTGGCACAGTGGTTCACGCACTGCGCTGCGAACTTGGCGACCCGAGTCCGATACCCGCACAGGGCCGACATCGGTCACGAATATCTGCTAACTCCCTCGCCTGGCATGCAGGAGGTCATGGCTTTCATCGCGACCCTGATGCCTGCTGTACATTTGGAGTTTGCATGTCTCTCTGTGTATGGTCAAGTGGATTTTTCTCCGGGTTTAGAATCAACAGGCGTTTCGAGTATTTTGCTGAAATAAATGTCCACACGATAAGCCACTTTGTTGAGCTATCATTTGTGGCCAGGTCGCTTCTGAAAACTAAATATATTGCTCAGTGGGCCTTACCTGGTAAAATAAAAAATTGTTTAGTTTCAGTTTTTTTTAAAGGAGTAGGTTCCCATTTCGAACTCTCCGTTCGGTGTGTAAACGCGAACCGCCGGGCATAAGCCCGACCGCACCATTCGCGGGCGGCGCTCGCTAGCGGCAGGGCGCGGCTGCCCCAGCGTGCCTGTGCGGGCCACACCGTGGTGGTGGGGGGGGGATCTTTGTGCCGTGTGACCTCGTGACCTTGTGACCTCGCCCCCTGTGCGCGCGTGCGTGGGCACAGCAAGGAGAGCCGCGTGAACGGGCAGCACCAAGCGGGAGGAGACTCCCTGAGCAGCGAGAACAAGTAGGTGGCGGCGTCCTCCCGCTCGCGCTCGCCACGACCTCCGCTCTGCGCGGCCGTAACTTAAGCACGCGGTGGTGTGACGCTGGTTGTCCCCGCAGCGAGAAGGGCCTGGGTTCGATTCCCCGACTCGAGAGGGAGAGGCCTGTCTTTGAGTGTGCATGGCTTGGTTCTCTCTCCCCCTGTGTGCGGCATGAGTTTCATCCTGGGCTCTCTGATTGGTCCAAAACATTAACAATTACCAGTTTGGGATCCGACACACAGCAGCAGCAACATCGCCTCCCCTCCGCCCTGTGAATCTTGGCAGGACCCTCCTGAGAGAGTCTTGAGACTCGGTGAGGCTTGTCCAGGTTGAACAAATGGAATCATAATAATCAGATGATTTAAAGGCTCCAACTTAAACTCTTAAACTATTTTTAATGTTACCAGGTAAGTCACCACTGAGCTGTGTAGCTCTACTTCAGAAGCAACCTGGCCACAAATGATAGGTCAACGAAGTGGCTTATCATTACGTGGAAATGTATAGCAGCCAAACACTCTAAATGCGTTACATTGATTCTAAATGCGGAGGGAAAACACGGAGGACCTGGAGAAAAATCCACGCGACCACGGGGAGAGAGCACGCCAACTCCAATTATACAGGTAATGTGAGGGTCGGGATCGAACCCATGACCTCTTGCATACCAGGCGAGGGAGATAACATCTCCTAGCCACTGCGGTCATTTAAGTACTTTCGATTTACGCTCTGATTTTCAAGAACGCATCCCGGGCGTAAACCGGGTTATGCCTGTACCTGCAAGTCACTCGGTTGTGGTTACTCGTGTATTAACTTGAGACTCAATGAAGCTTTCCTGGTTAGATTATAATATAATTAAGAAAACTGTGGCAATCCGAGTGATGCAGAGAACAAACCCATTCCGCGGCTGTTTTTGTAAACTGAGAGTAACGTATATCAATTACGTTCTGTTCATTTATCAACTTAAACGTGTCCCACTGTAAGTTGGATGCAATGCACGTGTGCGTGTGTCTGCTGATGAAACGGTAGTGTCGCAGTTAGCGCGTTGCGCTACTACAGCCAATACCAGTGACGATTATCTGAACCGGTCCTGGGCCTCCCCTAGGTGGACTCAGCTTCAAATAAGTACTTGGTGCAGTGTGTAAACATCGCCACTGGGGAGAGAGGCGGCCGGGTATGATGCTGTCTACCCACAACTAGTGTGCCGTGCTGGCTTTCATAGGTGCTACTCGCTAACAGCACTTGCCCTAACAGTATGTTTAGGCTATATACGGAATAATTATCTTTGGTTGTCTGCCTGCGTGTGTGTCTGTGCATGCGTGTGTGTCTGTGTGTGTATGCATGCGTGCGCCTGTGTGTCTGCGTGTGTGTGTGTGCGCGCGTGTGTGTGCGCGTGTGTCCGTGCGTGCCCAGGTACTCGCTATTTGCAGTGGTGAACCACCAGGGCACGCTGGAGAGCGGCCACTACACCAGCTTCATCCGGCAGCACAAAGACCAGTGGTTCAAGTGCGATGACGCGATCATCACGCACGCCGGCGCGCGGGACGTCCTCGACAGTGAAGGGTGCGTGGACACCACGCTCCTCTCCTGCCTCCTACTTCCTTCCACCTACCTCCTCCCTCCTAACACGGAACGTGCACCGTTATAACACGGAACGTGCACCGTTATATTGCTGTTTCTGAGCGGTAGACGCTGAACTACTTTTTGGAGCTGTGCGGCTGAGCGGTAGTGATACAATACGCGGATCGATACAGTAACGCGGATCGATACAGTAACGTGGCAGCGTGCACTCAGTTATTTGTCCCGCCATCTGTGTGGTGTGCTTAGTAGTAGTAGTAGTACATCGTAGCTCACCAAAATTATCGTTGCATTATTTATGGGGAAATAGTTTTCGCTTGCCGTGTTTTTCGCTTCACGCAACACTTTTCAGTAACACATATTTCACGTTAAGCTATTCAAACTATGTTTATTTTACCAGGTAAGTCCCACTGAGCTCTGTAGTTCTTTATCAGAAGCGACCTGGCTATCACAAATGATAGCTCAACAAAGTGGCTTATCACGTGGAAATGTATAGCAGCCAAATACTCTAAATGCATGATGTTGATTTTAAATGTGAGAGAAAAACTGGAGGATTCGGAGAAAAAACCACGGGGAGAATGAACATGCAAACTTCAAATATACAACAGACATCGTCAGGGTCGGGATTGAACCCACGACCTCCTGCATACCAGGCGAGGGAATTCACATTTCGCCACCACGGGGCCCTTGAACGAGAACTTGCTGCAACAATAAAGTAACTCGTGAAGGAGACTGTTGGGGTTTGAGACGATTCTAACCCCATTTCTGCCACCTCTTTCCTCACCGTTGTGCCACAGGTATCTGCTGTTCTACCACAAGCAGTTCCTGGAATACGAGTGAATGGTCTTGGAACGTACAAAAAAATCCCATCCGCGGCTCGACCTGACTGCGTGATACGAGGAAACGGAATACAAAGTGGAGTGGAAAAAACAAAACAAACTAATAACTGCATCTACCTGAAGTAACCGCGAACTATGAGAGAGTACTGGAGATACTTGAGAAAAACCCTGACCCTGGACGGCTGGACGGGGGGACGGGAGCTGACGGCTGCTACCATTGTATTACATTGAAATGGTCGGGCTGCATTCCCTCAAACGAACGAATGTTTGCGATGCACTGATGCTCTCTCGCCCGCCGCCGCCGCCGCCACTGCTGCGGCTGTGGCTCCAGGCCAGCGAGCAGAGCTTGCCCCTAGGCGGCCACCCAGACCTTTGCTTGGGCTCCTCCGTATTAAAAGAGAGAGAAAAACTTTAAAAAATACAAAAAAAAAACTCGTGACTCACTACACATCCAGTAATTGATTATTGTGCCAGTTTACAAAGCTACCAAAATGAGGTGCAAATGAATCCTTTGTGCAAAAGATATGCTCTAGTTTTCTTTGGGTTCCTTGCGTTGTTGGAAATATTTGCATAAAGGTTTATTTTGTTATGTCATGGAGAGTGGCTGCGCCGACAAAGTGACGGTGTTTGTGACGGTGTTTGCTGTGTTTCATTTGTGAGTGAAGGTGTTTGGCGACCAGACGCCGAGAGACACCGGCCCTGTCCGCCACAAGTGATCCTGGTGGTGGTGGTGGTGGTTTTAAAAGGCCCTACTAGGTCCTACTATGTCCTACTAGGCCCTACTAGGCCTTGTTAGGCCCTACTAGGCCCTGCTAGGACCTACTATGTCCTACTAGGCCCTACTAGGCCCTACTAGGACCTACTATGTCCTACTAGGCCCTACTAGGCCTTGTTAGGCCCTGCTAGGACCTACTATGTCCTACTATGTCCTACTAGGCCTTGTTAGGCCCTACTAAGCCCTGCTAGGACCTACTAGGCCCTACTAGGCCTTGTTAGGCCCTACTAAGCCCTGCTAGGACCTACTAAGCCCTACTAGGCCCTACTAGGCCCTACTAGGACCTACTAGGCCCTACTAGGCCCTACTAGGCCCTGCTTGGTCCTGCTAGGCCATACTAGGCCCTACTAGGCCCTGCTTGGTCCTGCTAGGCCCTACTAGGCCCTACTAGGACCTACTAGGCCCTACTAGGCCCTACTAGGCCCTGCTTGGTCCTGCTAGGCCATACTAGGCCCTACATGGCCCTGCTTGGTCCTGCTAGGCCCGGGCGCCACCTCGGGTGGCAAGGCCGGCGTTTAAATCGCCATCACGGCAGAGATTTAACAACAACCACCACGCCGGGAGCGTGCCCACGGATTTGTTTCTGTTCCTAGTCCATCACGAGACAGAAGTTTAGAAAAAAACAAACCATGTTGTTGGTGCTGAAAGCACGCGTCTTACCACTAATTCGTAACAATGCAATCGTGTAAATTTAGTTTTGTGAAATCGATGCACAATTTTTATTTTGCCATAGACGAGTAAGATAACTGATTTGGCAGCTTTAAAGATGTTAACAAAAAAAACTTGATTTTGGGTGTTGCCTGGTGAATGTGTGTGGTGGGGGTTTTTTCTTTCTCTGTGGACTAAATATTTTTGAGGTGACAAATTGCGTTGCATGTCCTCAACTGGTTTTACAAGTACGGCCGTGATACTGTTCAGACGGCTTCTCAGTGGCAATGAAACGTGATGTGATGCAACCTTTGTGTTAAGTAGCGACTAAAATACACCGCGGTCAACACGATAATGTCACGTTGTAGCAGTCATACTCTGAGCAAGGCATACTTTGAACTCAACGTTTTGCAGTATTGGGTTCTCCAGTGCATCGCTTTATGTACAATTTTTTTTTTAACCTGTAGGTGAATGTTACAGGCATGTGATGAGTCCTCAATTTAACTAAATCCTTATGCTCACGACGTACGTATCAACTCTTGCATGTAAGCATAAGTTATTTTTGTTTATTTGTACAAATGTAGAAGTTGTTTATTTACATTGATGCAAGCGGTGTGGCGGAACACGGGTAAAAGTAACACCGTAGAGATGGGGGATGGTAAATGATAATGGTGGTCATTAGATTAGGCTGTAGACACGAGGCAGTACAAATTACTTCTACAACGAGACAGTACAATTGAGTTGGACTACAGATGAGACGGTTCAGATAAAACCGGTCCAGAGAAATCAATTCGCGATCACGATTCGCGAGGTCGCAGGACAAGCCAGCTGCTCCGGCTGAGACGATGCAAACAAAGCAGATGAGACAATGACGACGGCGCAGACAAGACGGGACACACGAGATGGGGGGGGACAGACAGTATAAACAAGACGGACACTACAAGTGGGACGGTAAAGGCAAGATGGATGAGATTTGTTTTTTAGTTCGTGACGTCTGTTCGTGTGTTCACGTAGCCAACCACGCGAATCAGGTGCGGGGGAAGGACAACAAACTAAACACAGACGGCAGTACTAAAGAAATTAGTTTTAAATTTTGATTTAGAAGTACTTCGCTCCCTGTGGCTTTCAAATATCAGAAGGAAGAGCGTTCCAGACGGCCGCGTCTGGATTCGTGACAATTGGTGGCACTGGAGGGTGCCCATCCACCGTTGTCTCCAGGGGGGCTACACGAGGTTGGCACCGATCACCGCAAGCCCACCCAGACAGTAATCGTGTCTTGTACTTTCACATTTAAAATCCCCGATTATGTCATTGACAAAATGTTGCCTATTGGATGAAATCATCATCGCCGGCCACAATCCCCCGAATATTTTTTTGTTCAACACAATCACTGTAAAAAAAAAATCACGCATTGACTAAAAATAACCCAAGTAGGGTTTTTCTTCTTACGAAAGGACGCTGGGTGTGTGTGTGTGTTTGATTGGTGTGTGTGTGAGCTGGACGCTGGGTGTGTGAGCCAGCGTACTCGCAGGGCCCAGATTCCTTATGTGACTCATCCCTCCAGCTCCTGAATGATCGCTCCACCAGTGAATTCCACCACGGTGAAGGACAACGCTTAGAAGTTTCTCGACTAAGTTGATCACGGCCGATAAACCCTTCGACTTAGGGGGGGGGCGGGGTGGAGAGGGGTCGCGCGCAAATAAAACCGTGGTTGGCTGTGACCCTGCGTCTCGTGTTGGTGGCATTCGATCCATTTTTGGGACCTCTCCCACATTTTGTTTCAGCCGGTATCAAGATGAAGTTGGCTTTCTTGTGCTCCTCTGCACCGTAGCGTTGCAGTCGTTTTTCTACGTTTAAAAGGCCAAAAACAATGATTGACACCTGCCAATATTGCACTGTATGGAACGCCGTGTTGGTGCAGTGTGTAAGCAGGGGCGGATCGCGTGGCTCTAGTGCCATGCCGTACGGGGCAGCGCGGTCTGCACGTGGCGGTTGTGGGTGGATGCCACGCGGGGATTTCTGCCCCCCGTGTCCCCCAAAAGACACATTTTGTCACCTCATAAATGTGATTTTCTTTCTGTCTTCTGTTGATCGTTAAAACTCGGCAAAGCGGCACCACGTTGTGCAACGGTGGAAGGGAAATGGGCCACAAACATATCCTTTGCACATTTTTTTGCTGTATTTTTAAGAAATGTTATTTTTGTATTAGTTATTTTTTTAGTTTTTGTTCTAACGTGCCAAGGTATTACCATCTCGTGTGCACAGCTGCTCTCGATGGGTTACATTTCTTAATTGATGGTTGTTATTTTTTTATCTCTACGTTTGTTGTACGTGGCGTGCGTTGTGTTTTTGGTGTTCCGTGAGAAACTCTCCCCGCTCCGTCGGGGCTGCGTTTTGCGGTAATTGCGTTGCATGTCAGGCACACTGGCTGTGTCACTGGCCATGTCACTGGCCGTGTCAGGAACACTGGCTGTGTCACTGGCCATGTCAGGAACACTGGCTGTGTCACTGGCCATGTCAGGAACACTGGCTGTGTCACTGGCCATGTCAGGAACACTGGCTGTGTCACTGGCCATGTCACTGGCCGTGTCAGGAACACTGGCTGTGTCACTGGCCATGTCAGGAACACTGGCTGTGTCACTGGCCATGTCAGGAACACTGGCTGTGTCACTGGCCATGTCAGGAACACTGGCTGTGTCACTGGCCATGTCACTGGCCGTGTCAGGAACACTGGCTGTGTCACTGGCCATGTCAGGAACACTGGCTGTGTCACTGGCCATGTCAGGAACACTGGCTGTGTCACTGGCCATGTCAGGAACACTGGCTGTGTCACTGGCCATGTCACTGGCCGTGTCAGGAACACTGGCTGTGTCACTGGCCATGTCAGGAACACTGGCTGTGTCACTGGCCATGTCAGGAACACTGGCTGTGTCACTGGCCATGTCAGGAACACTGGCTGTGTCACTGGCCATGTCAGGAACACTGGCTGTGTCACTGGCCATGTCAGGAACACTGGCTGTGTCACTGACCATGTCAGGAACACTGGCTGTGTCACTGGCCATGTCAGGAACACTGGCTGTGTCACTGGGTGTGTCACTGGCCGTGTCACTGGTCGTGTCACTGGGTGTGTCCACTGGTCGTGTCACTGCCCGTGTCACTGGCCGTGTCCACTGCCCGTGTCACTGGCCGTGTCACTGAGTGTGTCACTGGGTGTGTCCACTGGCCGTGTCACTGGTCGTGTCAAGGTCCATCTTGCACTGAGGACTGCGCGCAGCTGCTTGGGCTGTGCCCATCCAACAGTCTGTAATCTAAACAACAACAAATACACGGAACTAAATAAATTCCATCTGACCAAATTCCTGTTTCTTTCGTCGCCATGTGTGTTGTTGTCGTCGTTGTTGTTGCAAACGCTGCTGACGTCGAGGAGTCGTGGTAAGGGTGGCACAGCGGACACACTGGAGCGTCACGGCAAGCAACATTCCCTGGGTTCGACTCGCGACCTGGACGCTGTGCGGTGTGGAGATTGGCCCTCTCTCCCTCTTCCCCTCGTGCTCTGCCTGGCTGCGTTCAGATTTCTTCCCAGAGCTAAACTATTAAGCAAGCCCGTGTCATTTGGTATTGGATAAAACAATCTTTTGCAAAAAGTGCCTAAAAATTACTCAATTGGGATTACAACAAACGCCATTCGCCACTAAGTGGTGGTGACGTCACCACGGCGCTTGTGCCAGGCTAGGTGCACGTTGAGGCCACGTGAAGTGTCGAACGCCCGCTGGCAGGAGGTCAACGTGGCAGACCCAGCAGGTGCCACTGACTGAGACGAGTGGCCCATGCACCACCACCACCACCTGTGCCCCCCACTGCGCCACCTGAGACGAGTGGCCCATGCACCACCACCACCTGTGCCCCCCACTGCGCCACCTGAGACGAGTGGCCCATGCACCACCACCACCTGTGCCCCCCACTGCGCCAACTGAGACGAGTGGCCCATGCACCACCACCACGTGTGACCCCCACTGCGCCAACTGAGACGAGTGGCCCATGCACCACCACCACCTGTGCCCCCCACTGCGCCACCTGAGACGAGTGGCCCATGCACCACCACCACCTGTGCCCCCCACTGCGCCAACTGAGACGAGTGGCCCATGCACCACCACCACGTGTGACCCCCACTGCGCCAACTGAGACGAGTGGCCCATGCACCACCACCACCTGTGCCCCCCACTGCGCCACCTGAGACGAGTGGCCCATGCACCACCACCACCTGTGCCCCCCACTGCGCCACTGAGACGAGTGGCCCATGCACCACCACCACGTGTGACCCCCACTGCGCCAACTGAGACGAGTGGCCCATGCACCACCACCACCTGTGCCCCCCACTGCGCCAACTGAGACGAGTGGCCCATGCACCACCACCACCTGTGCCCCCCACTGCGCCACCTGAGACGAGTGGCCCATGCACCACCACCACGTGTGACCCCCACTGCGCCAACTGAGACGAGTGGCCCATGCACCACCACCACCTGTGCCCCCCACTGTGCCAACTGAGACGAGTGGCCCATGCACCACCACCACCTGTGCCCCCCACTGCGCCAACTGAGACGAGTGGCCCATGCACCACCACCACCTGTGCCCCCCACTGCGCCACCTGAGACGAGTGGCCCATGCACCACCACCACCTGTGCCCCCCACTGCGCCACCTGAGACGAGTGGCCCATGCACCACCATCACGTGTGACCCCCACTGCGCCAACTGAGATGAGTGGCCCATGCACCACCACCACCTGTGCCCCCCACTGCGCCACCTGAGACGAGTGGCCCATGCACCACCACCACGAGTGCCCCCCACTGCGCCACCTGAGACGAGTGGCCCATGCACCACCACCACGTGTGACCCCCACTGCGCCACCTGAGACGAGTGGCCCATGCACCACCACCACGTGTGACCCCCACTGCGCCACCTGAGACGAGTGGCCCATGCACCACCACCACGTGTGACCCCCACTGCGCCACCTGAGACGAGTGGCCCATGCACCACCACCACCTGTGCCCCCCACTGCGCCACCTGAGACGAGTGGCCCATGCACCACCACCACGTGTGCCCCCCACTGCGCCAACTGAGACGAGTGGCCCATGCATCACCACCAGGTGTGGCCCCCCACTGCGCCAACTCCCCACCGCCTCCACCTGCACGGGCCTGGGCCGTGCCCCACCCCCCTCAGCAGTGACGCGTCACTGCTGAGCAACGCAGCAGCGTCACTGCTCGGAATCGTGGGTGAGGGGGGGTGAGGGGGGGTGAGGGCGTGACGCGGGGGGGTGATGGGGGGGTGACGCGGGGGGGGGGGGCCCAGGGGGGGACAAGGCGCGACCCCCACCACCACCACCTTGTGTCGTTGCTGCGTTCGGCGTCTCCACCTGGATCCTCCCTTGCGCTCTCCCCGCCGCTGGGTAAGAGACAGAAAGAGATACAAAGAGGGACAGACAGAGAGGGAGACAGAGAGACATACAGACAAACAGAGACAGAGGGACACAGAGACAGAGAGAGACATACATAGATGGAGACAGACAGAAAGAGATACAAAGAGGGACAGAGAGAGCTGCCTCTGTGGCACCGGTGCTTGGTGGTTGTGGTGGTGCTGGTCGTTGTGGTAGTGCTGGTGGTTGTGGTGGTGCTGGTCGTTGTGGTAGTGCTGGTCGTTGTGGTAGTGCTGGTGGTTGTGGTGGTGCTGGTCGTTGTGGTTGTGGTGGTGCTGGTCGTTGTGGTAGTGCTGGTGGTTGTGGTAGTGCTGGTGGTTGTGGTGGTGCTGGTAGTTGTGGTGGTGGTGTTTGTTGTGGTGCTGGTGGTTGTAGTGGTGGTGTTTTTTGTGGTGCTGGTGGTTGTGGTAGTGGTGATGGTGGTTGTGGTAGTGGTGGTAGTGGTAGTGCTGGTGGTTGTGGTGGTGGTTGTGGTGGTGCTGGTGGTGGTGTTTGTTGGGGTGCTGGTGGGTGGGGAGCAGTGGCGCAGTGGTTAGCGCGCTGTGCTTCGAACCCTGCCCACCCGAGTTAGATTCCCGCTCACGGCCATCAACAACGGTGACGATTATCTGAACCGAACGATTATCTGAACCGGTTCCTGGGCCTCCCCTAGGTCAACTCAGCCTCAAATGAGTACCTGGTGATGTGCATTAAAAACATCACCTCTGGTGAGACAAAGGCGGCCGGGCGTGGTGCTGGCCACCAACCCCCTCGTGTGCCGTGCGGGGCATCAATAGGTGCTGCTCGCTAACAGCACTTGCCCCAACAGCCTGTTAAGGCCACATGGGGGATGTTTGTCTTTTGATGGGGAGCGATGATTGGTGGCGCTGCGATTGGCACGCTGCACTCCGGGCCCAGAAACCCAAATTCAGCTCAGGGCCAGCGACGATTCGGTCTTCAACGAATGCCCGATGCGCTTTGTAAACATCAGCGTTGGAGTGACAAAGGCGGCCGGGCGTGGTGGTGGTGGTGGTGCGCGCTAATAGCACCCGTTCCAACAGACTGCTGCTCTCTGCACCGACAGTGTTCTATTTGAGCAGGCCAGGCCCACTGAGATGTGTGGCTCTGCTTGCCAGACGGCGCTCACAGATGAGAATAAGCAGCCGAGCGAAGCGGCTCATTGTGTCGGCCCGACACGTGGAGGGGGAAACCCCGGGGATCATTCGACGCGACCGCGGCGGACGGAACCCCCACGACCTCCTGCGGACCCGGCGAGGGCGATAACACCTCGCCGCCTCCACGCAGAGGCCCTCTGGCGTTCCCCACGATGACCTCATGTGACCCCCCCTCTGCCCCCAGGTCTCCTGCTCCTCCTGCTGCTCACACGCGAGAGGAGCCGATATCGGCGCTTGCACCCGTTGGGTGAGTTCATCCCAGTTGGTAGCGGTGTACACCACGCGGCGCTAGGGCCAGAGCCGAAACGTCGTAGGTCGGGGTGGGTGACTGAGGTGGTCCCTGCCACCGTAGTCACCCACGCTAATGTATTGAAGGTGGAGGGGTTACCAGCCCCTCGCACCCGTCCAGAGCCCCCGTTTAGCCACTGTGGTGGTCACAGACGCTGTCCACGACAGCGTTGCCGGTCCGGCACCGCGAGGAGGTAGGGGGTTGTTTTTGCCGCTGGCTAAAGCACAGCAGGGGGCACAGTAGGGGGCACAGGTGGTGCATCAGCCACTCATCTCGGTCATCTGAGTAAGTCGACCCGTGGCACCTGCTGGGTCTGCCCCGTGACCTCCTGCCAGCGGGCGCTCGACACTTCACGTGGCCTCAAGGTGCACATGGCCTGGCACAAGCGTCGTGGTGACGTCACCGCCACTTAGTGGCGAATGGCGATTGTTGTTGTTGTCGTGTGTGTGTAAGTATGTGTGTGTACGTGTGTGTAAGTTGAATCTATTTCGCACCGTACGTTGACAACCGTGCTAATCGGAGGTGCGGGGGAAGGACAGCAAACTAGACACAAACCACAACTATTACACCCCCATGTAGCTTTACTAGACTTGGGGCAAGTGCTCCAAGTCTAAGCAACCGTACAGCTACAAAGACAAAGATACCCCTATAGCCTCAACAAGACTGTAGGGGCAAGTGCTGTCAGCACACACGCCGAGCTGGACAAGAGCCCAGGAGCGCGCCGCTGCTCGTGATGAACTTGCCCTTGATGCTACTGCTGATGATGATGATGCTGCTGCTGATGATGCTGATGACGATTCTGCTGCTGCTGATACTGCTGCTGATGCTGCTGCTGATGACGATACTGTTTCTGCTGATACTGCTGCTGATGCTGCTGATGACGATACTGCTGCTGATGATGATGATGCTGCTGATGACGATACTGCTGCTGCTGATACTGCTGCTGATGATGCTGCTGATGATGATGACGCTGCGGGTGGTCTCCCTCCAATGGGGCGGTGGCGCTGAGTCACGTGGCTCGCAGCGCGCGCGCCCAGACTGGGGAATCCCCTCGCGCGGTGACGTCACTTCTCGGTCGCCCGCGGTGACGTCACTCAGCTCCGCCCCCTCCTCGTCGTCCATCGTTCCTCTTCAGTCGTCTCGAGCCTCCGCGCGCAAGGTGCAGCAGCTCTCTGACTCTGTCTCTCTGTGTGTCTGTCTGTGTCTATGTCTGTCTGTGTGTGTCTCTCTGTGTGTCTGTGTGTGTCTGTGTGTGTGTCTCTGTGTGTCTGTGTGTGTCTGTGTGTGTCTCTGTGTGTCTCTGTGTCTGTCTGTGTGTATGTCTGTCTCTCTGTGTCTCTGTGTGTCTGTCTGTGTCTCTGTCTGTGTGTGTGTATCTGTGTGTGTCTTTGTGTGTGTGTGTGTGCTCTGTGTCTGTACTTGCCCCTACAGTCTATTCAGGCTATACGGGGGATCTTTATCTTTGTGTGTCTGTGTCTCTGTCTGTGTGTCTGTCTCTGTGTCTTCCTCTCTGTGTGTCTCTCTCTCTCTCTGTGTGTCTCTCTCTGTCTGTCTCTGTCTCTCTCTGTCTCTCTGTCCACGTGTGTCCGTGTGTTTGCGCGTCTTTGTTTTGTTGTTTGTGTGTCGCGGTGGCTCGGAGATGTTCGATGCCTCGCCTGGTACGCGGGAGGTCGTGGGGTCGATCCCGACACTGACGACGCCTGCTGCTGCTGCTGTAGTCGGAGTTTGCGTCTCTCTCTCTGTCTCTGTCTCTCTGTCTCTGCGTCTCTCTGTCTCTCTGTATCTGTCTCTCTCTGTCTGTCTCTCTCTGTCTCTGCGTCTCTCTGTCTCTCTCTCCCCGTGGGTCCTCCCGGGTTTCCCCTCCACATTTGTAAACTGCGTTTCGATTATGTTGCTGCTATAAATGTCGACCCTGACAAGCCACTTCGTTGGGCTGTCGTCTGTGTCCAGATCGCTTCAGAAACATTGCTCATAGTTCAGTGGGCTTTGCCTGGTTAACAGAATAGTTTAGTTTTGTGTTCGTGTCTATGTGTGTGTCTTTGTGTGTGTGTGTCTATGTGTGTATCTGTCGATGTGTGTGTCTATGTGTGTCTATGTGTGTCTATGTGTGTGTGTGTCTATGTGTGTGTGTCTGTGTGTGTCTCAGTCTTTGTGTGTGTCTCAGTCTTTGTGTGTCTCAGTCTTTGTGTGTGTCTGTGTGTGTGTCTGTGTCTTTGTGTGTGTCTTTGTGTGTGTGTGTCTATGTGTGTGTCTGTGTGTGTGTCTATGTGTGTGTGTCTATGTGTGTGTGTCTATGTGTGTGTGTCTCTGTCTTTGTGTGTGTCTATGTGTGTGTGTGTGTCTATGTGTGTGTGTGTGTCTATGTGTGTGTGTCTGTGTGTGTCTCAGTCTTTGTGTGTGTCTATGTGTGTGTCTGTGTGTGTGTCTTTGTGTGTGTCTGTGTGTCTCTGTGTGTGTGTCTTTGTGTGTGTGTCTCTGTGTGTGTGTCTCTGTGTGTGTGTCTGTGTGTGTGTGTGTCTGTGTGTGTGTGTCTCTGTGTGTGTGTGTCTGTGTGTGTGTCTTTGTGTGTGTCTGTGTGTCTCTGTGTGTGTGTCTTTGTGTGTGTCTCTGTGTGTGTGTCTGTGTGTGTGTGTCTTTGTGTGTGTGTCTCTGTGTGTGTGTCTCTGTGTGTGTGTCTGTGTGTGTGTGTGTCTGTGTGTGTGTGTCTCTGTGTGTGTGTGTCTGTGTGTGTGTCTGTGTGTGTCCCTACAGCCTGCTAGAGGCTACACGGGGGACCTTCGTCTTTGTCGTGTGGGGAGCGGTGAGCGCTGCGGCACGAACCCGGAAAGCCGGTCCTGTACTTCCCCTAGGTCGATTCAGCCTTAAATGAGTACCTCGTGTGATGTGTGAACATCGCCACTGGGGAGACAAAGGCGGCCGGGCGTGGTGTTGTAGCCGAGAGGTTGAGATACTTGGAACCGCAAAGAATTCGGGGGTTGTTTGTCACATTTTTTGTTTACAATAAAAAAAAATTCTGTAACTAACACTCACTATGGGATACATGAGTAGCGCAGCTTAAACTATTTAAACTTTAAACAAACAAAACATTTAGATGATAGGCTTAACCAGACCTGGGAATTGCAGCCGATACCTTCACAATAAACCCCGTCCCTTCTCCCCCTCCACTCCAGCGTCTCCTGCACATTGAGCCTTGTGCTGTACAGCCTCTGGACAGCCTCTGTGGACGACAGCTCTGTGGACGACAGCTCTGTGGACAGCTTTCACACCGGGCAGGACGCGTATCCCGCAGCTCACCGTGGGACCGCGACGCGAGCCACTCAACGCTTGGAACGGAGCCCCGGCCCCGCGTATTGCCGATTGCAGTTTGCCCGAGGACTTCGACGAAATGGATTTTCAAAGGTAGAGGTCACACACCCGGCACTGACGCGGCGTGAGCGCGAGGAGCGAGTCTGTGTGTACGTATGCATGTGTAGGTAGCCACACCGTGGTCATCGGAGGTGGGGGTGGACAACAAACTAAACACAACGAGTATAACCTTGCCGCGTGATGCCACTAGCAGCAGTACGTTCAGCGGGGGCGCCGCGGTGGCTAGGAGACGTTAACTTCCTCGCCTGGTATGCAGGAGGCCATGGGTTCAATCCCGACCCTGTGTGGATTCTTCTCTGGGCCCTCTAGTTTTTCCCTCGACATATAGAATCAACGTCACGCGTTTAGAGTATTTGGCTGATGCTATACATTTCCACATGACGATAAGCCACTTTGTTGAGCTATCATTTGTCGCCAGGTCACTTCTACAAAAAGGTCTATATGGCTCAGTGGGTCTTGCCTTGGTAAAGTACAAAACAATGACAAGATCTGGCTTCCGGTTGCGGACAATTCCCTCTTGCCGGTGAAATTACTTGAACATTCGTGCTGCTCTGTGGCCCTCTCAGATGGAAGGTCCCTTCGTTGTCTTTGCAGGAGTCTGAAACAACAGAGGGCGCTGGAGGTGACGAACGACTACAGACGGCGCTTTGTCAGGTCTGCGAGCAAGTTCATCATGGTGGTCTACACCTATGGCCGGCAAGAAATTCAGAAGGGGAGGCTGAACAAACTAGACTTCCGCTCGTATCTCAATGAGGTGGGTAACAGAGAGGAATATGGGCGGCGCGGTAGAGAGATGTTATCTCCCTTGCCTGGTATGCAGGAGGTCGTGGGTTCGATCTTAATGATGCCTTTTGTATATTTGGAGTTTGCGTGTCTCTCTCCCCCTGGTCGCGTGGATTTCTCTCTGAGCTATTCGTTTTTTTCCCTCCATACTGAGAATCAACCTGCGTTTAAAGATGATTTGGCTGATATAATTTATCACGCGATGATAAGCCACTTCCTTAAGCTATCAATCGTGGTCAGGTCGCTTCTGAAAAATAACGAACAGCTCGGTGGACTTTACCTGGTAAAATAAAAATAGTAAATTTAAAAACGTCGTGTGTTTTAAGAGGTTATTAACCTTTGTCCAATAAGAAACCAGCAGTGATATCACAGCATAGGGCAGTGCATTGGCTATGTCCCTCCTGCCGGGGACTCAGTTCTCCCATTGCCTACGTGCAGTTCCATTGCCTACGTGAGGGGTTTACTGCGTCAAAGCAATTCTAGATCGTAGAGTGTGAAGTTTCATAACAATGTGTGCCGTGCGTGTGTGTATCAGATTGTTCACTGCATCTTCTTCCTGGGACAACTGCAGCAGCCGAGCGTGGACCCAGAGTGCATGTTCCCCAGCAAGCGGGCTCTGTCCGCGATGCGCTCACTCACGGCCTTCACCTCGTTCCGCTCGCACACTCCGAAGAGGATGCCGGGCTCCGTGCTCCTCCAGATGGTGAGAAACGGACCCCTCCGGGAAAAGGAGTTGTCGCTATTACGGCAAGAGACACACCTAGTGTCCCCTACAGTTGGTGGTGGCGAGATGTTATCTCCCTCACCTGGTTTGCAGGAGGTCGTGGATTCGATCCCGACCCTGACGCCTGCTGCTATATATTTGGAATTTGCATGTTCTCTCTCCCCGTGATCGTGTGGATTTTTCTCCAGGCGGGTTTCCCTCCACATTTAGAAACAACCTAAGCCACTTCATTCAGCTATAATTTCATTTGTGGCCAGGTCGCTTCTGAAAAAGAGCTAAATATCTCAGTGGGCTTTGCCTGGTAAAATAAACGATTGGCACGTAAAGCCACAAGGCATGATGTTAAGTTGATTGTATTAAGAACCCTTCACAGCATTCATTAGATGATCTTTGAAGGATATCTGGCTGATATGACTCCAAACAGTTTTGATATCAGCCAAAGTCACCTCATCCTAGGGGTCACCTGTGATTATTTCACCCAAAAATTTTATTTTGTGTTGCGGAGCTGAAGCTGCCCTATCTGGGCCTAGCGACGCCGAGTAACGCAGCGTGGCTCCTGTGCCCTGCCAGGTGGAGCAAATCGAGGGTTCTGACAGCCAGCAGGAGATCCTCAAGACACTGGCCTTGCTAGGCACCGACATGCTGGTGAACGATGGGGGCGGAGGTGGCGGTGAAGATGACGGTGGCGGTGACGGCAGCGGCGGCGTCGCTGTCCTCAACGACTTCTCGCCTGTCGGGGTGAAGTCTTTGGTCTACGGCGAGGGCTCAAGCGGCCGCTACGCGTGGGGCGCCTCTATAGGGAACCTTCGGCCCAACGCCGCTCGCGCCGCGCGGGCGCTGGGCCGCCTCTTCTACCTGAACCCCCTCGTGGTCGGCGCCATGTGCGGCACCCGGGGGGAGTCGTGTTTCCTGGTGTTCCACCGGGGCATCCGCTGCACGAGCTACACCTGTCACGTGGAAGGCGGCTGCGTGCGCTTCCGCCCAGATGCTACGATGGCTGCCGCACGTTATTGGACGGGGTTCACGCGCGGCGCGTTGTCGTGCGGGCGGTCGGTGGCGGGCGTGACAGGAGAGGATTGGGCGGTGTGCGAGGCGCTAAGAAACCTGCTGGCGCTGCCCGACGGCCAAGTCGGCGTGACGTGTCTGGGGAAGCCGTCGTCCAGGCAGGGAGAGACGGAGCTATCTCTCAACGCTCACGTGGGCAATGGTGCCGGTGACAATGGATCTCTTGTGCCCTTCGACCCATCCGCTCCGCTCTAGCCAGCGGTGTCACTCGCAAACGGAATCCGAATCTTTATCCTGGAGAAATCCGATGAGCTTCGCTGTCCATCGAATTTCTGAAGGAACAACTCGTTGGATTTCTCCGGGAAAAATTAAGATTCTACTTTCACCTAACATTGTTGTTTTAAGCTTTGTGTTATATGTCACGTATATAGTTAATATACTGTACCTAATATGATGTGATACTAAAACAATGTTGTTTTATATATAGCGTGATGATGCAGATGATCTTTATAAAGATTTTTCCGCATCTATTCATGCAATCGCAGACGGGCCATGAGGCAGCCAGCCATAAGTCTGCACTGTCTACTGCCCAAGCGGTTCTTACTAAACATATTCAGATGTTTTTAGCGACTTGATGTTTTATATTATGTATAAACACAAGGCCTGAATGCACACGTTGGATATGTAAGGTGCTGGTGTGTCAATGCATTTTAAATGTTTTAATGCATTTTGACCGTCAGTGCTCATCCTGTTGCAAATAATGTATCATATTTTGGTACTGGCAAAGGAGGTATAATTATAGATTCTTACCCCGAACCCTCATTACTTTGATAGTGCATTGTCTTTGAGCTGTACGCCTTTTGGCGTCCTCTGGTCGAGCCACAGATATTATCATAGTATGTGTTTTGTTTGCATTTTGACTGTAAGTATTGTGGTTAATGCAGACATGAATCCTTATAAAAAGGTTTCAGTTTTGTTGCCAGAATAAAGGGGGAAACCCCCATTTTTATAACGTAGAACTTCTGTGTTATAGTGCAACAGTCCGCACATCCGCATTTTCTATGCATTGTGTTGATGTTAATGCCTGCAACTATTGACCAGGAGTAACCCAACGGTAGGACGACGTGTGTTTGGTGGCGGGAGACGAGGGAGACACGGTCCGAGGTGTGACGATGTGCGATTGGCGGCCGGGAATGACGTGACAGGGATGAGGGGGGAGCTGTGTGTGACGGGAGGTGGAACGGAGTCGAACCCCTGACCTGTCTCGGCATGTTAGTGCGCTACACGAGTGTTGTTGCGGTAAAGCCTCTCTATCTGCGGGGGTATGTTCTTGAATACGCTCATGGACGCGGAATTGGCGCGTAGCGAGGGTTAGCCGTACCTGTGCGTGCATTATTGTATGGGGCGGCACCGGTGAAGGTTGTGGAGCGGTGTTCGTGTCGATTCCCCTTGCGTGTCTCGTAGTTGAATTGATACAAATTTAAATCCATAATGGAGGTTTTTTTTGGGTTAGATAATGTAAATATAAATGTCGCTAAACCTGTCACCACCCGGCACAGCCAGTTCGTAAGGTTTGTCAATTGACCACTTCAGTACACCGGTGTGTTGGAGAGTAAATCCACATTTACAATTTTACCATTTTTTTGTTATGGATAATATTGGTCGCGAAAAGCGACGTGTCAAATATTAAAATACTGCTTGCTGGGTGGTTCGTGCTTAAGTTTCAAATGCCGTGTTTATATCATTTTTATTTGTAAGGTTGTAGCTATTAAGGGTTTCCCCCCCCCCCTTGTCTCCCCCCAGTATGTGAGTTACCGCTCCCCGTCGCCATTTATCCCTTCCCATATAACCCCCCTCCCCCACCCCCCCATCGGCGACCCATCGTTCACCGGCCTCGCGTTGCAATAAAAATATGGGAACAAATGTTCGTGCGATGCATCCTGCGATTGAGTTTGTCAACTCTCAACTCTCGGGAAGTGTTCACGCCGCTTCTCTCGCCGCGTTCACGCGCGGTGTGCCCACGTGGTGTGCCCACGTGACCACTCGACTCGCGTTATAGCGAGTGAGCACGACTCGCTATAACGCGAGTATAGGAGCGCTACTGCAGTAGACTATAGGAGTGCTACTGGAGCGCTATTATCTACGCGTTATAGCGAGTATCGGTAATGCTGGGTGGGAGCTGCTTTGTCGAAGTGGTGGTTCTGAGCTTCGGAGGTCTTTTTCAGAAACCGGCCTGGCCACAAATGACAGCTCAACGAAATGGCTCCACCATCATGTGGAAATGTACTGCAGCCAAATACTTATAAAACGAATGTTTATAAATTCGGAGGGTAAACCCGGACGACCAAGAGAAAAATCCGCGTGACAACGGGGAAAGAGGCACGCAAACTTCAAATATACAGCGGCAGGCGTCGTCAGCGTCGGGATCGAACTCGAGGCCGACCGAAACTTAATTGCTGGTTTCGGCCGATAACGAAACCAGACCGAAAGTTAAAAATGTAACTTTTTTAACTTTCGGCCGAAACCGAAACTATTCCGAAAGAGGCAATTTGCCAACATTCTAAACCGAATTCCGGTGGGCCCAGGTGCGCCTGCAGAGCGGGCGAGGTCGTCATATACATATTCACTTTAAGATGTTTTTTGTTCATGTTTTTGTTTGTTGCGGTTGCACCCGATTCAAGAGCTAAATGGCTCACAGGGCTACACCTAATACATGAACTTGAACTTCTCGCTCGGGCACTGCCACCGAGGCGCCGCCCCGAGCGAGACGCGCCACCGCCGTCGTGGGCAGATGGCGCACACGCAGGGCGGACGGAGCGATGCGGAGTCGTTATCGTTGGCAGGGGAGCGAGGGGCGAGAGACTTTGACGATCGCTTGCTGATGATGATGCTGCTGCTGATGATGCTGCTGATGATGATGATCGCGCGCGCCGACGTCAGCTTTGACGCGCCTAGTCCAAATTGCATCCCACAATTCCGCGCGGCGTGGAAGTGAAACATCAATCGCGTGTTCGTTTTAAACCGCAGTTTTCGCGACCGGCGGTCCCATAGCGTAGAGCGACATCGGCGGCGACTATAAGGGAATAAAGTTGCGTCTATACGTACCTGGGCGGGGGAGGTGATCGTGTTTTAGTGATGCGTGTGTCAAGTAAGTTAACAACGCTGTTCACGAGCACTGATGAAAGGTAACTGTGGAACACGAGAAAGGGGGTGGCCTAACACCACGCCCGGCCGCCTTTGTTTCCCCCATTGGCTGACACACACGGGCACCACGAGCTAAGTTTAGGCTGAGCCAACTTTGAGGAGGCCCAGGACTGGTTAGGATAATCGCCACCACTTTGGTGTCGGTGGCCGTGAGCGCAGGGCGCCAACCGCTGGGCCACCATTCCCCTCCAGGCACACAAACACATTTATATTTGACTCATCTACAACAAGTCACGCCTGCGATCTTCGCAACATTACAATGACATCAATGAGCTGTAATAATCCCTCTCCAAACGTGGTCAGACATCTGTCCAGCTGCTCAACATTATTTCATTCACGAAACTGTCACGAATCGTGGCATTCGTTTTGTGTTTAATTTATTTTCTTGTTGCTGCTTTTAAATATAAACACACCTCAATTATGTAGAACAGCATTATCGTTATTTGTTATTTTACACCTGAAAATAACAACGGAGTAAAGATTAATAAATTCATTAAATGTTCATCTTTCGCGCGTCTAAATTATGTAATTGACGCACGGCATCATGGGAGTCGCCTTTAGCTCCACCCTCCAATGACGTCATCGATCGAGCACTCGCAGCGGAGAGTGAAATTAATAAAATTGATAAATGTTGGGCAATTAATTACGAAAAAGTGAAGTTTATAAAGCATAGAGTTCGACGTTCTACAGAGTATATAATAACCCAATACAACCAAATCAATGACCTCATCGTTCAGATACTTTAGTGGGAAAACCCGCGTGACGTCACTACTTCCTCATAGTTGAGTGGTGAGCGGTTGGGACTGCGAGACATGGGGTCGCGGGTTCAAACCCCGCGTCATTTATATGCAACATTAATTTATATTAATTTATATTCATTAAACACTTTAAGCAATCACTGATGAGATTCACAGCACCTAGAAACCGGTATTACGGATACTGTACTAATCTCAGCTCGAGGTGGCGGAGACGATTAACATACAATACACAGCTCGATTAAACTATTTAAAACATTCAAATTACGAACGTTTAAAGTGCAATTATTTTTTTTATATTTACGTCTGTTTACATGTATTATTTTGGAATGCTTTGATGTCTGCCGGACGAGTCGCCATCGCCAAAATAAAAGACATCCGAGCCCAATGGGACTTTGATATAAAATACCGCCGCCTTGTGATTCTGAGTGTCTGGTCTCCAGCACAATGGGAGATTCGCAAACCGGTTGTGCAACCAATCCCAATACGCATGACCAATCAATCATGATCAATAACGATCATGCCACACGTCCCCGCCCACAATGGGAGATTCGCAAACCGGTTGTGCAACCAATCCCAATACGCATGACCAATCAATAATGATCAATAACGATCTCAATTGTGAAGCCAAAGCCCCGAGACTTGGAGTCAATGAGGCCAGGGAGACCGCGGGGTGGGTGGTCGGTCACAGGCAACACAGGAAGATGGTGAGATGGATTTTATTATCTTGACTTGTGTTTCTATGTTACAATCAATACATTAGGAAACCGGCAGCAGAGGTTACGCGATAATCAGCAGAGCGTCACGGTGATGTTGTTGATGAATATCGTTCGGAACGGAAAGGGTGTCGCGTGTTTTAAAATCGGAGCTAAAGATGTGTTTTTTTTACAATCTAATTTTACTCCGTGTATACCGTTCTTATTGTGTTGGGGTGACTTCAAATGTAATTGTCACGTTTTTGCATGCGCAGCAACTCTGCGACCATTTAATCGTCGTTAATGTGAGAGTTTGACTTCATTTCCCCTTTCACCTGAACGGGGGGGCTGCCACCACGTGGCCCCCCCAGGGGCTGTGTCACGTGTGAGGCGGCACCCCGAGTGGGAACCCCCCAGGGGCCACCAGCTACTGCTGCTGCTGCTGCTGGTGGGTTCCACTTTGCTTTGAACGAGGACCCCGTGCGCCACCCATCCCCCCACCCCCCGTCTTGGCATGCTGCCGGCCTTAATAGGCGCTCGCTAACAGCACTTGCCCCCGACATTGTGGAAACAAAGGCGATACGGGGGGAGGTCTTTGTAGCAATGACGAGCCGAGATCTCCTTTGCGTCGAATTCCGCTCTCCACGGACCCTCGAATCGGAACCACGCGCAGCGTCACTGTCAGTCGATTCATCTTCTTGGTTCTTTCGGTAAAGTCACGTAGAAGGGAAGCAATAAAATAATAAAAATAAAACATAATAAAATGATTCTCACGACGTTTCGACAGACGCTGTCTCCCCCGATAGACCTGGTCTTCACCTGAGGACGGCTGCTTGCGTTGTGGCCGAAACGTCGTGAGAATTATTTTGTTTTATTTTTATTATTTTATTATTTCCCTTCTACGTGACTTTACCGAAAGAACCAAGAAGATGAATCCCTGCAGTCACGAAAGCTTTAAATCGAGATGTCAATCGATTATCGTGATCTGTGACGTCATCACGCACACGTGCGTGATGACGTCACGTGATTCTCATTATTGAGTCGGGTGCGTGCTGACGTCACGTCCCAGACGTGGTTCGCACGCACACGCGTTACGATGTTGCACGATGCTACGGGCATCCCCTCGACTTGACGATTCTTAAAAAGGAAATTCGTTAATCGGAACGGCTTTAACCATTTCATTCTAAAAGAGAATCGGGGATGTATTTAGAACGGCCATCTCTACTAACCTACAAATATCCACCTGTGTTTTTACAATACAAAAATAATAGGAACGTTAACACAATTTAACAATTTTGATTTAAAGCTTTCGTGACTGCAGGGATTCATATTCTTGGTTCTTTCGGTAGAGTGACTTTACCGAAAGAACCAAGAATACAATTTATAAAACTAACGGTAACCTTTTCGGGGAACGCGCTAAAAGATTTTCTGCGCATTGGATTGAGTGGAGAGGCGATGTGGATGTGCTGCTGCTGCAGGGACACCAAGATGACGTGCGCCTCCCACGTGATTTATCTCACGGCGCGTGGCCGCAGTGAAATTTCGTTGAAATTCGATGTCGTGAATAGAAAAGTGTCCCGTAATTTGTCAGTTGCGTTTTACGTGAAACTTCGTAAACCGAACGTTTTTGCAAGGAGGGGATTAATCTGTATATCCAACACAAGTCTTGCTGGCTGGCTATTGGGAGCGCCAGTCGCTTCCAAAGGATGTGTGGACTGCTCGTTCATGTCAAAGTTGGGGAACAAACTTCTGTTTTAAAGGATCTATTTGAGTGTGGTGCTGCCCCAATGCCCATGCAGAGCAGCGACACCGTTACTGGGTGCACGCAACATTGCATCAATTGCTGCCCCCCCCAAAACCCCCCGGCAGTGTTCATAAATGACACACATTCTGGCAACGATTTTGAAATCGAGTCCTGAACAATACTTTTATTGAAAAAAAACATCCTTTACAGTTACACATTTTAGGTTTGCCACCCGTCTGTGGATTGGCATCTTGTTTCTCAGGTGGCAGGAATTGATTTGTGCATAGATCTGCTACAAGTATTATATTGAACTATATTATACTGCAGTTTTGAGAAGACCTAGGCCCGATTTGTAAACAAGCATTCAACGACGCACAAATAATTGTTGAAACAATCTTCACCATTTGAATGCAGCAACTAGACGCCATGTTTTGTTTGCTACTAAATGGAGCCGCATGGTGCGGTTGGGATGTTAACGCCCTTGCCTGGCATGCCGGAGGTCGTGGGTTCCATCAACCCTGACGCCTGC